TAGTTTCGCTTAGACCGAGTATGTTTATGTTGATGCGTTCCATTTCTTGTAAAACGTTGGCTAGTTTTCCTGGCTGTAGTAGGCTTCTGACGTTCCATGTAGCTATTTTTAGAGAATTCTTCGATGCAAGCTCGGAGATTCTTAGCACCCCTGTCCCATTTAAGGGACGCCGGAACTCGGGACCGTGGTTTATTTTGCTTGCCATCAATGAAGTTTACAAGGGAAGAATAATCCAAGTAGTTTCCCGTTGCTTTCTTGGATCACAATTTAGTTGAGAAGGTCGTGTGTGGACCTATTTAGATACACTAACAACTAAACAAAACAAAAACAAAACATTATATAACTAAGGCTATACTCACAAATAAAAAAACGTCAAAAAGTGTTTTCTATAATTATAATTTTTTCAGTATTAACCAAATAACTTTAGTAAATCGAAACATCGTTTAAATTTCCATTTTGACGTTCGAACCATCTTAACCGTTTTACAGTTCAAATAGTGTGAAACAGCAAATGTTTAAAATTGTTCATTTTAACATTATTGATACAGGAGTGGTCTTTTAACAAGTTTTTTTAATTATGCGATCTGGGTGTATTAGACATTATTCTGAAATGCATTTGTAAGAATAAATTAAATGAATAAAGTCATTGTTGTCAAAAACATTTGGATATTAGAAGTGCCTTATTGAAATTTACACCCAAAACTTAATCATTCTGGAAAATAGTTATTATGTTTAGAAATAAATGGAAGAAAGGGAAAAATCAAATTATTTCTTATAATGAATGGAGGGAATATTTTTCCAAGCTTTCTACAGAGTAAAAATGCTAGAACATAATAATGCCAATAGTGGATCCAGAAATCTTTAGAGGGGTGCAGAAAGAAGAGAATATGCTTCACAAAATTTATGCCCCAGAAGGGGAGGGTGCAGCTGAGCCCTGTGCATCCCCCAGATCCACCCCTGAAGAATGGAAATTGTAAATAAAATTTAAGCTGGACATTGTTGGCTCCACTTTTATGCGTGGCCACCATTGTGTCCAGCTCAGATTTCTACATAAATTTGGAACCACAAATGTCCAACTTGGATAGGTTTCTCTCTAACTTGTGAAAGCTTTCTTAATTGGGCACACAAACATGTCCAGTTTAGAGTGTTGTCTCAGAAAACTTGTCACTCCCAGCTGTTCCAATATTTTGTTGGGTCAGGATAGTTAAGGGCTAATCACAATACCAGGCTGCAATTTTTAATCATAGTTTTAATTTATTTAATTAATTTAAAATATGTGCTCTCCACCTTCAAATTAACAGTGTCTTGACTGTACATCATACTTTTCTTTTACCAACTGAGTTGTGCCAGTCATCTAATTCCTTTTGGGGAAAAATTTTTGAATTGAAATAATGTGACTTCCGGATTGCATTGGAAGTTCAAATATAGTTAATCTTGGCTTCCTGCCCAAAGGTTTCCATATCTGATCTCGTCTTTCATCTATCTAACTCTGTTCTTGAGATTAAGGAAGGACAGATGGACGGACGACAGTGGGGATTTATACAACTTCAAATTGCAGCTCAAAGAGTGAAGTTCGTACCGAATGAGATATGTTGGATTATGAAGTGTTAGTATGCCAGTGTCTGTCTTCCTGCTTTTTTTTTTGACACTATAAAAGGGTAGCACTATTTTGAAATTAGAAAAATGTGCACTGCTAAAGAAGAGAGAATTAGTATAACATGTAAATACACCTCTACAGCAGAAATAAGAATTGAAGTGAACAAGTAAAATGTACCTACACTGCAAGTATATACAAATGATTTATTTTCAAAGAAATCTGATATTAATTACTATTGCTTTTTTATGTTTGCTGATTTCATCAATAATATCAGTTACAGTATAAACATGGTACCTGCATTACATCAGGGTCAAAAGCATGCTTCTAGGAAGGCTTACTATTCTATTGCTCTCTTTTTCTTTAGCAGATAGTGGAGTTGCACTTCAGTCTCATCATCCAAATCAGAATATTCAGAGTAGTGTACAGCTTTAAGGTTCTCCTGTGTTTCTTTCTTCAAAAGTTGGGTAAATTGCCAAGTTTAAAAATTCTTCTAAAGTTAAGGGATGCTTCAATGATGCTGTTGCTTAAAATGTGGAAAATCATGTGGTAGAAGAGCTGACAGAAGTTTCAAAACATGTCAGCTCTTCTACCACATGGTTTTCCTGTCAGGACTGTGTGGCTCCAGCAATATGGACTGTTTCAGGTGTTACTCTATTCCAAGTCTCTATTTCAAAATAGTGCCACCCTTGGAACAGGATTTTTCCTGGTAATTGCTTTGTTCAGGAAACAGTGACCTATTCATTTACATTTATCATCATCATCAACTTTAAATTCAAGAATCATTGAGATATTTGTTTTTAAGAATTTGATCTTAATTAAAAAAAGAAATAAAGAAATAATCAAGTGCTAATAATACAAATATGTTACTGTAAACATTATAACACCAATGATTGTTAGATTGATTTGTTTATTTGTAAATATCATTGCTTTTTTTCAAATTGTTATAACTATAAATAAAATCAACAATTTTCATAATTTTTAATTTATCTTGTTACCAAAAGAATTATGGATTTAGTTTACTATTGATTAAGTAGGATTGTTTTATTGTATTCAATATAGTATGAATACAATAAAATATTATTTGGATGATTAACACTAAGAAAGTCTTTTTCTTGTGTCTGTTGTGGGTTCAAATTCTAAAATGAGTGGTTGAGTGGTAAGGGACAAAGCCCAAAATATCCAGGTTAAACTAAAAATTCCTAAAGTTCCAGCCCAATGTAGAGATGGTTTGCATAAAGAACATTATAACAATGAATATTCATGTTGTTTTCTGATATTATCCCATGTATAGTTTCCATGCATAACCTGAATAGGTAATGTACTGTACATAATGCACACATTTCTCAATCTCTGAGAGAAGTAATACTGGGTTTTTCTTCCACACCCAAGAGATTTGACCATTGGACATAAATTTTTTGAAAATTCTGTCTTACTTGCTGGAAACTAAATCTGATTACTCAGTTAAATGGATCATTCTCAAAAATCTTGTTTGCTTAATTTCTAAAAATAATGACTAAGTAATCTAAATTTTAATTGATTTGACAATGAAAGTTGTGGATTCCATTATCTCTATATCATTTCTTTCTAGGCCCATGGTTGACGAGAAACTACCAATTGCCAGTTGTCGGTTTGTGCCAACCAAAAGATTGACAATGGAACTTTCTTTACATATATAACACACAAATAGGGCCTAATTTCTTGTAGAAAGTCCTCCCAGGAGGCACTCAACCCCACGTCAGAATTCTCTTGTGTTACAATGCTTGTCCCATCATTCCATTTCTCTTTAGTTTTTTGTTGAATTATACAAAAGTTGAATGTAAATGTTTATACATACAACAGACTAACCTTTGAAATTCATTAAAAAAATTCATAATGTCATAAAGAAAAAAAAAGGGCTATATTAAATAATGGAAAGAACAACTTAATATCAGGTATGCAAAAGTTTTTGCCGTTAGAAGGAGAAATGAGACATACACTGTCAGGAAACCCGAACACATTTATTCGTTGTAATGTTGGCTGTTAGATGACATTTGTTTTGCCATTTTTCAGGCAACAAATGAATGCCTGTGATAGGACTCTGGGTTTGAGCTGAAGAACACAGATGAAATTTTCAACATATGCTAGTATGGTTAACTGCTATTAGGCAAGGCAATATTGCCTTGAGTGAAACAGTTGAAAGTCTGGGGAGCAACTTCCAGAGAATATGTCCCACTTTAACTGATCAAAGGGTTGTTTTCATGATGGCAATGACATAGTCTGGCATTCACAAGATGACTAGATGGTGTCCTTTTCCCATCCATGGGCATTTTCAATAAATTTCAGCATTTAGTTTCCTCAACTGATTGATGTACTGTTGTGCAGTGATTGTTTCACCTAGTTACAACAGTTTAAAATAAAGCACTCCATGCATATTTCACCATATACGTGATACCTTTTTCCTGTGGATATCCTGTTTTGCAGTGGATGTTGATGGCTGTCCTGGGTTGATTCAGGATTGTTTGTAAACTAAACTGTTGTAATAGATCCATTTTTCATCTCCAGTAACCACCTTCCATAAAAATTCTGTTGAAAGTACTGTAGCAACAACATGCATGTGGGCAATCATTGCCCAATGTGACAGTCTGTTAAGTATACAGGACCTACTGACTAATCTTCTGGATCTTCCCCTTGGCCATAGATACCACAAGACTGTTGATTGATCCAGTTTCAATTGTTTTGCCAGTCGTGTGGTTCATCGTGGGGCATCTTCCAAAAGTACTTTAAGTTCCTCATCTGCAAATTCCTTTGGTCTACAACTCTCAATAGGTCCACTTACCGATAATCAAATTGCTTCACTTGCACTTTTTCCCGAATTAAACACGAATGACAAACAATGGGATAAACAAATCTTATTGGCTGTTGAGCACTGAGTGCATGGGTCGCCTAGCAGGTTATTTCACAAGATAAAAAAGCAATAATGGAAATCTAAGTAATATAATGAAACAAATTTTTATAGAATACTGGCATAATCTAGTCTCATAAATTATCGAAAAGTCCATATTTAGAAAGTTAGATTCCTGATAATTATAATTTCTAATTGATGATAATCCAAGGTGAACGAACCAAATGTCAATCAATAACGACAATGCAACAAAAGACGACAAAAATGTGTCATTTTGATATAAGATAGGTGAATTTGCCAGGTATAGAGAATATATTCAGATTCAAATATATACAACCTGATTGCTGTTTTACAAAGAAATTCACTAAAATTATATAAATATCATCTATTTAAACTACATTAATTGAAGATGTTAAAATATACACAGTAACATTTTTAATTTTTTAATGAATTCGAATCCATTAAGTTCTAGAATTAAAACAGGAAATTTAATATACAAATTAATATTTTTATTAAAGCATTTTCCATTTGGCACTGTCTATAAAAAATTTATAAAAATATATTTTTCTTTTACACATAAGTCGAATTTATAAAACTTTATGCAAAATATTTCTAAACAAATTTATAAACATCAACAACTTTGATTCAAAATTGGTTTATCTAAGAAGTCAATACTTAAAATTTTATTGTGCATTTCAAAAATATATATAGTGTTTCTGCCCACTTTCAATAATGGTGCAGGCAAATAGAGTGTCTGCTGTGGTCCGACATTCCAGTATCGTCCCAAGTTAAATCCATTGACAAAGACCACCCCCTTCTTCCACGTTTTACTAAACAAAAAACTATCTCTGGGTTCGGAATCCAGATGAAGTTCGACTTTATACAAACAGGGAGGCGCACACTCTTTCTTCCAAATGGAACAACTTATCATATTTATAAATTTTTCATCAAATTGTAACGGATATACCGACCAGTTACGAAGTTCTTTTTCTTCTAGAAGCACAGGATTCCAAAGCCCTTTTCTTTGAGAATTTAATTTAAGGGGTACACCATAATTTACTCTTCCCATATTTTCTACCAAAATATCTAAACAGTGATCTCCATTTTCCAGATGAGGTATACGTATCTCTCTGGTGTTCTGTTTCCAATCCCACACCACAACCTTTCTATTATCCACTAATATAATGGCTCTGTCGGCCATTCCGTTAGGAAAAGACAGTTTACCACCCTCGGCAATTTTAGTTCTGTATAATGTCATTCCGAAATTTTGTCCCGATCCATCATAGACATCAAGAAATTCCATAGGTCTTACTTTTTTCATTTTTATACCTTTGATAAATTCTAGAATATCGCCAAGATGCAAAACTCCCGACAAACCCACGTCGAGAATTTTCATCTTTTGACTTTCCAGAGGCAACGGAGGAACGAAACAGGTAAAGTTTTTAATACTCATTTCGGAAATAATCTTCTTGGTGACATGGTATTTCGGCGTGTAATCGCCGGATTCCGTCAGAGGTGCATCGTAATCGTAAGAGGTGACCGTGGGAGAATAAGCACATTCGGGATTGGGAAACCCTTCGTTGGCACCGTTGTAGAAACCGAAATTGGTGCCGCCATGAAATACATATATATTCAGTGAGGCTTTATTTTCCAGAATAATTTTTAAATTTTTTTCATATTCCTCGACGGAAAAGGTATTGTGTTTTTCAGTCCAGTGATCGTACCATCCCGACCAGAACTCTGCCACGTATAGAGGTTTATTGGGTTGAAGTTTTTTCAGAGCAGATAATTCTTCTTCCACTCTAATCTGAAAATTTGCAGTCATCAAAACATCGGGTAGTGTGAAAGGAGAATTCATTTGAGAAACTGCATCAGAAGTGAAGAATAATTCTTTGAGTCCCAACTCTTCCAATGTATTTTTAAGAAATGACATATACTGCAAGTCATCTGGGTTTTCGTTGGCATTACCAAATTCGTTAAATTCATTTTCTATCTGTATGGCTATTATCGGTCCGAAATTCGCACCGAACAAGAAATCTCTGACGACTTCTGCCAGTCTGGTAAAATACCTTTTAACCGCGAGTTTATAAGGCGGGTAATTCGATCTAACTGCCATATTTTTGTCCTTCAAGAGCCATCCGGGCAATCCGCCGAAATCCCATTCAGCGCATATGTAGGGTCCGGGACGGAAGACGACAAACATGTCTGCGCTCTTAACCGCGGACAGAAAGGCAGGCAGGTCGCATATACCTCTTTCGAAATTAAATTTTCCCGGCAATTCTTCGTGAAGATTCCACGGAACATAAATGTCCACGCTATTCAATCCGCAGGCCTTCATCTTTCTCAGTCTATCGTCCCAGTATTCCGGCACCACTCTAAAATAATGCAGAGTGCCACTGATGATCTGAAATGGCTTGTCATTCAGAAAAAACGAATTCTCTCTGGCTTCCAAGCCCGAACGATATCCTCCGTGGCTGTAGATCTCGTAGAGAGTGGGGAGACGATCTCTAGACATTGTGGCAATACAAGCCGTGTTTTAAATACGTAAATTTGAGCTTTAATAAAATATTGATATCGAAGTTAGAAGTAAAATAATAATAATAATAGTATAAAGCATACAGTTACGTACAGACTACATACCACATGATGTGGCACACCCCTTTTAAATATTCTCCAAGTGTTGCCAACTTTTCAAACATCGTTAGCAATTTATTAGAAAAATCTTTAATTTCTACATCTAAAATCTTTTATGTATATTAATACATTTTTAAATATTATAATTAAAATAACAGACTTCGTATAAGTTTTTGTGACATTTACGAGATCGATAAAACAATTATTTTTATCCACGGCTTCAAAATGTATAAAATTATGAGAATCTTGCCACGGTTTAAATCGTCGATTAAAATCATTTATATTAATTAGGAACAATTTTTAACGCGCCGATCGCGAGTAATGGCGTAGAGAATTTTCCAACTTTATTTGCTTATTTTTTTTAAGATTGTCGGTGTTATAATTTACTTATAATTTTAAATACAATAGATCATTTAACGAGATACCGCTCGGGAATACGTTGGGTTCTATTAGAGAGCAAAAATTCGATTACAGAGAAACTAAGGTTTATGCGTATGAAATAAGTACGGTTTATAAAGAATGTGTTACATATTTGTTAATGTTTGGTACGTTTCTTCGTACAATTTCAATATATATTTTAAATTATGCCCATTCACAGCTTTTCACTAGAGCGTGTTCTAACGTGCAACCGGACACAAAATGCGTAATGGCAATTCGAATTGTGCAGTAATTTGTGTTGTTGTCCTTATTTTCTATTTGTGTCTTTAGAACAGCTTATTAGCTTATTAACGCTAAGATTTATCGGCTCGTCCAAAAGAAAATCGATATTTGTGCAGTAGGAAAAAACCTTAAAATAAGGCCTGTTTTGCACCATATATTATAAGGGAGAGTGGTAAAAACTTTATTGTAAAATGGGTTTTAAAATTTTAGGGAACCCATAATGGGCTTGCTAAAAGAGGCCTTCTTAGTGCCCACAGGGCGGAGAGTTAAAAAAAGAAAAAATCCCAACGTTAAGATTCAAAATGGCGGATTATTATGCTATAGAGGGCTGTGGCGCTACTGTGATAAAAACCGGTCATTTTTAAAATCAAAGTTGTAAATGTTGCTGGTGCATTATTATCCGAAATATTTTTCTTAGATTGCTTAACGTGGATAATTATTTGTCTCGTTTTACCTTTTGATTCTCAATTTATACATTCAAATAGATTTAGAAACATTAACATCGCCGGACACATTATCTTGGTGAACTTCGTTTGAAGCGCTATCGATATCGAGCATGCACACCGAGTGCAGTTCGTTTAACTCTGGTCACCAAACTTTTTTTCACGGTGGGCCAGATAACAGAGAACGACAAGCGCGGGCCGCATAACCATTTTGTTCAATACAGTACAGTGAAAACACAAAATAAAGACGACAACTTTATTTACCAATACACACACATGATCGCTGCAGCAAGCTCGTAATCGTTTTTCTTAGAAACTTCATTGCAAGTACTTAAAGCGCTCCGATATCCAAAGTCGCAAAAAGTGGCCGAATTTTTTATTTCACTGATTTTCCCTAAAAAATATATTACTGTCGGATGCAAAAATCAGATTGGACCACTTCCGGCAATTTTACTTACCCTTATTTTTATTTTTCTACATAGTAAGTTTATCTATAAACTATGATATTTCCATATAAATAATTACATTTTGCCTCACTTGTAGCATGGTGCGGCAGCGGGCCGTAGTTTGGTGACCCCTGTTTAACTCGTTCTTAAATGCGCACAAAGCTATCGACACATCGTCCGAAAATGTATCTTTTATAATTATCAACAATTATGGTTCATCCAAATTATTTTCGTTTTTAATTTAAAATTCCCGTAAAATCGTTTCATCGTAAAAAACAAAGAAAGAAATGTCCTCTGTTAATGATAAATTTTTCCGAACGGAACTAATCGCACGGAACACACCAGTAATGTAATATGCCAAATATATGCAAGGAAATGCATATTACTATTATTATTATGCTATATATAGTTAAGCATACTTTACTTCATATTATTCTATCACCTTGGCCTTATTCTACATTCTATAATAAGCAAAGCATAATTATTATGCTGTTAATAAATTCCAAAATTGCATACTTGTAATAATAGATTAAACTATCTATAATATTTATCAGAAGTTTATACAACTTTATCAAATAAATAGTGTTCCAGATTTTAAAATTTTATAACGTGACATATAATCTATCGAGTGCATTATTACATTTTATTTATAATGTCTTTAATTAAAGTAAAAAATAAAAATGCTCTTCTTGTTTTATATCGGAATAACGTTTTTGTGTCCTTTGTCCCGAAAATGTTACGAATAAAGTTTAAGAAAAGTGCTTGGCAAATTGTGCATTATTTTCTGAAATTCAGTAATACCTAAAGACAGAATTTTATTTATATAAAGTTTAACAAATATAACTTTCAACTAGAATTGTGAAAACAATAAAGTGCTGTATTTAATATAAAAATATACCGTCAAATGTCTGGCATCCTTCCCCATTTATATTTTGCCAGATCATGAAAATTTGCATAATAATAGCTCAATAATACACCTAGCCCATTATTGTACACTTGTGTTATAAAAACAAGAAATTAAAACTAAATGTTTGTATCTTATTAAACTGTGCATTCTTGGCGACATTCACGAAACTGACTTATCTGTTCGAGATCCAAGTGGCACACAAAACTTCTGTAGTAGCCCTAATTAATCTAGTCCAAGAGTCGTGGAATTTTGAGTGTGATCTGGTAATTTTATTCACATTGAAGAAAGTGCCAGATCACAAAATACGTACACTACCAATACTGTATTTTTCACTTTTCGTACAATAACACAAACAAATAAAATATATTCAAATAAGTATTCTTAATCATATATATTACAGTCTTTTTCACCGGAATGTTCGTCCGTAAAACTTTTCAGCATAAGTTTTTCATTTTTCTCCAGATTACAATTTTCTAAATTAATCCCCGATTCTTTTTCTATAAAATACAATAATAACTGAATATAATTTTTATGATTTTTCCAATCGCATTGTGGTTGAACTTTATAATGAGAAAGTTTATTAAAGTATTTTACCACGGAATCCAGTGAATAAAATACGATAGGTATTCCATTCCAAATCTGTTCTTTCGTTACTCCGTTACTTAAAAGATATTCGGTAACTTTCTTTGCATTAAGTAATGATGGCCATATGGTATTTGGATAAATTTCCAGTGTCTTTGTTATTTCCCTCTTGCTTTTATTTAGTTCTAAAGCTAAATATTCTGCTATTTCTATTACACATTGTCTCACATTAGGATCGGTTTTTTCCAGTTCGGTTTGATTATATAAGGCAGATAAGGAGATACAGAGTAAACCCTTCCTTTGTATATGGTAGAAGCGTTCTATCGCCGTGTCGTATTTATCCACGAGTTTTAATGAATTTGGATGAAATTTTCTCAATGCTAAATCGGCATTGTCATTAATGACTTTTAATATCTTCTGAATTTTATAAAAACTGTAATGATATACACTTAAATGATTTTGCAATTGCGTATCAGTGAAACCATTTTCTTTCAATATATTATTAACTTTTAGAATATTATCTGCTGGAACATTAACTAATGCTGGATATTTCTTAAAGCATTCTTTTATATCCAATCCTGCAAGCACCGGATGATTTTGCAAGATTTTTTTTAAGTTGTTGGGATTAGCTTTAATCAAAAATGCATTCCGGAGTATCTGAAATATAAGAAATTCTTATAAGTAACATTATATTTGAAAATGCATTCAATAAATATTTAGTTAACATATTTTTATTTCTAAAGGTGAGTTTCTAAAAGTAAATATATTTTCATGTTTAAAAATCTAATTAATAGCTGCTTTGTAAATTATAGTTAATGCTTCATAAATATTTAACAAAGTACTAAATAAAAAATTAATTGTTCATAGTTATACAGAGCTTGCAAAATATGTTTAGAAGATAGATTTACTGAACATTGAAAGATACTTATATTTAAATGAGTGTGTTCTTGCATTCTATGATTATTATTCCATAAATTATTAAATTAGAAGAAAAATATAAATTGAATTTTTAAATCATTACTCACTTCTCTCTCTGAGAACTTATAATCGTTAATGAGCACGTTTAAAGTCTTCCTTAAAGTATGACAACAACGAGAATAGAAAGATCTGTTTATTGTGCTTCTAATTTCATTTTTATTGCATTTTAGTTTCCAAACTAAATATTGATGTAATATACTCATTCGAATGTATCTGGGTGACATATTTTCAATCTTTTTCCATAATATTTTATGTATTCTGCTTTGCCATAAATCAGTTAATTCTACTGGAGCATCTAATTCTTTTATCATGTTCTTAATTATTTTTTCATGATTATTTATTATACCTTCCTTGATTAATGTTTTCACACTTGTACCCATTATAGACGGAAATCTGAAAAAATCATTATTAAAGTATTTTCATTACAATTTTTTATTAAATAAAACAAACATAAAAAAATATTAAGATATTTTCTTGTTAAATTTTTAATTTTTCTTATTTAATTAAAAATTTTATTGTTTTTAACATTTCAATTTCTAATATGTTATAAATTTATGAAAATTTGTCAAGGCAATATTCTTGCAAAAATTTTATGATAAAAGTTTAGAATACTGTAAATTCATGTGGATATATCAAAGGTTATCCACATGAAATTACATATCCACATCACTTTTCAAATGGCATAAATATGTAATTTTATACAGATAATCCACGAGTATTCCCTGCCGATCCATAATCCATAATCCCTGCCAAAAATTGTAAGAACAAATAACCTTCATACACCCCATGCCTCTGGGGCAATCATTGAAAACAAGAATGCAGTTTAGAAGTATGTGCTTTTCAAATTATCTTTCAATAATTTGGAAAGTGGTTTGGATTCAGTGTTGCCACGCCGATTTGCTTGCCATCGGTAGATTCATTAGGCAATTTTCGGTAGATTTCGGTAATTTTTCGGTAAATCGACTTTTTGTGGCAGAAAGCAGGTTGCACATAAACAATAACATTCTTTTTCGTCATTTTATTATACACTATAAAACAATAAAAAACAAAAACTAACACAGAACATTTACGTAAAAAAATAATAATTTACTAATTAAGTAGGTACATTTTGTTTTATTTTTCTAACAAAATACAGTATTACCTTTTATTTTTCGGATATTAATAATAATTATTATTATTCAATATCTTCCGTTTGTATGTTTTTAACACTGTTTCTTATTTTTGAAATTAAATTATCTTTTACAGGAAAATCGTAACAGTAATTTTTATCCAATTAATTGTTTAGTAAGAAGTAAGCCAGTGATTGTTTCAGAGCTCACAAGTCAGTTTATTTCCGTGTTTCGTGTTTAACAGATTTATTTACGAAAATATTCTTTCTATTCCATTAGCTGAAGAATGGGGCAGACACAAGATATTCTCAACAAAACGAGACAGAATCTTTGCAATAAAGTCTCTTACAATATATAAGAAATGAAGGTACAAAGAAATGTTTTATTGAGAATTTTTAGATACATTGAAAATAAAAATTTCTTTCTTGAATTATCGTAAACTTTTCGGTAGATTTGGTGCTTCAATCGGTAGATCGGTCCCAAAATCGGTAGATCTACCGAAAATTCGGTAGACGTGGCAACATTGTTTGGATTATGCAATGGGGTAGTTAATACTTAAATTTCAATCCCAAATTAAAGTTAATTCACACTATACAACTGGCTGATGCCCGGCAAGTAACTCACTGGAATGAGAATTATCTATTCATGCATTTGCAAGAAATGACATCAATGGTAAACTATATATCCATTGCTTTTACAACTTTGACCTATTTTAATGGATTTACATTTAATTTTCTAATAAACACTTGCAATTAAGACACACATTAATCTTCAGTCCCATACAAAATATGATTAAAAATGCTTCAGCTACCATTAATATAACATTGACATTATCACACAATCAATCATATAAATTTAATAATTATTAAATTTATATGATTATATGTAATTAAATTTATAAATTTATATGTATATCTACAATGATTTTTTTAATATAAATGGAACAGAAAGAGTATTTTAATATCTTAAGGCTTGAAATGACAACTTTTAAACTGCATTCTGGTAATTATCTTTCTTTCAATGACTGCCTTGGAAGCACAGAGTGTATGTAGGTTATTTGTTCTTACAATTTTCTGCAGGGATTGTCATGGATTCTCCACATAAAATTAATGTATATAGTATGTTTATTAAAGCATAATTATAGTCTTCATAATATTACAGAATTATTCTAAAACTAAATGCAATAAATTAATTTATAAAAAAATGTTAATTATATTATAAAATATTTCATAATTACTGAATGATATATTAAAAACAAATAGATTTCTTTACAGAAATAAAATCTCTTAGTTTATATCAAAAATTCTATCCTTTCCATTCATCTAGATCAGTGCTTCCTAAACTTTTTTTCATTCATGACCCCATTTTATTATGAGGATTTTTCACGACCACAGGCCACGTATTAAATATAAGATAAAAGACATACAAATATTGTCCATAACTATTTGATTTATTTGCAAGCAAAAAAATATACATACATACATACATATATAAAAAAAACCAGTTTTAGGATTTGCTTTAAGTTTACAAATATTAATAAAAGTAAATTACACTTTAACAATAATGAATAAAATCCAATTGTTTATTCAAATTCAACTGTTTCAATTTTGCTTTGCGACTCCATTTGGGGTCACAACCCACAGTTTAGGAAGCCCTGATCTAGATCATTATTGTTATCTCAAATTCTTCCACAGTCTCCATATAATAACAGAATAAATCCATTTACAATATCAGTGAAGTAAAATTCAGCTTTTTCAGTGTGAAAAGTTCAGAATAAATAACCAAAAGATATTCAAATAAGTATATAGTATATATATTGCTAATATTTTTGACCATACAAGGTTTCTTTTTCAAGACAAACAGTTTTAAATAGAACAAAAAGTGCACTGATAACTCTACTGACCTGTGGTGTGCACCTTTGCACATTTATTTACAATATCTTTTTTAATTAAAAATATTTTGAATATTTTCAAATATTATAGGTTCTTAATTTAAAACAAAGTTGAATCTTATTAATTAAAACTTAGTTCATTCAAATAATTGAATAATTCAAAGTTAGTATATTTTATATTTTAAATATGAAACCTCTAAAAGAGAAAATAGCTTGCGATCTTATGGGGTTATGTTACGGGAAGATCTGGCAACACCAGAGAGAGAGGGACGTGAAAAACAGACAGCCCTGACTAATGTATAAGAGTGAGATTGCCCGGTTCAAGTAAGACACTGAATAAAGCATTCAGAGTAACTGTCTGTATTCCTGTCTCATGGGGGGGGTCTTAAGTATGTCAGAAAGGGCATATAAACACTAAGTAAACCACATAAAACAGTTTACATAATAAATGCATTTCAGATGTTCTTCAAAATGTACATGAATTATGACAATTTAATCCACACTCCAGAAATTTGTGTGTTTCATAGTTTTAATGACATAGCTAAACAACTCTACATAGCTAATGGCTGCTTTGTGAAAAACAAAAACAAAAAAGAAAGTTATGAAATAAAAAATGGACTAGTAAAGTCATGCACTGAATATGAAAATTAAATTTAAATATCTATATAAATTAAAACATGATTTCTAAGTTATTACATCATAAGTATAAAATGAAAATAACTTACCTTACAATTTCATTTACAGTAATTTTTGACACTCCAATTTCTTCTAAAATTCGAATAAGTTCTTCAATTCTAAATGGTTTTAGAACAAGTACCGATGAGTTCTTAATAATGTCTAAATACTCAAAATGTTTTTTTAAAGTTTCTAATGAGTTTTGTAGATGGTCAGGTTTAGTAGTTATTATCCTTGGACAGTCAGCCATAATGTTAATTGCAGTCAGATGAGAACATCCCAAGAAACTAGCCAAATATCTTGAACATAATCCAGTTTTACCTTCTCTAACTATAAACTGATCAGATGACTGAGCACTACACACTCCTACTTGTCCACATTTATCACAGATGATATTTGCCGATGTCACAAATGTCAAATTATTATACAATGTCCGATTAATAAATTCGAAAACATTTCTATTCCTTATAATATGCATTTTCTGTTACTTTTTCTTAATATATTCAAAACACTGTAAAGAAAAAAGCAAATGAATTTTCATCATAAATTAACATAAAATTAATATTTATACAAAAACATTTATATATTTATATAAAACATTTCATAATAGTTTTATTACTCAATGAAGTTTTGTCAAATTTATTGCAAGAAAATGATATTCATTTTTATTGAATCATATATATATATAGTGTGTGTTCTGTATCATCTACGTGATATAAAGTTAACCATCTTATTTTCCACAGAAAGGTAAGTTTTTAGTTGAAAAAAATCTATTTAAACAATTAATGGTAAATAAAAATATATACATATACTGGTTTTTATTTCAATAATATCCATCCTTGAGGTCATTTTCTGTCTATAAGTTTTTGTTAACTAAAATTTGGTCGAAAATCTAAACTAGAAAATACGAGTACAGGTATCCCTTGTATAACATGGTAGTTACATTCTAAAAAAGTGCCATGTTATGCAAACCCATGCTATATGAAACAAATGACTAGTACAAAACACAGAGTTAGGTTCCAAAAGTTATACTCTTCTGATTCATTAATAAGAGAAATATATTTACTAAAGCAATCAATAATTTATTTCCAATCAACGATGAGCAATTATTTATCATGACATTGTCACAATGCCGGGCTGCAATTTTCATCACAATGTTCACAATTTTTTAGTGGTTTTTACTCCTGTAGATCATACTTTTCTTGTTAGCAATAAAGTTGTGCCAGTCATCTATCTAACTCCGTTCAGGGGAAAGTTTTTGAATTGAAATAACATGGTGTACAGTTAATTGGGGCTTCCTGCCCCTAAGCTTTCATCTATCTAACTTCATTCTCAAGATTAAGGAAGGACACACATCCAGACAGATGGACGGACAACAGTGAGAATTTATACATCTACAATTTTTTCAAATTTGCAGTGCAATTAACTAACAATCACAATTAAAAGTATTGTATGACGTGTTAATATTAATTTTAGTTAAATGAGGGCATTTTCTTTTTACAAAGTATCGTCATTTTTTGAGCATTTTTGTTGAAATATCAGCAACATCTGCATTTTTTAAATTTTTACCATAAAAAATTTTTTATGGAACAAAATAAAAATATGTTATTAATCAAAAATTTGTTCTAGCAAGTTGCATTTATTCAGTCAAGTAAAGATACCTCTGTATTTTGTTTGTCGTTTTTACGAATGATCATGCAACCTTACCTACAGTTAAAAAAGTTCAATAACATTTACCTAAACATGTTTAAATAAACTTTATTAAATCTGTCTGTAAAATCTGATCAATCTGTAAAAAAAAAAGTGACAGACTTAAAGACTAAAGTCTGAAAGCAACAATGACACCCAGCTGATAGGAAAGCTAGGACTAGAAAGAAAAAAAAATTGGATTATCAGTTTTCATTAAAGTAAACCTGACGAAAGGTACAAAATAAATTGAGAATTTCAACATCCTAAAATCTGGGAAAATTTGAGACAACACACATGCTTACTTGAATAAAAAAAACTATTGAATAATGGAGTTTGTACTAAAAAATTGTGAAATTTTATACAGAGGATTTCCAAAACCATGTTAGAGCAAAATCACATCAAATGAGGGATACCAATACTTCAATTTTTCTATTTTCATTGGATCTTCCCTCATGTGTAGACCAATAGAAAAAATGTTTATAATAGTACTAGTGACATTTTATGTTGTATTATATCAAAAAATAATGGAGACTATTTGAAAACTGAGAAAAAGCAAAGAATTAGAATTGTTTTTGAAGAGGTCAGGAAGCATTTTTTTTCTCTATAATAAAACAAACAAATAATAAAGATGTCAGTCTTAATTGGAGACTGTGCTATAATCAACTCTGCTTGTAAAATTCCAAAATGTTGGAAGCAGAACTAAACTGAAAACAGAATATAAATAGAACTAAACAGAAAATGGAAGGGAACATAATGTTATTTTTCTGTTTCCATTTTCTGGTAATGTGGAAATCAGCCTTGTTACCAGTATGGCTCCAGAGAATAAATTAGAATAGTATTAGAATAAAAATTGCAACGAATAATGTTGATTAATAAAATGGCAAATATAAAACTGACAGAATTTATTTGGTGGTTCTAAATATAGGACCAATTTGAGAAATCATCTTGAGAACTAATCTGTCATTAGACAGATGAAAATACAAATAGTTTTCTAAAGTTACTAGTGAAATAGTGTTTGAACAAGTTAACTGCAACCTTAAAGAATATAGAATTACATTCGGTTATATGGCACAGCAATATTAACTTTTGTATATGTACATTTGTATACAATGTGTACACAAATAAATATATAAATAACCTAAAGTTAACTGCAAAAATTAGTGTTTTATAAAATCAATTAGGAAACTGCAAGTAATAGTAATACATTGCTTTGACAATGAAATATTTTTTAAAAATGTATATGTTAGTCTTTTTATGGAATAAAATCAACTTACTATCACACGCTTTCGTCACGTGTAATGTTATTGATTTGTTTACTTATTACCGCTTGGGGCGCTGTCAAAATTTTCTTAAGAAGCTTAAAAATAAATAAATAAAATATATATATTTAATAATAATAAATAATTTACACATTAAAACATATACATTTATCCATATAGTCCTTTCAACATAAATTCAAAATTTTCAAACCAGACTAAACCACTTATAAACTATTCATAGGAGTGAAGGGTGTACCCCTGGTACGGCCCCACTCAATGACTTTCTTTATTCGCGTGGTATTGTCCCGTCCCCTAAATGTTTGTTCTGTGGGGAGGCAGAAACTACTGAACATTTCTGGCTAAGGTGTCCAGAGTATACTACGAGTCGCATGGACCTACTGAAACACTTACGACTGAATTTACAGACTGTGCGTACATTGTCTCCTCTGTATTGGCCACAGGCCGACATGTCCTCGAGGTATCATGTCTACCTTCTAGAACAGTATATTCATCGATCGGGTCGCTTTAACAACTAAGGTGGCGCTGCACGTCGGAGAAAAAGCGAATAGGCTGCAATCTCCATATAAACGAGAGAGAGAGAGAGAGAGAGAGAGGAGAAGAAGGGTGTACCCAATGTCATAGGACTTCAATAAACAATTTATTATTTGCAATTAATGAAGAAATCTCTCCCAAGCTGCCGGATTATGCGAAAGTTCCCAATTGAAGTACTTTTTATGGCGCTTCAGTGACCAAAAAAAGTGTTTTGGAGATAGTCGCCACTTAGGCGAATTTGTAAGGCCGAGACTCCACTAGCGTAAAAACTGGCGTAAAAACCCTCGCCGTAAAAGCTTTTAATCACGTGACCATGATATTTTACGTCTGAGCAGGTCGTAAAACCAGCGTAAAAGCAACTTTCGGCGCGAATACGGCCGTAAAACGGTACCATCCACCAATCAGAAGTCAGTGAAATCTAGGTCATTGTGACACGGTGCGAAAATGGCGGAAAACGAGCTTTTGTGTACGTTCCCTCGTGGCTACTCTAGAATAGATCTGGAAAGATTTATCGAAAACATCCGAAAGTATTCTTATATCTACGACAAGAGTTATCCTGATTATAATAATGGATGCCTAAAACACGCGATATGGACGGCCAAAGGAAAATCTTTCAATTTAGAGGAGTATATAATAAAGAGTTAAGCTTATATTATTTTAATAATATGATAATTAAAGTTAATATATGAAAGTAAAGATATTATTTTTACTACATTTGTAATTATAGTACAGAAAAAAACTCGTAGAATATAATCATTGTCTTTATATCGATATATCACGTATACAACCATCTTCCGTTTCCACCAATTCACGCGCGAAGTATTTACATTCGATACTTGGGGTAACACCGTCGCCGTAAAAACTTCGCTAGCCGGTCCTCCACCGCAATCCAGACGCAAACGCAAATAGGTCACGTGATTAAAAGTTTTTACGGCCAAGGTTTTTACCCTAGTGGAGTCTCCGCCTAACACTGTATAGTCGCCAACGAGCTAAAATATATTAGATAATGGCTGTGACCTATAGTGGTACTATGACCTTAGATACAGAACTCTTACTAGCAACGACGGGTACTATCGACCGCCATTTTACTTTAAGTCAAAACCAACGAGCTAGAATATACTAATATAGGACGCGTTTGGAAATTGTAACCGGTGTTACCGGTAACACCGGTTACAATTTCCAAACGCGCCCATAGAGTGGCTTTAGCGACGCCATGTTGGAAGAAAATTGAATACACGTCCGCCATTTTCCTTTTAGCCAAGAAATGAAAATATCCTTAGAATAAGGCCTGCAATGCAGTGCCTGGCATTGTGACGAAGTGACAATAAATATTTGCTCGTTTTCTTTTGCTTTCACATTTCTAATGATTTTTATTACTTTTCCGGCGTATGTACAGTACAATACAGTAGAGGAGAAGGTGGTATTATGGAACACTGCGGGTATTATGGAACCACCCCATTTCGAACTGATAATAAAGGCGAACTGTAGCGGAATGTGGCTGAACTGAACTAGGCAGACATCCATAGCGAGGGGAAAACTCGTTTTACTTCAGTTAAACAGTTGTCCGTATTTAATCAGCAAATTTGTTTTTTTCAAAATTCACAAGTTTTAAATGCTAAGTGAATTTAATTATTTTTAAAATATAAATCGTGTAGTTGTAGGTTCACTGGTGCATGTATTCCGTTCCAGAGACTTAGGGGTACACATTAATCTGGTGTGATGTTCACGTTTTTTAAATTTTGGTCTCGACAGACATAAGTTAATTCAAGATAGCGATGCGTGAAATACGGACCCCTTTGGTGTTTTTACAGTAATATGGAACTCAACTCCTCCGAACTTTCTATTTGCAAGCAGACATTCCTCCAGAGCAATTTGTGAAAAAGACACTAGGTAGAAAGTCAATTCTTCCCGAGAATATCGAAAAAGAGCTGCCGGAATATATATATTGTTGATGGAGGTCATATTTTTCTATTATAAAAGCATTTTTGCGATAAAATACATTGGAGTAAATAATTTGGTAATTATTTATCATTTTTTGTCCTTTCCTATTTTTTTTTTGGCTACATTAAAGCATTTTTTTGAAAATATACAGTAAGGTTCCATATTACCACCCGATTTTCTCTAAGCCTACTTTCTGACTTTTTGTACAAAACCCTTCAAAAACTATACTTATAATTACACTAGCGAAAAATCCAATTAGGAACATTTAGTTTAATAGTTACCAGTACTTTTCGCACGAAAAATGTGGGTGTAGTTATGATACCTTGTTTACAATTCACTAAAATGTAATTGGGGTTCCATAATACCATAAATACCATAATTCCATAAATGTGGGTGTAGTTATGATACCTTGTTTACAATTCACTAAAATGTAATTGGGGTTCCATAATACCACCTTCTCCTCTACAACTTTGGGAGGATTTTAACAATCACTGTACAGTCGACCCCCCTATAACACTGTTGGTTTTTCCGTTTTATATGAATTCCATGTTGTACGAGTCACTTAGATTTTACAAATACGTGAGCCGTTCACAGCCCGGCACATGTATTTGTAAAATCTAAGTGACTCGTACAACATGAAATTCATATAAAACGGAATTATCAACAACAATGTTATTATATACAGTCGATCCCATATAACAACAATGTTATAGGGGGTCGACTGTATATAAATCTATAAAACACTCATGTCAGTAAGTTTGATAAAATTAACAAATTACGATTTATCATTTGAAATTATAACATTGCGGTAAAGTACCGTTGACAGAATCAAATACGAAATTTTCATTGTTGGCACTATAAGAATATTTAGAGAATTAGTAACAAGATGAAAACAAATTGATCCGCATTCATAATGTTAAATCCTTTTTTCTTTCTTAATTTACTTAAAAATTTGATTTCGAATGCAATTTTTTTTCAAATTAGAAAATTTTATTTGTTGTATGAATAAAATCCGTATTTTATTAAAAAGGTAGGGTAACTAATTGTATCATATTTCGCCTTTGTACCAAATACCGCTTAAGATTGTGGAGGCCAAATAAGTAGCACGAGGTGCAAACTTCCGTCAGGGAGAGGTAGGACATGCTTGGATACCTTCCATATCGTTACAACACCAAATCCATTTGTTACTGTTTTCACATTTTTACCGCGGTACGCTTGCCTTTTAATGTCCACATTCACCTGCTTACGGTACATGCACTGGTGGTTAGTGATTTTTTCGGCTATGTTTGCTTTTCTTGTCCATCGCATTGTTCACGAGCTCGCAATAGTTAGGGTAGGTGGAATAAGGTATGGTGGAACAGTTACTCTATTATCCTTACTGATTTCTTTAAACGGTGTCAATAATTTTATACAAAATATATGCTTATTATATGTGAAGATTGAATTGCTATGTTTACAGGTGTATTTAGTATAGAACAATACGGGGGCAGATATACTCCAAAATCATCGTCTTAGAGAAGGTCGCCAATGGTAAGTAGCTTCGATATGCACAGTACTTTTCTGCTTTGTTTTCTTTAATCAGAATAAAGTTCATGGTGTACTTCGTCTTTCCGTCTAATATGCTCACATCTATAATTTACAACGTAGGAGGATGTTTTCTCTGTTGGCTCCGTCCTACTCATCAATGTCACTGCCAAAGTAGGCCTTATCCAAATAAAACAGAAAAGTTGTAGCTTCTTTTCTTTAAAGAAAGCAAACCAAGAATTATCGTTTATAATATGAAAAAATGGGGAATTTGATCACTTGTAGTGATTCACAAATTATATATTATAAACTATTTTAAATCAACTGAACTAAATAAAAATGATTGAACGCCAAGTGTTTGAATTTATTACACTAAATAGTGTTTAAGAATAAAAACAAAACTATTTTAAAGTAGAAAGAAGTAATTTAAGCATTTTTTTAACAAAAGACATTCTTTTAATGCTATTCATCAAAAATTTTGTCTATAAAACTTCATGCTATTCGAAGAATACTAAAATCTAACTTGTCTACGATTTTCATAATATGTGGTGGCAAAAATAATAGTAAGTGTATAATTAAAACAATTAAAAATAAATCCAGCAACGAGTTGTTTAACTTTTCCAGCAACATTTCGTTGCGCCATCTGTTATGATATTTTATTATTAAAAACTTTTTATATTTTTAACTATTATAAAATGGAAATTTTTAGGATGACTTTTATAAAACAAGTACAGAAATCTCCCTGCAAAATTTTAGGAATTTTCGACAAAAAGCACAGGAGTTATTAAGCTTCAAAGAGGGTGAACAAAATCGTGTCACCATACACTAACATCCATACATACAAAAAAAAAACACTTGATTTTTAGCATTTATCTACGTTTAAAGGTGTCCTGAGTCCAAAAATGTAAAAATTTTGGGGGTCTTTTTTTGACCGATCGCTATACTTTCCTATTATACATAACATCCAGAAAATTAATTACAAAATTATATTTTTTAAATATTCTAATTATATACTGGCGTAGACAAGATAGTTTATAAAAAATATATATATAAATAATACTAATTTGAATAATAAAAACATTTTAATTGAATTTACTTCTTTTTATTAATTTTCGTTTGTGTATAATATCAAACATTTTTGATATTTAGAATTCTTTGATGTTATTGTATTAATGAAATATAAAATACACCGGTATGTCTATTGTGATTTATCAGTTAAATAGGAATTAAGTTTGTATAGGTTATACCGTTAAAATGCAGAAATATTCAGTCCCATTCCTGAAAGAGCGATGCACTCGTTTGGCACAGGCTTTTAATTGGAAGTGCTTCAAATTTCTTGTAAATTTATACAGTAGACTTCGCTTGTTAGAAAACACTACAATTTATCCCGGTTACACTACTACACTCACTCGCATCACTCGTTTCCTCGTTGATGTGAGATGTTAGAATAGAAGAAGGTTTGTTGCTAAATAACAAAATGGCGCAATCAAAAAGTTACCAGAAAGATCTGAAACCTCAAAAAAGTAACATATTTTAGATACTATGACGTGTCAAGGGTCGACACTTGATGCTTGATAGAACCGAGTTGATTAATTTAAACTCTTTTCTCCTGTTTTTAAAAATGTTTATTCAATTTTCTCTTGTACAATACAGTTTTCTTATACAGTGCGTCAAAAAATTATAGGAAAAAAGTTTTATGTGATAATTATTTATTTATTTATTAACATGTATTAATCAAAATTTGGTCATTTATGTATCAAATAATATCACACACATAACAATTATCCAAATTAATAAATTAAATTGAGCAGAATAAATAAATCAACGATAGTTAACAATAATCAGAAGGTATGGTCAAATAATTATAGAAAAAATCCTAATGTTCTAAAAGACATATAATTATTTCATAATTAGTGTTTGGTTCTGCCACCATTTTTACTTATCAACTCGAATACTCGATTCTTCGTGGAATTGATAAGATTGTGGCGTGTTTCATCTCGAATATTCTCCTATGCTTCCAAGATGGCCATTTTAAGTTCATTAGCAGGTGTTAAACTGTTGTTCACCACTGTAAATCACTTCTTTCGCGCAAGAAGCCCCTTCAGAATCTCAATTGGATTGAAATCTGGACTGCACGCTGGCCAGTCAAGAACAATTATATCCTGGTTGAAACATTCAATTTTGTCAATTTGTCAACCAATAATTGGCCCAAATGGCGAAAGATGGTTTTGTAAAGTATCCTGATAGTCCTTAGCCTTTTTCCGTCCAGAAATAAATACGATTTTAGTCTGACCATTGAATCCGAATACGCCCCAAACTAACACAGAACTTTCACCTGACACACGATTGAAGAACGATTCTTGTTCTCTTTTTAAATCGTGCTATCCAAGTTGTTATATTTTCTTTGATATTTCTTCATATTTCTTTCCATACGACTGTAATTTAAGAATATGGCGCACTTCATCCTCACCGAGCTCGGTTCCTCGAAGCATACTGGCTATCGCCAACAGGACAATAAAAACTTGCTTAATAGTTTTAAATTTGGCGGTTAATTACTTTTAGTTTCGATATGCAGCCTTTGCCACTAGAGCGTGCAAGATTTAGGGAAAAACTCGATGTCAAATCCAAAGAGTATTGCTTTTTCTATAATTATTTGACACGTAAACTCTGATTATTGTTGCCTGTCTAAAACATTTTGAATGTAATTATTGAATGTACCCATTTAATCAATTCATAATACTGTAATGATCATTTGCTAAAAGTTTTGTTACAATAGATGCAAGTGTTTTTTAAATATCAACGATAAATTTTTCTCCCTATAATTTTTTGACGCACTGTATACATATTTATATTAGGCCAGTCCTTATTATGGTGTTAAAAGAAAAGTTGTAGTTTGTATAGGCACCTGCCTAACTTGCTACCAAAGTTAAAACATTAAATTTTCTTTATTTTAAGCAAAACATTACTAAACATTTAAAACTTACAGCTGATACTTTCCATGCTACAATACAAATCTAACCATACTTATACATTTATACAATCGAAAAAGAAAGTGTGGCATGGTCTCTCCAGGTTCACTATATCGATTGCAAATTAAAATAAGAATTCCTGGCGTATTTACATTATTCTCTCTGTACTGCTGTATCTAAAAAATGATAAAACGAGAGACGAGTATAAAATTTCATTCTCAAATCTTTAACATTATTGTTNTTAGGAATTTATTTTAATTTTAAGAAACTCAAAATCAATATTATAACCAGAGATGAGAAAACTGAATTTCATGACATTGTTGTGTGCCTAAGACATTTGACCTTAGATAGGAAAAGAGTCTTATTTAAGACCCTTATATCTATACTTATGCCTCAGAACATTTATACAATCGAAAAAGAAAGAGTGGCATGGTCTCTCCAGGTTCACTATATCGATTGCAAATTAAAATAAGAATTCCTGACGTATTTACATTATTCTCTCTGTACTGCTGTATCTAAAAAATGATAAAACGAGAGACGAGTATAAAATTTCATTCTCAAATCTTTAACATTATTGTTGTTAAGAACGTTAAATGAGAGAATTAATTCCTGATTTGATTTTCTCTCAGGCTATTGTATGCTATGACCATACCTGAGAGCCACTTCATTCAGAAAATTTTTTCTTGTTGTATTAAATAATATTAATATAAATTTAAATGTTTCGGTAATAATGATTAACTTCTAAGCGGTAATTTCTTAAAATAATTAAAAATTAATTCTGTGTGTATTTAAATGTATATATTTTGGGGGTGTTTTTTTGACCGATCGCTATACTTTCCTATTATACATAACATCCAGAAAATTAATTACAAAATTATATTTTTTAAATATTCTAATTATATACTGGCGTAGACAAGATAGTTTATAAAAAATATATATATAAATAATACTAATTTGAATAATAAAAACATTTTAATTGAATTTACTTCTTTTTATTAATTTTCGTTTGTGTATAATATCAAACATTTTTGATATTTAGAATTCTTTGATGTTATTGTATTAATGAAATATAAAATACACCGGTATGTCTATTGTGATTTATCAGTTAAATAGGAATTAAGTTTGTATAGGTTATACCGTTAAAATGCAGAAATATTCAGTCCCATTCCTGAAAGAGCGATGCACTCGTTTGGCACAGGCTTTTAATTGGAAGTGCTTCAAATTTCTTGTAAATTTATACAGTAGACTTCGCTTGTTAGAAAACACTACAATTTATCCCGGTTACACTACTACACTCACTCGCATCACTCGTTTCCTCGTTGATGTGAGATGTTAGAATAGAAGAAGGTTTGTTGCTAAATAACAAAATAGCGCAATCAAAAAGTTACCAGAAAGATCTGAAACCTCAAAAAAGTAACATATTTTAGATACTATGACGTGTCAAGGGTCGACACTTGATGCTTGATAGAACCGAGTTGATTAATTTAAACTCTTTTCTCCTGTTTTTAAAAATGTTTATTCAATTTTCTCTTGTACAATACAGTTTTCTTATACAGTGCGTCAAAAAATTATAGGAAAAAAGTTTTATGTGATAATTATTTATTTATTTATTAACATGTATTAATCAAAATTTGGTCATTTATGTATCAAATAATATCACACACATAACAATTATCCAAATTAATAAATTAAATTGAGCAGNGACATGACCTACGAGTAAAAGCCATTACTACTCTATTCTACTCTATACTTAATACAATTTCATACTTAGAAATACAATATATAGCTGTCTTATATCTTAGGCATAAACCAAGATCTATACGAGGTCCAGTTTTCGATGCTAATATAATAATTACAGGCATATAAAGTTTCGTATACTTTTAGTAATTGATCCATAAATATTGTTGTTTTCACAAGCTAATTAAAAATATCTGGCCATTGAAAATTTGGCCAACACTTTCATATCTTGTGAAAATGACCAAACCAGCAGTTTTTGTTTATTTTTCCACAGCTGTCAGATCTTTCAACAAAGACAATATATTCATTACAATATCTACAAATTCTAAGAAAATTAATCTAAATAAGGATTGAAAATATGTAAAGATGTAATGAGTGATAGTAAAGTTAAGCGATTCATCCTTCGACTATTTAAAATATATGCTCTCCACCTCAAATTAGTAGTGGCTTGCCCCTGTACATCATACTTTTCCTTTAACAATAGAGTCGTGCCGATCATCTATTAACTGCTTTCAGGGGAAAAGTTTGAATTGCAATAACATATTTTCTGGTTTGTATCATAACATCATATATAATTATTCGGGGCCTCCTGCCCGTATGTTTTCCATATCTGGTTTCAGCTTCCATCTATCTAACTCTGTTCTTCAGATTAAGGAAAGACAGACGGATGAAAGTAGGAATTCATAGGTGTACAATTTTTTTAAATTGCAGTCCAATAATTTGTCTCACTAAATAAGCTGTTCGCTACATGTAAAATCCAACTTGTTTTGGCATTTTGGTAATTATAGCTACTTCGATGTGTGATAATTCTGTTTTTATTATTCAACTATTTTTATCTAATTGTTGTAACTCCTTCCTTGTTGCCTCTTGAAACAGGATTCATTCCTTTTTACAATTATTATATGTAGTTACATTAAAATAACTTTGTATTTGTTGAAATAAAGTTGCACTTCATCTATTGGAAGAGTAAATAGCTTGTCCACTTTTAAGTTATAAATGCGTTTTTTTTTCCATAAAAGTAAATTAATACAATGGCAGTAATTATTGAAAATATCGATGCGATTGAAATTATAAGAAAAGCTTTTGGTGATTTTTAAATTTAAATAAAAGAGATTCTTTAGTATTACTAATTTCTAATATTTATTAAGTCGATAATTTCTAATATTTATTAAGTCGATAAATAGACTTTTCTATGGGACTGTGTACGTATTGGTGAGAGGATTGGATTGGATTGATGACATAAGACAATGCAACACATGCCATGGATGGGATACTCCCATGAGGACTTCTATGATAAAGTGGTCCCTATTTAGGTGTTTGAGACGTGAAGAAAACGCGGAAAATCTTCGCTACCAGTCTTTTGGTCGGGCGTTAACCCACGGTGTGTTTAGTAATGTTATTTATTCACTCGGACATCGGTCGGCCATATTGGTAAAAAGTTTTAAAATATTCAGATACACAGACGTTTCCTTCAAATATAAAAGTAAACATTAAATCAATTTTTCATGTATGTTTGTAGTTTTTACTTAAATATAGAGGAAGAAATTGAAAAATATTATATTTCAGATGTATCAAAATATTTCAAGTACTGTACATTTTAATATAAACCAAAGATTAAAAAAAAACAATTCAAATGATATATATCCATTTAATATATGTAATATATTAATAGTTTAAAAAACTTACGAAAAATACTTCAATATTAAATACAATTTAATAGTTTCCTGTTAGAATTATTTTATTTCGAATATTTTTATATTATAACATAGGCCATTCGTTTAATATAATCAATACCTTGTATTGATTATATTAAACGAATATTTATTTCGATTTGAGAATAATTTGATAATATTGATTTCTGCAGATTTGGAAGACGACCGGCGATACTTTTATGTATTCTCATTCACTCAATATTTGGAATTGCTTCTATTATTTCTCCATATTATTGGGCATTTGCATTGTTTCGATTTCTTTTGTCCATAGGGAGTTCGGGATGCTCTATTACCAGTTTCGTAATTGGTAAGGTTTTAATAAATATCTAGCTTTTAAATTAGGAAAAATTATATAAAATTAAAAAAATATATATATAAATAATACTAATTTGAATAATAAAAACATTTTAATTGAATTTACTTCTTTTTATTAATTTTCGTTTGTGTATAATATCAAACATTTTTGATATTTAGAATTCTTTGATGTTATTGTATTAATGAAATATAAAATACACCGGTATGTCTATTGTGATTTATCAGTTAAATAGGAATTAAGTTTGTATAGGTTATACCGTTAAAATGCAGAAATATTCAGTCCCATTCCTGAAAGAGCGATGCACTCGTTTGGCACAGGCTTTTAATTGGAAGTGCTTCAAATTTCTTGTAAATTTATACAGTAGACCTCGCTTGTTAGAAAACACTACAATTTATCCCGGTTACACTACTACACTCACTCGCATCACTCGTTTCCTCGTTGATGTGAGATGTTAGAATAGAAGAAGGTTTGTTGCTAAATAACAAAATGGCGCAATCAAAAAGTTACCAGAAAGATCTGAAACCTCAAAAAAGTAACATATTTTAGATACTATGACGTGTCAAGGGTCGACACTTGATGCTTGATAGAACCGAGTTGATTAATTTAAACTCTTTTCTCCTGTTTTTAAAAATGTTTATTCAATTTTCTCTTGTACAATACAGTTTTCTTATACAGTGCGTCAAAAAATTATAGGAAAAAAGTTTTATGTGATAATTATTTATTTATTTATTAACATGTATTAATCAAAATTTGGTCATTTATGTATCAAATAATATCACACACATAACAATTATCCAAATTAATAAATTAAATTGAGCAGAATAAATAAATCAACGATAGTTAACAATAATCAGAAGGTATGGTCAAATAATTATAGAAAAAATCCTAATGTTCTAAAAGACATATAATTATTTCATAATTAGTGTTTGGTTCTGCCACCATTTTTACTTATCAACTCGAATACTCGATTCTTCGTGGAATTGATAAGATTGTGGCGTGTTTCATCTCGAATATTCTCCTATGCTTCCAAGATGGCCATTTTAAGTTCATTAGCAGGTGTTAAACTGTTGTTCACCACTGTAAATCACTTCTTTCGCGCAAGAAGCCCCTTCAGAATCTCAATTGGATTGAAATCTGGACTGCACGCTGGCCAGTCAAGAACAATTATATCCTGGTTGAAACATTCAATTTTGTCAATTTGTCAACCAATAATTGGCCCAAATGGCGAAAGATGGTTTTGTAAAGTATCCTGATAGTCCTTAGCCTTTTTCCGTCCAGAAATAAATACGATTTTAGTCTGACCATTGAATCCGAATACGCCCCAAACTAACACAGAACTTTCACCTGACACACGATTGAAGAACGATTCTTGTTCTCTTTTTAAATCGTGCTATCCAAGTTGTTATATTTTCTTTGATATTTCTTCATATTTCTTTCCATACGACTGTAATTTAAGAATATGGCGCACTTCATCCTCACCGAGCTCGGTTCCTCGAAGCATACTGGCTATCGCCAACAGGACAATAAAAACTTGCTTAATAATTTTAAATTTGGCGGTTAATTACTTTTAGTTTCGATATGCAGCCTTTGCCACTAGAGCGTGCAAGATTTAGGGAAAAACTCGATGTCAAATCCAAAGAGTATTGCTTTTTCTATAATTATTTGACACGTAAACTCTGATTATTGTTGCCTGTCTAAAACATTTTGAATGTAATTATTGAATGTACCCATTTAATCAATTCATAATACTGTAATGATCATTTGCTAAAAGTTTTGTTACAATAGATGCAAGTGTTTTTTAAATATCAACGATAAATTTTTCTCCCTATAATTTTTTGACGCACTGTATACATATTTATATTAGGCCAGTCCTTATTATGGTATTAAAAGAAAAGTTGTAGTTTGTATAGGCACCTGACTAACTTGCTACCAAAGTCAAAACATTAAATTTTCTTTATTTTAAGCAAAACATTACTAAACATTTAAAACTTACAGCTGATACTTTCCATGCTACAATACAAATCTAACCATACTTATGCATTTATACAATCGAAAAAGAAAGAGTGGCATGGTCTCTCCAGGTTCACTATATCGATTGCAAATTAAAATAAGAATTCCTGGCGTATTTACATTATTCTCTCTGTACTGCTGTATCTAAAAAATGATAAAACGAGAGACGAGTATAAAATTTCATTCTCAAATCTTTAACATTATTGTTGTTAAGAACGTTAAATGAGAGAATTAATTCCTGATTTGATTTTCTCTCAGGCTATTGTATGCTATGACCATACCTGAGAGCCACTTCATTCAGAAAATTTTTTCTTGTTGTATTAAATAATATTAATATAAATTTAAATGTTTCGGTAATAATGATTAACTTCTAAGCGGTAATTTCTTAAAATAATTAAAAATTAATTCTGTGTGTATTTAAATGTATATAAATATTTATAACATTATTTATAAATTATTCACACATCAAAGAATTATATTATTATATTCAACTTATAAATTTATTACTTTTAATACGAAAACATTAAAGCTCACGTTGTAACTTGCTTTCGATATGTAAAAAAATTAATTATTAATTAAATATTAATTAAAAACTCATTAAATATTTTTATTTTAAAATCGAAATGAGTAAATTTAGCTTATTTAAAAGTCATATTTTAAAAATAATTTACTTATAAATTACTAAATATCAATTAATAGAAAATTGAAAAGCTATCAGATGGCAATATAATACAAATCTATTTTAGTAAACGAATAGCAAATATAAATAGTTTAATTACAATCAAATATAATGACAATATCAAATATAAATATTGTAATATTTTCTGATTAGATGAAGTCTCAAACCTGGAAACAATTGAACATACGTAAGAGAATTTGAGGATAAAAACCAAAAGGGGGAATTTATAGCGCTATACTCTACTGCGTATACGTTACAAAAGAGTTCTCTTATAAAACAAAATTATAAATTTCTACCGTTTTAAACCATTTGACGTACTCCTAACTGATTAGTTCAGTTGCTAGATGTTAACGATCCGTTTGAGAAGTTCAAGAGTCAATCAAGGTCAGCCCAATTTTATTATCCAATCTCTATTTTTTTTTATTGTTAATTTACATACAAAATAATAATCTATGAATATTAATCGTATCTAAATGTCAACTTAAAACTATCTTTAATTCACAAATTTAATGATAATTACCGAATATAATCTACATTTAGTTCGATAACCATTGATTCTGACATGCCATACAAAAAACTCTGAACGTACAGTACCTTTGTGTCTATGAAAATCCTTTTATATAAATTTATTAGAAGTGAAACGAAGAACGTGTGTTGATAATATGTAAGAATATAATTCATATTTTATTTAAATTAGTGTAATAAATAGCCTTAGTCTAAGCCATAATACAAAATGCCATTCTATTGAAAGAGATTTAAAAATATCAAGTTCACTTGAAGGTTCAACGACAGACAAAAATAGAATTAGGACTTTTTCAGATAGATGGAGCTAATTCGTCGTTTTGACCTAACTAATTTCAGTTTTAAATTTGAAAAACTAAGCTCAAGAAAAAATTTAAAATATTTTTATTTATACCCGAACACTTCTAGAGGATTAATCATTCAAAAATCATATATATTATCGTTGTTTTATTGCATTAAAATTATGCTGTAAAAATGCTCTAAAATAAATATAAACTACATCTATATATAATAGAGAGAAAGTATGGCGATTGGTCAAAAATGACCCCTAAGATTTTTACATTTTTCGACTCAAAGAACCTCGAAACATCAAGATATGTAAAAACATTCAGGTTTTTTCCTTTATGTATGGATGCTAGTGTGTGTACTGTACGTGTGTGTGTGGGGACACGATTTTATTCACCCCTTTGAAGCTTAATAACTCCTGTACTTTTTGTCGAAAATTTCTGAAAGTTTGTATGGAGATATGTGTACTGAAGGCATTGATGCAATTAAATTTTGGTGGTAAAAGGTCTACAGGTGAGAAGATAGAGGGTGGCCGCGTATCATATCTCGAGTGGGATCGGACTTAATGAAGATTTTTACTCGTTATTAGCATTTACAATTTTTAAAAATAAAACTCGTCCCTACCCTCGAAATTAAGCTATTCATTTAATCTATATCTTATATTAAAATTTTGTAACAGAAATTTTACATAAATTTAATAGTCACCACTTTAAATTATTAACAAAACTTATAAAGATTAATTCTATTTGCCGGCAGAAGGTATTAGAAGACATTAAAACGGCTTTGGTTGCATGCACACTTCGGTGGAAACAAATAAGAACAAAAATACAGTAATATGGCGGAAAATGTACACTTTCCATTTATATTTAATGGAAGTAGCTAGTGAAAGAGATTATGTTTTAAAAATAATATCAATAAAATTTTTAAAATATTCAAATAATAGCAAATTTTATGCTAATTTATTTTAATAAACGATTTGTAAGGAATATTTACTCTAAAATAAAATAAGAAGGAAATAAATAAATAAATTTATATTTAATAATCTAAACTTGAATTTTGTACAAGGTGAATTTGTTATTAATGATTAAAATGTTCTAATTTTAAAAGAACGGAGAGTAGAAATTAAATTTTTATTTGTTTCCCGCTTTCTATATCTATAATTATTATAAAATGGCTAAAATCTTAATTTAGATGGTAGAGACGGGCTTTATATAAAAAGAAAAAAAATGTAAATGTAAAAATTGTAAAATCAGTAATATCTTTATTAAATTCGACCCTCCTCCAGATATGACACAAGACCCATCTCTGTCAACTCATCCCCTCGACCGTTAACCACCAAAATTTAATAGTATCGATGTCGTTAATACACAAACCTCCCTACAAAATTTCAGAGATTTTCGTAAAGAAGAATAGGAGTTATTAAGCTTCAAATTGTCGTACTTCCCACACAATACTCCAACAATCATATATATAGGAAAACACCGAAATTTCTTTGCATTTCTCGGCATTTCAATGTGTAAATTGACTGATCACCGTACTTTCCCTCTATTATTTTCTGAATATAACAGAACCTGAGAGTAAAAACTGTTAGTGTAATTATGCTAGGTAGCAAAATTTAGGAATTTATTTTAATTTTAAGAAACTCAAAATCGATATTATAACCAGAGATGAGAAAACTGAATTTCATGACATTGTTGTGTGCCTAAGACATTTGACCTTAGATAGGAAAAGAGTCTTATTTAAGACCCTTATATCTATACTTATGCCTCAGAAACTTGTATATTCAAGAGAAAGATGAAATAATAATACAGTTAATAAATTATTAATAAGCAGTAAAACTATCGAGATTAATAAGATACGATATCAAACACAGAAAACGCAATTAGCACATAAATTTTATTTAAAGTTATAAATGATAGAATAGCAAATAGGGCAATTTTTAATTTGTTTTACTTATTACGTCTATACAAAGTATACACGATAGGAAATTTAAATATTAAATTACAGCTTTCAGTTTGGAATGATCTTTGATTTATCAAGATTATTTCTAGTCGATTAGCGAATCCTGTATTAAATCAATTTATAGACTAAAACTGGTATGAAAATATGAATTAATTTTAAAAATTAATATTCTTTAAGAAACAAAAAATAAAAAGAAAAGGAGTTAATCTAAACAAGGAGATAAATCAACTATATTTATTCAGTAGATGTTTACATAATATCAATTTATCGCTTAAATATAATAAATAAGATTTAATATTGATAGGGCAATTATGACAGAGATCGAAGACATCACCGACCTCATCGGAAAATTTGGAAAATGGCAGAAAATGTTATTTGCTTTTCTTTCGTACGTAACGGCGCTATTGGCTTTCAACAATCTCAATTTGCCATTTATTATACCAAAAATAGACCATTGGTGTGCCAGTCCCTACGAATATAGTAATGTATCTACCGAAATGTGGAAGAATCAGTCGATACCATTCGAAATCGTAGAAGGAGAATTAATATTTAGAAAATGCGAAATGTATGAAAAACATTTGGGGAGAAATGCTACTTGGAACCAATCCATTATTCCCTGTTCTACTTGGGAATTCGATCATTCAAAATATGGAGATACCATTACTGAAAAGGTATGTAAACGTTTTAATCGTAAATTTTTTATCAATTAATTGGTTTATTTTATTGGAAAATAGTGGAATTTAGTTTGTAATTATTCCTGGTTGGAATCGTTTGTCGGATCCGTTCATTTTTTCGGTTATTTCATAACTGCATTTGTCATTGGCCACATATCAGACAGGTAAGTAATATTATCAAATTACTTCTATTGTAAATTATCAATTAACTATAAGAAAATATTACAGTTATATTAAGAATGGATATATAAATATCGAATATCGATACGCTTGTAGTTCCTACACTATAAAAAATCAATTTTGCTTATTTTAATTGATTTATTGACGTAGCTACTTACGTAGTCTGCAGTGTTAAAGACTAGTGTTCTGTATGGGATAGTAGGGTTACAACATATCCGTCTTATTTAAACAGCCACGCGCATATTGAGGCATATCAATTCGACCTGGCGCAGAATTAAGACGAAGAGTTACGTTTTTGTAATTAAAATTTTTAAAATTAGTATTGGTAGATTGATAGCTTTCGCTCCATCTAACCCGACCGCTGACACGTGTTTGAATGTATGAGAGTGAGAGCGAAAGAGTGTGATTAGAAGAAAACGGTTAATACTCACAGGAGAATGCAACCCATACACTTATCGAGAGACGATCCTTGCACCTGCTGGGCATGGAAGAGGCCATCTTTACATTTCTAATAGTTGTAATGACACAAATATACTCTTATAAATAAATATTTTATTGATTCTTTGTGAAATTTGTAAAAACTTGCAGATTTTTCTATACCAGGGATACGCAATTAGTTTGTTTACACTTATAAAAATTGCTTAAAATTAAATCTGTATGGGCCCGTTACTTGGTTATAAAACTAGAAACTATATTTAGGCTAAATATAAATGGTATGGTTAAAAATCCAGCACGATATCTCTAAACAGAATGTTTAAATGATCTAAATCTTGTATATTAATCAAATATAAATAATTATTAATGATTAATACTGTTAATCTAATCTAAATATATAACTGATTAATTAAGGAAAAAAATTATACATGAATAGATTCACGCCAAGTTTTCCTAATGTTACATAAACAAAGCCAAATTTCTAATTACGTAATTTCATTTCTGTATGAAAAGAATGTAAAAATTTACACAATGGCTTATTTAATGATATATGTAATAACTTTTTGTGGAAAAGTTAAATTTACTTATCTCTTGCTGGCAGGTAGGGAAAAATGCATCTATGAACTGACATGACCTACGAGTAAAAGCCATTACTACTCTATTCTACTCTATACTTAATACAATTTCATACTTAGAAATACAATATATAGCTGTCTTATATCTTAGGCATAAACCAAGATCTATACGAGGTCCAGTTTTCGATGCTAATATAATAATTACAGGCATATAAAGTTTCGTATACTTTTAGTAATTGATCCATAAATATTGTTGTTTTCACAAGCTAATTAAAAATATCTGGCCATTGAAAATTTGGCCAACACTTTCATATCTTGTGAAAATGACCAAACCAGCAGTTTTTGTTTATTTTTCCACAGCTGTCAGATCTTTCAACAAAGACAATATATTCATTACAATATCTACAAATTCTAAGAAAATTAATCTAAATAAGGATTGAAAATATGTAAAGATGTAATGAGTGATAGTAAAGTTAAGCGATTCATCCTTCGACTATTTAAAATATATGCTCTCCACCTCAAATTAGTAGTGGCTTGCCCCTGTACATCATACTTTTCCTTTAACAATAGAGTCGTGCCGATCATCTATTAACTGCTTTCAGGGGAAAAGTTTGAATTGCAATAACATATTTTCTGGTTTGTATCATAACATCATATATAATTATTCGGGGCCTCCTGCCCGTATGTTTTCCATATCTGGTTTCAGCTTCCATCTATCTAACTCTGTTCTTCAGATTAAGGAAAGACAGACGGATGAAAGTAGGAATTCATAGGTGTACAATTTTTTTAAATTGCAGTCCAATAATTTGTCTCACTAAATAAGCTGTTCGCTACATGTAAAATCCAACTTGTTTTGGCATTTTGGTAATTATAGCTACTTCGATGTGTGATAATTCTGTTTTTATTATTCAACTATTTTTATCTAATTGTTGTAACTCCTTCCTTGTTGCCTCTTGAAACAGGATTCATTCCTTTTTACAATTATTATATGTAGTTACATTAAAATAACTTTGTATTTGTTGAAATAAAGTTGCACTTCATCTATTGGAAGAGTAAATAGCTTGTCCACTTTTAAGTTATAAATGCGTTTTTTTTTCCATAAAAGTAAATTAATACAATGGCAGTAATTATTGAAAATATCGATGCGATTGAAATTATAAGAAAAGCTTTTGGTGATTTTTAAATTTAAATAAAAGAGATTCTTTAGTATTACTAATTTCTAATATTTATTAAGTCGATAATTTCTAATATTTATTAAGTCGATAAATAGACTTTTCTATGGGACTGTGTACGTATTGGTGAGAGGATTGGATTGGATTGATGACATAAGACAATGCAACACATGCCATGGATGGGATACTCCCATGAGGACTTCTATGATAAAGTGGTCCCTATTTAGGTGTTTGAGACGTGAAGAAAACGCGGAAAATCTTCGCTACCAGTCTTTTGGTCGGGCGTTAACCCACGGTGTGTTTAGTAATGTTATTTATTCACTCGGACATCGGTCGGCCATATTGGTAAAAAGTTTTAAAATATTCAGATACACAGACGTTTCCTTCAAATATAAAAGTAAACATTAAATCAATTTTTCATGTATGTTTGTAGTTTTTACTTAAATATAGAGGAAGAAATTGAAAAATATTATATTTCAGATGTATCAAAATATTTCAAGTACTGTACATTTTAATATAAACCAAAGATTAAAAAAAAACAATTCAAATGATATATATCCATTTAATATATGTAATATATTAATAGTTTAAAAAACTTACGAAAAATACTTCAATATTAAATACAATTTAATAGTTTCCTGTTAGAATTATTTTATTTCGAATATTTTTATATTATAACATAGGCCATTCGTTTAATATAATCAATACAAGGTATTGATTATATTAAACGAATATTTATTTCGATTTGAGAATAATTTGATAATATTGATTTCTGCAGATTTGGAAGACGACCGGCGATACTTTTATGTATTCTCATTCACTCAATATTTGGAATTGCTTCTATTATTTCTCCATATTATTGGGCATTTGCATTGTTTCGATTTCTTTTGTCCATAGGGAGTTCGGGATGCTCTATTACCAGTTTCGTAATTGGTAAGGTTTTAATAAATATCTAGCTTTTAAATTAGGAAAAATTATATAAAATTAAAAAAATATATATATCTGTATTAAAATTAATACAAGTAATATAATGAATGATGTTTTGAATGAAAAGATGTAAGTTCTAAAATAAAATAAATTAGAAAATAATTCTTAAATTATTTTAATTAATTTAAAAAAATAGTTAAAAATTTTTTTCAAACTTTGAAATTTTATTTTAATTATTGTTTTTTTTTAATTTTAATTTTTTTAGTTAATTTTTTATTTTATTTTACGCTTTGTTTTAGATAGACGTTGTCTTTTTTTGTACATGAAAGCATTTTAAATAAAAATCACGAATGTTGAGCTAAAATTTCATATTTTTAATTATTATTTTTTTTCTTAATTGTTTCGTTTTAGTATTTATTGGTTTGTTTACTCTGCCACAGCACACTTTAAGCCGTACTAACAAGTACTATTGGCTCTGTGGATGTTTTGAATCGTGCATTCTCATTGCTCAATTTTGTATAGTTGTGATTTCTATGATGAAGTGCAAAATACTCTTCCAGTAATAGCACAATTCTTTCAAAATTTTGAAAAGTGTGGACTATTTCTTGCAAAATTTGCAATATTTTCAACAATCCTCCTCTTAAAGGATTATAATGTCTTAGTTGTCACTAGTTTAGTATTAATGAGCCTGCTGTTTTGGGCTGAAATTTGAAAAAATTTGTAGACAAATTTCCACTGTCGTCTGTCTGTTTGTCCGTCTTTAATCTCGACAATGGTGTTAGATAGATGAAAGTTGAGACAAGACGCGGAAAGCTTAGGGTCAGGAGGCTCCGATGAACTCTATAAGAACTTTTGGTCTAAACACAAGTCACGTGCTTTAATTCAAAAATTTCTCCCAGAACGTACAGTAGTTACATAAATGACTGGCATGACTGTTGTTATCAGGAAAAGTATGATGTACAGGGGCAAGCGGAGATCATACTTTAAATAAATTAAAAATATGCTTAAAAATAGCAGCCCGGTATTGTGATTACGTCACAATAAATAGTTGCTCGTTGTTATTTTGCTTTTATCTAAGGCAGTGATGAACTTATCTAGTCTAGATTAGGGCCTCAAGGGAACTTCGCAGGCTTTCCGGCAACGCTTTATAAAGTATGTTCTAACGGATTGTAGGTTTTAAACCATACATTATTATCGCCTGTACATTAGATACTGAAATAAGAATATAAAATTACGTTGCCAAAGCCTTGGGGACGGCGAGTTGCTCATGGCTGAACTAAACCTATAGATCGATCAGTCGTGGTATTGAGGACCTCTTTCTTGTCGTTTAGGACATTACATATCTTAATTAACAAATAAATACGAGTAAATGATGTCGAAACGATAAATTTGTTGTTCATTTGCATTTGTCTACTCTATTTTCCCTGACTCTCCTCAATGTTGTTCCTCAATCTGTCCAGTCATCATTGATACGGGTACCAGTCGGATCTTATATGCCGTAAAATACTGAAGGTGTGACATTTTCACTTTAATATTAATGAATTGATCAAATTTCATTAAATAATAGCAACAGAAGCACTTGGACCTGAATATCGAGAACGTGCAGGGTTATTTCTTCAGTTAGGATGGAGTATCGGGCACGTCGTTATTCCTGGCATTGCGTGGTTACTTAGAGATTGGCATTATCTACAACTTGCGTGTACACTTCCTTACTTACCACTACTATTCTTTTGGAGGTAAACTTTACATACTAAATAAAATTCTATCGATATAATATTTAAATTCTAATATATCAAAATTGGTAAACTTTATTATTAAATAATGTATAAAAATAATATATAATATATATAATAAAATTATTTAACAGAATTTTTCCGGAATCTCCGAGATGGTTGTTGACCCGTGGTAAAATATCAGTTGTAGAAAGTTTAGTGAAAAAAATAACAGAGATCAATGGTATTGACATAGATTCTTTAGATGTTCATATTAATAGATTAGCAAATAAAAAACAGAAGGTAAGTCTATAATGTTTGATATATTAAATTGAAAATTATTTATATTATTTTGCAAATCGATAATTAAATATTATAGAAATGTAATGAAAACAATAGCGAGCTATAATTAAGCTGTATATTAATATCCATTTCGAACTGTGCCGCCCGAGTGGCTTTACGCCAGACTAACGAGATGACCAACGGAACTAAAAATACACCTGGATCCAACAATATGTAAAGGAATCTCCCCATTTACGCCAATTCACTTTAATGTGATTGAAAAGCTTTTACTTTCTCGGCTGTTATAACTTATATAACAGAAAGTAGGGCGATCGGTTAGAAAAGATCCCCCCGAATTTTGGCATTTTTGGACTCAGGGGGGACATTGAAACATTGACAAATGTAAAAAAAATTTAGTTAGTGTGTGTGGGAAGGGCACGACTTTGTTCACCCTCTTTGAAGCTTCGTAACGCCTATGTTTTTGTCGAAAATATCTGAAATTTTACCGAAAGGTTCGTTTATTAGGGAGATTGATGCTGTTAAATTTTGGTGATTAACGGTCGAGGGTTTGGGGAGATAAAGGGGGTCGCGTGTATCGCTAGTAGGGCCAGACTTACTGACGATTTTACTGGTTATTAGCATTTACAATCTTTTAATAAAACCATTCTTATCTTCAAAATTAAGCTTTTTGCCATTTTATAATAGTTAAAAATATAAAATTTTTAAAAATAAAATATGATAAAAGATGGCACCATCAAACTTGCCGGGAAAGTTAAGTAACTCGCCGCCGCATTTTATTAAATTTTAAATAATCAACTTTATGGAGAAATAAATATACTTACATCAAAAAGTGTTTGTGTGTATGTGTTTTTTTTTGTTATCAGTAACCTCTTATGTAGACGTATATTTCATAAAAACACTTTTAATGGGGCAGAAAAGTTTTAACTAGAGTAAAATACTGTATGCGAGAATATGAAATAGATCCCTATTTTAAATAGCTTTCATGACTCCATTTATTAAATTACTGGTCTAAATGGAGGGATTACTGTACATTTTATTTTAATTAGGTTATATATTTATTTTTAGGAGGAAGAGAAAGTGATGCGAAATTATACATTTTTTGATCTATTTCGAAAGACTGATTTAAGAAAATTAACTGTCATACAATATTTTATTTGGTAAGATATCTTAATTTTAAATATATTTATTTTTATACGCTTCGTCTTATTTCCCATTTATGGATAAATAAGAACGTTTCTCTTTTATGAAATAATATCTAATCAATTTAAATAACATATATTAGACAATGAATTTAGAAATAATAGTTTAAGGATAATGTATAAAAGTACTCAAAAAGTACGAAATAGAGTTTGGGCAATACTGTAGTCTTTTTATAATTAAATTTCTTTCGTGTATGTTACCGTCATGCTCCAAATACTTGACAAGTAATTTCTAACAAGTATGCTCTTTCTTTAGTTTTTTGCTAGTTATAGCAGATCCGGTGTGCACCACCTCTTATTCCATGCTAGTCTATCCTGCGCTTTTGTCTTTAGCTCCTTATAACTACTCTCTTTTAAATCATCCACCATTTTAATTCTTCTCCTTCGTTTCTTTTCACCTGCAACCATTCCTTCCATAACCACATTCCACAAGCCTTCCTCTCGAATCGTGTCTTATCCAATTAGCTTTTCGCCCTTTTATTGTCTCTAATATGCTCTTTTTTTCACCCACTTTTCTTAGGACTTCTCGACCTGATCAAGATTACTGTTCGTTAAATACCTTCGAATTAAGCATTTCCTTTAATTTCCAAACAAATCAAACTTAACACGCAAAGGGACGAAGAAACGTTTCACATACAACCTAAAACCGACCATCACTATACATTGTTTCTACACGTAGCATCACAAGACTCAATTTACTTGCATATTATGGTTCTCTCATTATTTACCTACCTTCCATGAGACTATATTTTCAATTACTGCGAAACATTCAAAACTTACCTATCAAAATCTCCCCGAATATCTCAACGAAAATGGCATGAAAGACAATAATTTGGAGTACAGATGTCGAAATACACACGCTTGACACTGCGCTGTGCACCAATTGTAATGTATTATGAGTCTATATTCACGTAATTTTAGTTGAATTTTTTATTATCCGAGTAAAAATTTCAACATTTTAAAGATAAAACTTATCAATTCCAATTAGATTCCTAATTATAATAAGTAATTTCATCCTCTTGGATGTAGGCTATAAGTAGATATCTGTGTATTTTGACAAGTGCTACGTGTATAAAGTTCGTGTGTATATCCTACGTGTACATAATTTATCAACGAATAATATGTAATAAAACAGAATACTGGATTATTTTAATAACAGAAATGTGTAGAAAATAAATATAATTTACATTAACAGTTAAATGTATTGTAAGTAACTGTATGTTAATTGTCGGTAATGAATTTATTCACTACATGTGCTGATATAACACTGATTTATCCTAAAGGTGTATTACTTTTTTAATTTTATACGATTATCGGGTGAAACCGTACTACAAATAAAAATAATCTTTATTTATTCTAAGTTTAAATGATACGGTTATATATATATAGTCTATACTTAACAGCTTCGGGAATCGACCGTCTCGTCTCTCTCATTAGGCTGCAATTTGAAAAATTGTAGACCTATAAATTCATATTGTTGTACGTTTGCCTGTCTGTCTGTCTTTCTTTAATCTCGAGAATGATGTAATGTACATGGGCTTGTTACCAATATATTATTTGTATCTCACATTTTATAAAATACTAGCTACGTGTGCCCGACGTACGCTTTTGAAGGGGTAGGAATTGGTGAGGCTGGGTTGGGAAGGGGTAGTAAGAACTAAGACTAACAACAACAAGGATTACATAGGGTGATTTACTGGTGACATTTAGTAGTTTTTTCTCGGAAACCGTTAAAGATAGGAAAATGATCATCAAGTTTGTAGAGCAGGCGGGAACAATTTTGGTGACCTTGGACGACCTTCTTTGAAAATGGTGATTTTTGAGATACGGAACAAAATAAGTTTCTTTTTTTATAAGGGGCGCTTCCGAGCCATTATATGAATAGTAAGCGGCAAAATAGACACCTTTTATAATAGATCATATTTTCTTAAACTTAACTGTTTTCAAGATATAGGCCAGTTTCTTCTTGGTTATTAGTTTCATCTTCCTACCACTAATTGTTTCCGAGTAAAACACTACCGAATGCCACAAGTGAATCACCCCGTATATACCCTAGGCCTATATTTTTAAATATTGTGATATTAATTTTTTTATTTTTGCATATTTAATTTCTTTCTTTTTAGGATCGTCTCACTATTTACATTTTATGGATTTATATTGAATACTGGCAATTTGGGAACAAATGTCTATCTGTTACAATTCCTGTTCGGATTAATGGAGTTTGTCGCATTATTTTTACTACAAATTTTTTCGACTCGTGCCGGAAGAAAGACATTTTTGATAGTTATTTTCTCACTTACTGGAGTTCTATCGCTGCTAACCACGGCCGTTCCAAATGGCAAGTACATACATTCTTTAAATTAAACGGAAAAAAAAACAATTATACTAAAATATTTGAAATATTTATACAGATTTGAGTTGGCTAAAAGCAGCTTTGATAGTTACAGCTAAATTATTTAATACGACAATTATCGTAGTAATGTATATATTTACTTCTGAGTTATATCCGACTGTCGTTCGAAACGTCGGAATTGGTTCTTGCAGTATGGTAGGAGGAATCGGAGCCATTTTAGCACCTTTCTTGAACCAGGCTGTAAGTGACATTTCGTTTATTCTTTGAATATTATACAGAAGTACAGAAAAATAAATCTGTAATAAATACATGCGAATATGTTTAAAATGATAATTAATTCTTAATTTATAGTATATTATTTATTACAAGAAGATAATAAGGAATTTTAATTTTAAAAATTNTGAGAAAACTGAATTTCATGACATTGTTGTGTGCCTAAGACATTTGACCTTAGATAGGAAAAGAGTCTTATTTAAGACCCTTATATCTATACTTATGCCTCAGAAACTTGTATATTCAAGAGAAAGATGAAATAATAATACAGTTAATAAATTATTAATAAGCAGTAAAACTATCGAGATTAATAAGATACGATATCAAACACAGAAAACGCAATTAGCACATAAATTTTATTTAAAGTTATAAATGATAGAATAGCAAATAGGGCAATTTTTAATTTGTTTTACTTATTACGTCTATACAAAGTATACACGATAGGAAATTTAAATATTAAATTACAGCTTTCAGTTTGGAATGATCTTTGATTTATCAAGATTATTTCTAGTCGATTAGCGAATTCTGTATTAAATCAATTTATAGACTAAAACTGGTATGAAAATATGAATTAATTTTAAAAATTAATATTCTTTAAGAAACAAAAAATAAAAAGAAAAGGAGTTAATCTAAACAAGGAGATAAATCAACTATATTTATTCAGTAGATGTTTACATAATATCAATTTATCGCTTAAATATAATAAATAAGATTTAATATTGATAGGGCAATTATGACAGAGATCGAAGACATCACCGACCTCATCGGAAAATTTGGAAAATGGCAGAAAATGTTATTTGCTTTTCTTTCGTACGTAACGGCGCTATTGGCTTTCAACAATCTCAATTTGCCATTTATTATACCAAAAATAGACCATTGGTGTGCCAGTCCCTACGAATATAGTAATGTATCTACCGAAATGTGGAAGAATCAGTCGATACCATTCGAAATCGTAGAAGGAGAATTAATATTTAGAAAATGCGAAATGTATGAAAAACATTTGGGGAGAAATGCTACTTGGAACCAATCCATTATTCCCTGTTCTACTTGGGAATTCGATCATTCAAAATATGGAGATACCATTACTGAAAAGGTATGTAAACGTTTTAATCGTAAATTTTTTATCAATTAATTGGTTTATTTTATTGGAAAATAGTGGAATTTAGTTTGTAATTATTCCTGGTTGGAATCGTTTGTCGGATCCGTTCATTTTTTCGGTTATTTCATAACTGCATTTGTCATTGGCCACATATCAGACAGGTAAGTAATATTATCAAATTACTTCTATTGTAAATTATCAATTAACTATAAGAAAATATTACAGTTATATTAAGAATGGATATATAAATATCGAATATCGATACGCTTGTAGTTCCTACACTATAAAAAATCAATTTTGCTTATTTTAATTGATTTATTGACGTAGCTACTTACGTAGTCTGCAGTGTTAAAGACTAGTGTTCTGTATGGGATAGTAGGGTTACAACATATCCGTCTTATTTAAACAGCCACGCGCATATTGAGGCATATCAATTCGACCTGGCGCAGAATTAAGACGAAGAGTTACGTTTTTGTAATTAAAATTTTTAAAATTAGTATTGGTAGATTGATAGCTTTCGCTCCATCTAACCCGACCGCTGACACGTGTTTGAATGTATGAGAGTGAGAGCGAAAGAGTGTGATTAGAAGAAAACGGTTAATACTCACAGGAGAATGCAACCCATACACTTATCGAGAGACGATCCTTGCACCTGCTGGGCATGGAAGAGGCCATCTTTACATTTCTAATAGTTGTAATGACACAAATATACTCTTATAAATAAATATTTTATTGATTCTTTGTGAAATTTGTAAAAACTTGCAGATTTTTCTATACCAGGGATACGCAATTAGTTTGTTTACACTTATAAAAATTGCTTAAAATTAAATCTGTATGGGCCCGTTACTTGGTTATAAAACTAGAAACTATATTTAGGCTAAATATAAATGGTATGGTTAAAAATCCAGCACGATATCTCTAAACAGAATGTTTAAATGATCTAAATCTTGTATATTAATCAAATATAAATAATTATTAATGATTAATACTGTTAATCTAATCTAAATATATAACTGATTAATTAAGGAAAAAAATTATACATGAATAGATTCACGCCAAGTTTTCCTAATGTTACATAAACAAAGCCAAATTTCTAATTACGTAATTTCATTTCTGTATGAAAAGAATGTAAAAATTTACACAATGGCTTATTTAATGATATATGTAATAACTTTTTGTGGAAAAGTTAAATTTACTTATCTCTTGCTGGCAGGTAGGGAAAAATGCATCTATGAACTGACATGACCTACGAGTAAAAGCCATTACTACTCTATTCTACTCTATACTTAATACAATTTCATACTTAGAAATACAATATATAGCTGTCTTATATCTTAGGCATAAACCAAGATCTATACGAGGTCCAGTTTTCGATGCTAATATAATAATTACAGGCATATAAAGTTTCGTATACTTTTAGTAATTGATCCATAAATATTGTTGTTTTCACAAGCTAATTAAAAATATCTGGCCATTGAAAATTTGGCCAACACTTTCATATCTTGTGAAAATGACCAAACCAGCAGTTTTTGTTTATTTTTCCACAGCTGTCAGATCTTTCAACAAAGACAATATATTCATTACAATATCTACAAATTCTAAGAAAATTAATCTAAATAAGGATTGAAAATATGTAAAGATGTAATGAGTGATAGTAAAGTTAAGCGATTCATCCTTCGACTATTTAAAATATATGCTCTCCACCTCAAATTAGTAGTGGCTTGCCCCTGTACATCATACTTTTCCTTTAACAATAGAGTCGTGCCGATCATCTATTAACTGCTTTCAGGGGAAAAGTTTGAATTGCAATAACATATTTTCTGGTTTGTATCATAACATCATATATAATTATTCGGGGCCTCCTGCCCGTATGTTTTCCATATCTGGTTTCAGCTTCCATCTATCTAACTCTGTTCTTCAGATTAAGGAAAGACAGACGGATGAAAGTAGGAATTCATAGGTGTACAATTTTTTTAAATTGCAGTCCAATAATTTGTCTCACTAAATAAGCTGTTCGCTACATGTAAAATCCAACTTGTTTTGGCATTTTGGTAATTATAGCTACTTCGATGTGTGATAATTCTGTTTTTATTATTCAACTATTTTTATCTAATTGTTGTAACTCCTTCCTTGTTGCCTCTTGAAACAGGATTCATTCCTTTTTACAATTATTATATGTAGTTACATTAAAATAACTTTGTATTTGTTGAAATAAAGTTGCACTTCATCTATTGGAAGAGTAAATAGCTTGTCCACTTTTAAGTTATAAATGCGTTTTTTTTTCCATAAAAGTAAATTAATACAATGGCAGTAATTATTGAAAATATCGATGCGATTGAAATTATAAGAAAAGCTTTTGGTGATTTTTAAATTTAAATAAAAGAGATTCTTTAGTATTACTAATTTCTAATATTTATTAAGTCGATAATTTCTAATATTTATTAAGTCGATAAATAGACTTTTCTATGGGACTGTGTACGTATTGGTGAGAGGATTGGATTGGATTGATGACATAAGACAATGCAACACATGCCATGGATGGGATACTCCCATGAGGACTTCTATGATAAAGTGGTCCCTATTTAGGTGTTTGAGACGTGAAGAAAACGCGGAAAATCTTCGCTACCAGTCTTTTGGTCGGGCGTTAACCCACGGTGTGTTTAGTAATGTTATTTATTCACTCGGACATCGGTCGGCCATATTGGTAAAAAGTTTTAAAATATTCAGATACACAGACGTTTCCTTCAAATATAAAAGTAAACATTAAATCAATTTTTCATGTATGTTTGTAGTTTTTACTTAAATATAGAGGAAGAAATTGAAAAATATTATATTTCAGATGTATCAAAATATTTCAAGTACTGTACATTTTAATATAAACCAAAGATTAAAAAAAAACAATTCAAATGATATATATCCATTTAATATATGTAATATATTAATAGTTTAAAAAACTTACGAAAAATACTTCAATATTAAATACAATTTAATAGTTTCCTGTTAGAATTATTTTATTTCGAATATTTTTATATTATAACATAGGCCATTCGTTTAATATAATCAATACAAGGTATTGATTATATTAAACGAATATTTATTTCGATTTGAGAATAATTTGATAATATTGATTTCTGCAGATTTGGAAGACGACCGGCGATACTTTTATGTATTCTCATTCACTCAATATTTGGAATTGCTTCTATTATTTCTCCATATTATTGGGCATTTGCATTGTTTCGATTTCTTTTGTCCATAGGGAGTTCGGGATGCTCTATTACCAGTTTCGTAATTGGTAAGGTTTTAATAAATATCTAGCTTTTAAATTAGGAAAAATTATATAAAATTAAAAAAATATATATATCTGTATTAAAATTAATACAAGTAATATAATGAATGATGTTTTGAATGAAAAGATGTAAGTTCTAAAATAAAATAAATTAGAAAATAATTCTTAAATTATTTTAATTAATTTAAAAAAATAGTTAAAAATTTTTTTCAAACTTTGAAATTTTATTTTAATTATTGTTTTTTTTTAATTTTAATTTTTTTAGTTAATTTTTTATTTTATTTTACGCTTTGTTTTAGATAGACGTTGTCTTTTTTTGTACATGAAAGCATTTTAAATAAAAATCACGAATGTTGAGCTAAAATTTCATATTTTTAATTATTATTTTTTTTCTTAATTGTTTCGTTTTAGTATTTATTGGTTTGTTTACTCTGCCACAGCACACTTTAAGCCGTACTAACAAGTACTATTGGCTCTGTGGATGTTTTGAATCGTGCATTCTCATTGCTCAATTTTGTATAGTTGTGATTTCTATGATGAAGTGCAAAATACTCTTCCAGTAATAGCACAATTCTTTCAAAATTTTGAAAAGTGTGGACTATTTCTTGCAAAATTTGCAATATTTTCAACAATCCTCCTCTTAAAGGATTATAATGTCTTAGTTGTCACTAGTTTAGTATTAATGAGCCTGCTGTTTTGGGCTGAAATTTGAAAAAATTTGTAGACAAATTTCCACTGTCGTCTGTCTGTTTGTCCGTCTTTAATCTCGACAATGGTGTTAGATAGATGAAAGTTGAGACAAGACGCGGAAAGCTTAGGGTCAGGAGGCTCCGATGAACTCTATAAGAACTTTTGGTCTAAACACAAGTCACGTGCTTTAATTCAAAAATTTCTTCCAGAACGTACAGTAGTTACATAAATGACTGGCATGACTGTTGTTATCAGGAAAAGTATGATGTACAGGGGCAAGCGGAGATCATACCTTAAATAAATATGCTTAAAAATAGCAGCCCGGTATTGTGACTACGTCACAATAAATAGTTGCTCGTTGTTATTTTGCTTTTATCTAAGGCAGTGATGAACTTATCTAGTCTAGATTAGGGCCTCAAGGGAACTTCGCAGGCTTTCCGGCAGCCGCTTTATAAAGTATGTTCTAACGGATTGTAGGTTTTAAACCATACATTATTATCGCCTGTACATTAGATACTAAAATAAGAATATAAAATTACGTTGCCAAAGCCTTGGGGACGGCGAGTTGCTCATGGCTGAACTAAACCTATAGATCGATCAGTCGTGGTATTGAGGACCTCTTTCTTGTCGTTTAGGACATTACATATCTTAATTAACAAATAAATACGAGTAAATGATGTCGAAACGATAAATTTGTTGTTCATTTGCATTTGTCTACTCTATTTTCCCTGACTCTCCTCAATGTTGTTCCTCAATCTGTCCAGTCATCATTGATACGGGTACCAGTCGGACCTTACATGCCGTAAAATACTGAAGGTGTGACATTTTCACTTTAATATTAATGAATTGATCAAATTTCATTAAATAATAGCAACAGAAGCACTTGGACCTGAATATCGAGAACGTGCAGGGTTATTTCTTCAGTTAGGATGGAGTATCGGGCACGTCGTTATTCCTGGCATTGCGTGGTTACTTAGAGATTGGCATTATCTACAACTTGCGTGTACACTTCCTTACTTACCACTACTATTCTTTTGGAGGTAAACTTTACATACTAAATAAAATTCTATCGATATAATATTTAAATTCTAATATATCAAAATTGGTAAACTTTATTATTAAATAATGTATAAAAATAATATATAATATATATAATAAAATTATTTAACAGAATTTTTCCGGAATCTCCGAGATGGTTGTTGACCCGTGGTAAAATATCAGTTGTAGAAAGTTTAGTGAAAAAAATAACAGAGATCAATGGTATTGACATAGATTCTTTAGATGTTCATATTAATAGATTAGCAAATAAAAAACAGAAGGTAAGTCTATAATGTTTGATATATTAAATTGAAAATTATTTATATTATTTTGCAAATCGATAATTAAATATTATAGAAATGTAATGAAAACAATAGCGAGCTATAATTAAGCTGTATATTAATATCCATTTCGAACTGTGCCGCCCGAGTGGCTTTACGCCAGACTAACGAGATGACCAACGGAACTAAAAATACACCTGGATCCAACAATATGTAAAGGAATCTCCCCATTTACGCCAATTCACTTTAATGTGATTGAAAAGCTTTTACTTTCTCGGCTGTTATAACTTATATAACAGAAAGTAGGGCGATCGGTTAGAAAAGATCCCCCCGAATTTTGGCATTTTTGGACTCAGGGGGGACATTGAAACATTGACAAATGTAAAAAAAATTTAGTTAGTGTGTGTGGGAAGGGCACGACTTTGTTCACCCTCTTTGAAGCTTCGTAACGCCTATGTTTTTGTCGAAAATATCTGAAATTTTACCGAAAGGTTCGTTTATTAGGGAGATTGATGCTGTTAAATTTTGGTGATTAACGGTCGAGGGTTTGGGGAGATAAAGGGGGTCGCGTGTATCGCTAGTAGGGCCAGACTTACTGACGATTTTACTGGTTATTAGCATTTACAATCTTTTAATAAAACCATTCTTATCTTCAAAATTAAGCTTTTTGCCATTTTATAATAGTTAAAAATATAAAATTTTTAAAAATAAAATATGATAAAAGATGGCACCATCAAACTTGCCGGGAAAGTTAAGTAACTCGCCGCCGCATTTTATTAAATTTTAAATAATCAACTTTATGGAGAAATAAATATACTTACATCAAAAAGTGTTTGTGTGTATGTGTTTTTTTTTGTTATCAGTAACCTCTTATGTAGACGTATATTTCATAAAAACACTTTTAATGGGGCAGAAAAGTTTTAACTAGAGTAAAATACTGTATGCGAGAATATGAAATAGATCCCTATTTTAAATAGCTTTCATGACTCCATTTATTAAATTACTGGTCTAAATGGAGGGATTACTGTACATTTTATTTTAATTAGGTTATATATTTATTTTTAGGAGGAAGAGAAAGTGATGCGAAATTATACATTTTTTGATCTATTTCGAAAGACTGATTTAAGAAAATTAACTGTCATACAATATTTTATTTGGTAAGATATCTTAATTTTAAATATATTTATTTTTATACGCTTCGTCTTATTTCCCATTTATGGATAAATAAGAACGTTTCTCTTTTATGAAATAATATCTAATCAATTTAAATAACATATATTAGACAATGAATTTAGAAATAATAGTTTAAGGATAATGTATAAAAGTACTCAAAAAGTACGAAATAGAGTTTGGGCAATACTGTAGTCTTTTTATAATTAAATTTCTTTCGTGTATGTTACCGTCATGCTCCAAATACTTGACAAGTAATTTCTAACAAGTATGCTCTTTCTTTAGTTTTTTGCTAGTTATAGCAGATCCGGTGTGCACCACCTCTTATTCCATGCTAGTCTATCCTGCGCTTTTGTCTTTAGCTCCTTATAACTACTCTCTTTTAAATCATCCACCATTTTAATTCTTCTCCTTCGTTTCTTTTCACCTGCAACCATTCCTTCCATAACCACATTCCACAAGCCTTCCTCTCGAATCGTGTCTTATCCAATTAGCTTTTCGCCCTTTTATTGTCTCTAATATGCTCTTTTTTTCACCCACTTTTCTTAGGACTTCTCGACCTGATCAAGATTACTGTTCGTTAAATACCTTCGAATTAAGCATTTCCTTTAATTTCCAAACAAATCAAACTTAACACGCAAAGGGACGAAGAAACGTTTCACATACAACCTAAAACCGACCATCACTATACATTGTTTCTACACGTAGCATCACAAGACTCAATTTACTTGCATATTATGGTTCTCTCATTATTTACCTACCTTCCATGAGACTATATTTTCAATTACTGCGAAACATTCAAAACTTACCTATCAAAATCGCCCCGAATATCTCAGCGAAAATGGCATGAAAGACAATAATTTGGAGTACAGATGTCGAAATACACACGCTTGACACTGCGCTGTGCACCAATTGTAATGTATTATGAGTCTATATTCACGTAATTTTAGTTGAATTTTTTATTATCCGAGTAAAAATTTCAACATTTTAAAGATAAAACTTATCAATTTCAATTAGATTCCTAATTATAATAAGTAATTTCATCCTCTTGGATGTAGGCTATAAGTAGATATCTGTGTATTTTGACAAGTGCTACGTGTATAAAGTTCGTGTGTATATCCTACGTGTACATAATTTATCAACGAATAATATGTAATAAAACAGAATACTGGATTATTTTAATAACAGAAATGTGTAGAAAATAAATATAATTTACATTAACAGTTAAATGTATTGTAAGTAACTGTATGTTAATTGTCGGTAATGAATTTATTCACTACATGTGCTGATATAACACTGATTTATCCTAAAGGTGTATTACTTTTTTAATTTTATACGATTATCGGGTGAAACCGTACTACAAATAAAAATAATCTTTATTTATTCTAAGTTTAAATGATACGGTTATATATATATAGTCTATACTTAACAGCTTCGGGAATCGACCGTCTCGTCTCTCTCATTAGGCTGCAATTTGAAAAATTGTAGACCTATAAATTCATATTGTTGTACGTTTGCCTGTCTGTCTGTCTTTCTTTAATCTCGAGAATGATGTAATGTACATGGGCTTGTTACCAATATATTATTTGTATCTCACATTTTATAAAATACTAGCTACGTGTGCCCGACGTACGCTTTTGAAGGGGTAGGAATTGGTGAGGCTGGGTTGGGAAGGGGTAGTAAGAACTAAGACTAACAACAACAAGGATTACATAGGGTGATTTACTGGTGACATTTAGTAGTTTTTTCTCGGAAACCGTTAAAGATAGGAAAATGATCATCAAGTTTGTAGAGCAGGCGGGAACAATTTTGGTGACCTTGGACGACCTTCTTTGAAAATGGTGATTTTTGAGATACGGAACAAAATAAGTTTCTTTTTTTATAAGGGGCGCTTCCGAGCCATTATATGAATAGTAAGCGGCAAAATAGACACCTTTTATAATAGATCATATTTTCTTAAACTTAACTGTTTTCAAGATATAGGCCAGTTTCTTCTTGGTTATTAGTTTCATCTTCCTACCACTAATTGTTTCCGAGTAAAACACTACCGAATGCCACAAGTGAATCACCCCGTATATACCCTAGGCCTATATTTTTAAATATTGTGATATTAATTTTTTTATTTTTGCATATTTAATTTCTTTCTTTTTAGGATCGTCTCACTATTTACATTTTATGGATTTATATTGAATACTGGCAATTTGGGAACAAATGTCTATCTGTTACAATTCCTGTTCGGATTAATGGAGTTTGTCGCATTATTTTTACTACAAATTTTTTCGACTCGTGCCGGAAGAAAGACATTTTTGATAGTTATTTTCTCACTTACTGGAGTTCTATCGCTGCTAACCACGGCCGTTCCAAATGGCAAGTACATACATTCTTTAAATTAAACGGAAAAAAAAACAATTATACTAAAATATTTGAAATATTTATACAGATTTGAGTTGGCTAAAAGCAGCTTTGATAGTTACAGCTAAATTATTTAATACGACAATTATCGTAGTAATGTATATATTTACTTCTGAGTTATATCCGACTGTCGTTCGAAACGTCGGAATTGGTTCTTGCAGTATGGTAGGAGGAATCGGAGCCATTTTAGCACCTTTCTTGAACCAGGCTGTAAGTGACATTTCGTTTATTCTTTGAATATTGTACAGAAGTACAGAAAAATAAATCTGTAATAAATACATGCGAATATGTTTAAAATGATAATTAATTCTTAATTTATAGTATATTATTTATTACAAGAAGATAATAAGGAATTTTAATTTTAAAAATTCGTTTAATGGAGGAAAATTTAAATTTCTATTTATTGCACGGGTCCACATACATTTTGAATGAATGAATACTAAAACTTACAATAGAATATCCTTCAGCATTGGAGCATTGAAGAAACATAAATAAAGAGATGACTATATATATATATATATATATCAGCTATATATTTTTATATATACATAGGATATAATTATATTATATGCATTATGTTCTAATTATTGATTATAATTTTATTAGAATTCAAAAGGCCAATGGATAATACCTTTTGTGATATTGGGTATACTGAACATTGTTTGTGTTCCAATAATTTTATGCTTACCCGAAACAAAAAATAAAGTTTTGAAAGATTTTCCAACGAGTTATAAATCCAAGAAAAATATTGAAATGAAAAATGAAACCTTGAATGTTATTTTGTCTAAAAACGATGTCCTGAAAGCAATTCCATCGAATGATGAACGTCTAGAAGACATTTTAACGAAAGTGGAATGAAGAGAATTACTTTAGAAAATGTTCTTTAATAAGTTTATTGTATAAAAATCGAAATTAAAATTACATAAAATATTTTATTTTTAATATAAAAATTATTATATAGTTAATATACGTATACTGTATATATATGTGCGTGTGTTATGTGTATATGTGTATAAGTACTATTTATCTTTATGTTAACAAATTTCTATAAGATAGGATTTTTTTAATGAAAAAGTTAAATATTTAAGTTATATTTTACTATAACTTAATTTTAAGACTTATTTTTTAAAATAAACATTTGTTTTAGGAGTTTAAAATTCGATTACTGTTTCTAACTTGTAAAGTTTTCTGTTAATTAACGGAACTTAAAATATATGCTATTAATGAAAAAATATATGATTTAGAGTGTATCCTCTTTTATACAATATGCGTTGATGATTGTTTTCTTTTATATGACAATAATAAAATATCTATACAAAATATTGTGAGTTATGTAAATCATATCGACGAACAATTAAAATTTGATGTAGAGAAGGAGAAAGACAAAATTAAATGTATATATTCGTATAATCTAAAGAGAATTATTGGCTTTAGATTGTACCAGTATATACGTTAAACAAAATGAATTCCTGGCCCAGTAGATATAGGAATAAATAACTTCTGTATGTGCATTAAATCAAGTTTTCTTTTAGTTTTAGTATAAACGACATTTCGGACATTGTGGAGAACGATTGAAGAGAGAAAAAGTAATGTTTCGAAATGAATATTTTTACCAAAATTGTTAAATAACTGAATAAACTTATGAAAATATACAGAAGAAATCGTTATTTTTAGATAATATCCGAATTTCTAATCATTACAAAAACAATGCCCTAACAACAAAAAATAAAAATGTATTATTAAAACATTTCTAGTCAATTATTACAGGAGCTAAATTTGTTCACTAAGATTAATCTAATATGGGATTGAAATCGTGGTGGAATAGATTTAGCTCTAAATTTCATAAAAGGTTAGTACATTTATTATTTAGTTTTAGTTTCTCGGTTGTTATAGGCCTATATAACAGAGGAAACGTATGGCATCGATCAAAAATTGACCTCTTCCCAAGATTTTTATATCTTTGCACTCACGTGTCAGGGAACCTCGAAACGTCGTAAAATGCAAAAAAAAAAAAAAAAAATTAAGGGTTTTTGTTTTCTGTATGTATGGATGTTAGTGTGTACAGGCACGATTTTGCTCACCTAATTTAAAGATTAATGACTTCTGTGCTTTTTGCCGAAAATTTCTGAAATTTTGCAGCGAGGTTTGCGTATTATGTGGATTATATTTTGGTGGTTAAAAATAGAGGGGGTCACATGCTATATTTAAAGTGGGGTCGGACTTAATAAAAATTTTATTAGTTATTAGAATTTACATTAAAAAATAAAAAGTAAACTCGTCTCTACCTTCACAATTAAGCATTTTTCCATTAATTATATATAAAGTTCTTAAAATAAAATATTCTAACACATGGTTCCACACGCAATTTTGAAAATTGTAATCGGAAAAATTACTCTATTCGTTGTTGGATTTTACATCGTTTTTCTTGCAATAGTATTAAAAATCACACAAAGCTTTTAATACATTTTTAAAAAATTAGAAAAAAAATATATCCCTAATACGAATGAAAATCGATAATTTGGTTACAATCAGACATTTGCTGAAAAATGAAAAAAAAAAAAAAATTGTCATACAATGATTCTTTGAATATTATACAGAAGTACAGAAAAATAAATCTGTAATAAATACATGCAAATATGTTTAAAATGATAATTAATTCTTAATTTATAGTATATTATTTATTACAAGAAGATAATAAGGAATTTTAATTTTAAAAATTCGTTTAATGGAGGAACATTTAAATTTCTATTTATTGCACGGGTCCATATATAGTTTGAATGAATGAATCCTAAAACTTAAGTATATCTCACAATAGAATATCATTGAGCACTGGAGCATTGAAGAAACATAAATAAAGAGATGACTATATATAGGCTATATAATCAGCTATATATTTTTATAGGATATGATTATATTATATGCTTTATGTTCTAATTATTGATTATAATTTTATTAGAATTCAAAAGGCCAATGGATAATACCTTTTGTGATATTGGGTATACTGAACATTGTTTGTGTTCCAATAATTTTATGCTTACCCGAAACAAAAAATAAAGTTTTGAAAGATTTTCCAACGAGTTATAAATCCAAGAAAAATATTGAAATGAAAAATGAAACCTTGAATGTTATTTTGTCTAAAAACGATGTCCTGAAAGCAATTCCATCGAATGATGAACGTCTAGAAGACATTTTAACGAAAGTGGAATGAAGAGAATTACTTTAGAAAATGTTCTTTAATAAGTTTATTGTATAAAAATCGAAATTAAAATTACATAAAATATTTTATTTTTAATATAAAAATTATTATATAGTTAATATACGTATACTGTATATATATGTGCGTGTGTTATGTGTATATGTGTATAAGTACTATTTATCTTTATGTTAACAAATTTCTATAAGATAGGATTTTTTTAATGAAAAAGTTAAATATTTAAGTTATATTTTACTATAACTTAATTTTAAGACTTATTTTTTAAAATAAACATTTGTTTTAGGAGTTTAAAATTCGATTACTGTTTCTAACTTGTAAAGTTTTCTGTTAATTAACGGAACTTAAAATATATGCTATTAATGAAAAAATATATGATTTAGAGTGTATCCTCTTTTATACAATATGCGTTGATGATTGTTTTCTTTTATATGACAATAATAAAATATCTATACAAAATATTGTGAGTTATGTAAATCATATCGACGAACAATTAAAATTTGATGTAGAGAAGGAGAAAGACAAAATTAAATGTATATATTCGTATAATCTAAAGAGAATTATTGGCTTTAGATTGTACCAGTATATACGTTAAACAAAATGAATTCCTGGCCCAGTAGATATAGGAATAAATAACTTCTGTATGTGCATTAAATCAAGTTTTCTTTTAGTTTTAGTATAAACGACATTTCGGACATTGTGGAGAACGATTGAAGAGAGAAAAAGTAATGTTTCGAAATGAATATTTTTACCAAAATTGTTAAATAACTGAATAAACTTATGAAAATATACAGAAGAAATCGTTATTTTTAGATAATATCCGAATTTCTAATCATTACAAAAACAATGCCCTAACAACAAAAAATAAAAATGTATTATTAAAACATTTCTAGTCAATTATTACAGGAGCTAAATTTGTTCACTAAGATTAATCTAATATGGGATTGAAATCGTGGTGGAATAGATTTAGCTCTAAATTTCATAAAAGGTTAGTACATTTATTATTTAGTTTTAGTTTCTCGGTTGTTATAGGCCTATATAACAGAGGAAACGTATGGCATCGATCAAAAATTGACCTCTTCCCAAGATTTTTATATCTTTGCACTCACGTGTCAGGGAACCTCGAAACGTCGTAAAACGAAAAAAAAAAAAAAAAAAAAAAAAAAAAAATTAAGGGTTTTTGTTTTCTGTATGTATGGATGTTAGTGTGTACAGGCACGATTTTGCTCACCTAATTTAAAGATTAATGACTTCTGTGCTTTTTGCCGAAAATTTCTGAAATTTTGCAGCGAGGTTTGCGTATTATGTGGATTATATTTTGGTGGTTAAAAATAGAGGGGGTCACATGCTATATTTAAAGTGGGGTCGGACTTAATAAAAATTTTATTAGTTATTAGAATTTACATTAAAAAATAAAAAGTAAACTCGTCTCTACCTTCACAATTAAGCATTTTTCCATTAATTATATATAAAGTTCTTAAAATAAAATATTCTAACACATGGTTCCACACGCAATTTTGAAAATTGTAATCGGAAAAATTACTCTATTCGTTGTTGGATTTTACATCGTTTTTCTTGCAATAGTATTAAAAATCACACAAAGCTTTTAATACATTTTTAAAAAATTAGAAAAAAAATATATCCCTAATACGAATGAAAATCGATAATTTGGTTACAATCAGACATTTGCTGAAAAATGAAAAAAAAAAAAAAAATTGTAACATACAATGCTTATTTTTCACCAAAATCCCTATAAATATTTAGACAGTTGTCTGAAAGTTTATAGGGATTTTGACTTGCTAATTTCTAATTAACAGTCAAAATCCTAATTCACTTCACTTGCTAGTTTCTGAAAAATTGCTACATAAAAATCTTTTGATGCTATCAGAGTCACTGAAATAAATGTTTTTGAATGTCTTCATTAATTGAAATACGCTCTTTACGCAAGTTTTCTTTTAAACGTCCGTAAACGTGATCATTTAGCACATATTTGACATCCAGCGCAACCCAACAAAATAATTTAAACAATTCTAAATCAATACAATGATTCTGAATTATTTAATATATATAATTTTCATCAGCCATAAAATTCGAATATTTCTAAATATATATTACCGTAATTTAATTATTACAGTTCACAGTATGAAAGTTACAATATAAACAATGCGAATTCACAGTGTGAAAGTTACAATAAAAGCAATGAGGATTCACAGTGTGAAAGCTACAATAGAAACAATGCGGATGGTTCATCTTCAATAGATGGATTAAATTTCAGCAGTCTTTTAGAATCCATCAATGTAATATATAGTTCAAGTTGTTTGTATGATAAAGAATTTGAAAGTCATCTCCAACAAGGATCAGGTATTGAAGAAAACTATGCTAAAAACCACGGAGAATCAAGCAATGAACTCGTGACTCCTACAAGAGAGTTGGAAAATATAGATAAACAAACAAATGAAACTTATCCTATATTAAATAAAAACAAAATACGAACAGAAGTTATGAATATATGCGAGGAGGGAACAAAAACTCAAGAGTCTGTAGTAGGTAAAAGAATTTCAAGTGGAGATTTAGATTTAAATCTTTCAAAATATGCAAACAATGAAAAACCTGTTTGATAAATAATATTATTCTCTCAACAAACAAAAGAAAACACGTTAATCCCGGATGAAGAATTTGAATTGAAACTAAAGGAAAAAGTAATTAATTTAACGTATTTTAGTTATTTATAAATACAGCAGAATCTTATTTTATGCGAGGTTGATATACGAAAATTTTTGTTTTCGTGGATAACGAACGTTTAGAATAACATTTTGATGCATGAGAGTAATTCTGACTATTAATGCACAAGCTTACTATTTTTATTATGAAATTCATTGTATAGAAAAATTAATAGTTATATAAGTCAAAAGCATAGAAAATGTCTTGTGTTTACAGTATGCGAGTTGTATAAAAACAGAAACTCTTGACATTACCTAATGAAACCGAAACCACAACGTGAGAATGGCTTCTGATGGTCCCTCGCGTAAAACAGGATATAATGTAAATAATTATTATTTTTATAATTTCATAAAATAATATAAATAAATCAATAATAAATTAAAACATGTTTTTTAGTTCCATCTACAGCAGCAACAATGAACCATCATAATTATTCAAAGATGTACTTTATGAAGAATCGTCTAACTTTCAAAGGAATCTTTAAACACTAGCAATAAAAAATTTACATAAAATTAATATTTAGTTATGTTACGAAGTAACTTTCTTCATTACTTACACGAAATTTTAACTAGAAATTAAACAATTATAAACAGAATACGATTTTGATCTGATATTTTAATATATAATATTTAATTACACCACTTATTAATACTGAATACTGTCGTATAAAATAACATTTGAATTTAATTTTAATGTAACATTATCTGTGTTACGTTAACTGTAGAAACGAAATAATGAAAATATTAAATAATTTTTTTATTAAAGTTTAAAGTGTAACGGTGTAATTGGAATTGTACTTTTGTTATTTTAATCATTCTATGTTGTCTTATTGGGCTGCAATTTGAAAAACTTGTAGTTCTATAAATTTTTAAGACTTTTTTTGTATTTTAAATTCTTCCCGCTCTCTGAGGCCCATCCAGACTGACCAAGAGGGGCCCACCAGTGTTCACTGAACAACTGATTTTAAAACATTTTTGTAAATAACCCATAGAATGAACGTCAAAATTCTGTAATGATAAATGTTTAAATTGAATTATTTCCTGCTGTACTAATTTAAAAAAACAATACGTATTTTCCTTTAAATAAATGAGCATCATTGCCAAATTAAAAAATTAATAAGAAAAAAGAGGCAATATTTTGAATTGAATTTAAAGCAATTTTTACTTTTCCAACTGCTATATAGGCCTAACAGAGGAAAAATATGCAGACAAGTCAAAAAATGACGTCTGCAAAAGGGACCTCGAAACGTTAAGAAATGAAAAAAAAAAAAAAGGGTTTTCCTGTATGAATAGATGCTAGTATGTGGGGGGCACATTTTGTTCGCCCACTTTCAAGCTTAATAACTGCTGTGACTTTGCTGGGAAGTTTGTCTATTAGAGACACATATGTCGTATCTCGAAGTGGGGACAAACTTAATGAAGATTTTAAAGTCTTTCCCAATTATTAGCATTTAAATTTTTTTTTCTTTTTATAAACCTCATCTTTATCCTCAAAATTAAGATTTTTGCCATTTTATGTACAAATAATGTTATTTATGGTTAGAAATNTATAAAAATATTAGTGGAATCAGGTTAAAAAGAAAAATTCAGCGAAAACATTAAATAAAGGAATCTTTCAAAAGTAGTGGCATAAGAATACTGAAAGTAGATTCGACAGTAGGATTCAATATGTGAATACGGTTCACATTAGACACACTACAACTATAGAAAGTTTTGGTTGTAACCGTAATAATAAATCAAGAAAATAAGCATCGTCACAGAAAAATTCAGCAACGAGTTGCTTAACTTTTCCGGTCACATTTAGTGGCGACATCTGTTGTTATAAAATTATGTATAAAATGTAAAATATTTTATAATTTAATTAAAATATGATTTAAAAAGTAAAACAGAAAATCGAAAGATCAGAAATTTCTGTTGTACAGTAAAGGTGAAAAATAGATGAAAGATAAAGAAAGAAGCTCGGACAGTTTGACTATTAATACTACAAAATAAATTTCTTTACTTAAGATAAGTAAGCAAAATTTACTTAAGAGAGTAAAAAAGCAGAAAACAACGAGCAATTATTTATTGTGACATCTAATGTACTAGATGTCACATTATTTATTATGATTAGTATACTTGGACTAGAGGCTATCTGCGAACTTCTAGTTTCTTCGTGACTTTTCTGAATACAAATATTATCATTTTCAATATTTTGTACTTTAATGTGTGATTATAAACTTTGTTCCCCAGTCTTTTGTCCTCCTTGGCAAAATGGATCCCAATCGGACCCTGTATAGTCGCGTAGTCTAGATCTATGGTAGATACTGGAACGAAGACACGAGTTATGAGCTGTCTAATCGGAGCACTTGGAAATTTTAGTCTCGTTGCTCTCTTTATTACAACAATGTTTTGTAAAAGTCGGCAGGCGATCGTTACATCCAATATTTAGACTTGTAAATACGGGAAAAGAAAAAATGAAGAGGATCGTTGGATAGAATTCTCTTAGATCGGTCTGTCGCCTCTCTGTCGACATCGGCTTTTCGGGTGTCGTTTCGACCTCCACCAAAGCTTATCTGTGCTTGTCGACATACACCGGCGATTGTTCGAATGTATAATAATATAACCAAATATTCGGTCTTTCACCGACGTATTTTGTGTGTCGACATTCACCGGAGAATATCGACATTCTCTAATTTCGGTCTTTCACAGTAACACATACATTAAGAAATCAAATGTATTGATAGTTTGATAAATGTATACTGTATATGTAAATGGAGTTCTATTCCCTGAGAACTAATTATATCAGTTAAATTCACGTTTTAAACATATACAGTGAATGAATTTTCCGATCTAAGAGAATTCTGACTACCCACAAATCCTTTGTGGGTAGTCAGAGGTAAGACAGGATCATACCTCTTTTCCCGGCAACGGTTTGGTGGAAATCGCCCACTTTGTCACTAAATGGTGTTTTTGTTCTTTTGATCCCGTGAGGTGGGATCGGTTAGTCAGGTCGAGTAACGGAGGATGAGAGGGGGTCGTTGGTAAGGCGTCGTCAATATCTGAATAAAAGACACCATTAACAGATCAATTCGTAATTACGTAATAACGTAATCAGTTCGTAATTTGTAAAGAAAAGTTACTTTTCATAGATGAGGTTTCTACTCAAGAAATATCGCTGAGAGAAGCAGTTACAGCTAATTCGAAAAGTGGAGGGTAAGGCTATACAGTAGACCCCTCCTATAACACTGTAGATAATTCCGTGTTATACGAATTCCATGTTGTACGAGTCACTTAGATTTTACAAATACGTGTGCCGGGCTGTGAACAGCTCACGTATTTGTAAAATCTAAGTGACTCGTACAACATGGAATTCATATAACACGGAATTATCTACAGTGTTATAGGGTGGTCGACTGTACATGCTGTCATTGCAAAAAGAGGTGTTCCACGAATAAATGCAAGTGTAAAAGCAAGGGACTCAAAGTGCCATAACAGTTTAAGTTATAGCAATAAATATGATTGTACAACGTCAATCACATAATTTATGTGTAAGTTTATTATTGTATTATTTTCTTTAATGATTTAGAACGTACTGTTCATTTTAGGTTCAACAGTTTTTTACATGTGCTGTTACTTAAGCTTTCTCCTATTTTGACATATTAAAAAGTTGCATTTTTATCTTAATGAAATAAAAATATTTTTATTCAACATTCACCATCAGTGCATGCCGAATGTCGACATTTGCCGGTGTAAGTGAGAAATAATGATATTTAGCAAATATTTCGTACATACACGAAACGACTGTGTGAGTGCTGACATTCACCGGAGAACGTTGACATTCGCCAGATATCGGTCATTCACAGTAACATATGCACAATATTTTGTTTTTATCTCTCATAATCTAATCTTACTAAATTAAATATCTAATAAATTAAACTTTGAGCACAATGATAACAACACAATAGAATAAACCCGCTATTAAATCGTTGTTATAATTCCGTTTATTTAAGTATGGAAGTACCAAAAGAATGGACATTAAAAAATTCATTACATTCACTACTTATTGCAGTAATTCTTATCTATCTCATTCGTTGGCTATTAAGAAAAAATAAAAATTATCCTCCCGGTCCTATTGGATTGCCAATTGTTGGATACTTACCGTTTTTAAGTAAAGATGCTCATGAAAAATTATGTAAACTACAGAAAATATACGGAGGAATATTCGGGTGAGTTCCTATAATTATTGTACAGTACGTTTGCCTTTTTAAAAAAACATTTAGACACGTTTATTTTCTTTTAGTTTCTATTTAGGTAGTAAATATACGGTTGTTCTAAATGGTTATTCTTCTGTGAAAGAAGGTTTAAATAATCCAAATCTTCTCTCTCGACCCCCAAATTTACCACTCGACGTTTTAAATGAATTTGATTCAACGAAAAGTAAGTTAAATAATAAACTGCGTAATTTTTCTGTAACTCGAATAATTTTTAAGCGGGTGAAACGTTTTTATAGCTGGATTCGGTGGTAAGTATTGGATAGAGCAACGTCGGTTCATGTTACACGTATTACGTGATCTCGGATTCGGCAAAAACAAAATGGAGGGATATATTACGGTAAGAGATATATAGTAAATGTAAATTTTATTTCTTAAGAAATTGCTAACTGTGTAAATATCCAGGAAGAACTATCACACTTTATCAACGAGTTGAAAGCTTTAAACGGCAAACCTTGTATACCGAAAGAATTGACGATTCCGAGTGTATCCAATGTAATTTGTTCTTTGATATTCGGTAGAAGATTAGAATATAATTCACCGGAGAGGAAATTGCTTGATCAAAGCCTGAGTGACATTTCGAAAGTTCTAACTCAAACGTCAATCCAAGTGTATATGCCATGGTTAAAACCCATCGTAATGTCAACGAACTTCTTTAATTCCAAAAAGGGTTTCGAGGCAGCCAAGAAAATAAGTACTTTTGAAGAGTATGACTTTTAAAAATTATATTTTAATTCTCTGAATATTAAACTTTAAAATACCATTTTCTAATATTTTTCTGTGTTTTGATTTTCTCAGAATAGAAATTGATAATCACGAAAAGACTTTGGATGTTAATAATATTCGAGATTACATCGATGGATACTTAATCGAATTGAAGAAAAGAAAAGAAGATTCCAAGTCTTACTTTAACAGTAATATAATTATATTTATTTTATTAATACGATATAATATGAAGAAAAATTGCATAATAAACGACTTATCATAAATATTATAAACTATAATTTGCACATGTCGATAAAGAAATATTCCATTCAAAAAGTGTAGACCTATAAATTCCCATTGGCATTCGTCTGTTTTTCTCTCTGTATATCCTTCCTTGATCTCGAGAACGGAGTTAGATAGATGAAACTCGAGACAAGATATGGAAACCTTAGGGAAAGGAGGCCCCGATTAATTATATAAGATGTTAAGATTTAAACAGGTAGACACGTTATTTTAATTCGAAGTTTTCTCCTGAACGCAGTTAGATAGATAACCGCCATAACTTCATTGTTAAAATGTAAAGTGTGATGCACAGGGGCAAGACACTACTAAACTTAAGAGCATTGTAACAACATCACAATAAACACATCGATATTTTGTTCTTAAATTGAAAAGTGTGTTCGAAATTTTTTTCAAAAACAAAGAAAATATTTCTAGATAAGATCTATGAAATAAGTTTTTCAATTAGGAATAAACAAAATACCAGTCTGTTATCCTCAGATGTAGTTTATTACGACAATAAAGACTTTCGTAAATTGTTTTAGAACTTATTTTTACATTAGATCACTACAACTGGAAGGCTATTGAATTGCAGAAAACATTTTTCATTGTAATAAGATACACCTTAAGATAAAATTTTACGTTTTCGTTTATGAAAAAGTACATTATCATTCGCTTGTTGTAATTATTTTGAGAGTGTCCAGAAGTGGTCGAGTGGGTAAAACCACTAAACATTGGAAGTTAGCTGCGAGTTCACACGATGTTTCCTGGGTTTTCTTCACGAATGTAACACCTAAATAGGGGTCACTTTTCCATAGAAAGTTCTCCTGACAGACACCACCTTGATAGATAGCTCTTGTTTTATATTGCCTTATCCTATCAATACAATCTAATTGCTTTGTGGCTCATTTATATTAATTAATGACTAAATAAACAAGGTTTTTTCAAATGGAGAGGATAGGAAATTACGAGTCGTTATTCTCAGACAACTTGTCAAAAAAAGCATCGTGTCAATGCTTTTTCTATCTTCATTGAGTAAATTATCATTTTTTAATAATAATGGATGGAGTGCAATTTAAAATAATTTACTTCTAGGAAGTATGATGAAGCAAACTTTACAACTCCTGTTGGTTGCTGGGAGTAGAACAGTACACGAAACATTAAATTGGGCTTTTCTTATTATGGCTAAATACCAAGATGTTCAAAAACGCGTACAACAGGAAATCGATGACGTAATTGGAAGAATTCGACAACTAACATGGGCCGATCACGTAAATCTTCCCTACACGCAAGCTGTAATTTACGAAATTCAACGATGGAGAACACTTGTAGCACTTAATTTGATGAGACAGTAATATTTTTCTCTATAATATTTTAATGAAAATTAAATATTAAAATTAATATTAGGAAATTTTAGTTGTATAGAAGAAACTACAATACAAGGACTATCAATCCCTAAAGGAAGTATCGTGATTGCTAATATATGGTCTGTACATAACGATAAAGATTACTGGAAGGATCCCGAAATATTTCGTCCAGAAAGATTTCTAGATGCAACAGGAAAGAAAGTGATTCGTCATGAGTTATATATACCTTTTTCATTAGGTATGTTTACCCGTTTTTATTAGTTGATTGAAGCGAAACGTCGTAAAATGCAAAAAAAAAAAAAAAAAATTAAGGGTTTTTGTTTTCTGTATGTATGGATGTTAGTGTGTACAGGCACGATTTTGCTCACCTAATTTAAAGATTAATGACTTCTGTGCTTTTTGCCGAAAATTTCTGAAATTTTGCAGCGAGGTTTGCGTATTATGTGGATTATATTTTGGTGGTTAAAAATAGAGGGGGTCACATGCTATATTTAAAGTGGGGTCGGACTTAATAAAAATTTTATTAGTTATTAGAATTTACATTAAAAAATAAAAAGTAAACTCGTCTCTACCCTCACAATTAAGCATTTTTCCATTAATTATATATAAAGTTCTTAAAATAAAATATTCTAACACATGGTTCCACACGCAATTTTGAAAATTGTAATCGGAAAAATTACTCTATTCGTTGTTGGATTTTACATCGTTTTTCTTGCAATAGTATTAAAAATCACACAAAGCTTTTAATACATTTTTAAAAAATTAGAAAAAAAATATATCCCTAATACGAATGAAAATCGATAATTTGGTTACAATCAGACATTTGCTGAAAAATGAAAAAAAAAAAAAAATTGTAACATACAATGCTTATTTTTCACCAAAATCCCTATAAATATTTAGACAGTTGTCTGAAAGTTTATAGGGATTTTGACTTGCTAATTTCTAATTAACAGTCAAAATCCTAATTCACTTCACTTGCTAGTTTCTGAAAAATTGCTACATAAAAATCTTTTGATGCTATCAGAGTCACTGAAATAAATGTTTTTGAATGTCTTCATTAATTAAAATACGCTCTTTACGCAAGTTTTCTTTTAAACGTCCGTAAACGTGATCATTTAGCACATATTTGACATCCAGCGCAACCCAACAAAATAATTTAAACAATTCTAAATCAATACAATGATTCTGAATTATTTAATATATATAATTTTCATCAGCCATAAAATTCGAATATTTCTAAATATATATTACCGTAATTTAATTATTACAGTTCACAGTATGAAAGTTACAATATAAACAATGCGAATTCACAGTGTGAAAGTTACAATAAAAGCAATGAGGATTCACAGTGTGAAAGCTACAATAGAAACAATGCGGATGGTTCATCTTCAATAGATGGATTAAATTTCAGCAGTCTTTTAGAATCCATCAATGTAATATATAGTTCAAGTTGTTTGTATGATAAAGAATTTGAAAGTCATCTCCAACAAGGATCAGGTATTGAAGAAAACTATGCTAAAAACCACGGAGAATCAAGCAATGAACTCGTGACTCCTACAAGAGAGTTGGAAAATATAGATAAACAAACAAATGAAACTTATCCTATATTAAATAAAAACAAAATACGAACAGAAGTTATGAATATATGCGAGGAGGGAACAAAAACTCAAGAGTCTGTAGTAGGTAAAAGAATTTCAAGTGGAGATTTAGATTTAAATCTTTCAAAATATGCAAACAATGAAAAACCTGTTTGATAAATAATATTATTCTCTCAACAAACAAAAGAAAACACGTTAATCCCGGATGAAGAATTTGAATTGAAACTAAAGGAAAAAGTAATTAATTTAACGTATTTTAGTTATTTATAAATACAGCAGAATCTTATTTTATGCGAGGTTGATATACGAAAATTTTTGTTTTCGTGGATAACGAACGTTTAGAATAACATTTTGATGCATGAGAGTAATTCTGACTATTAATGCACAAGCTTACTATTTTTATTATGAAATTCATTGTATAGAAAAATTAATAGTTATATAAGTCAAAAGCATAGAAAATGTCTTGTGTTTACAGTATGCGAGTTGTATAAAAACAGAAACTCTTGACATTACCTAATGAAACCGAAACCACAACGTGAGAATGGCTTCTGATGGTCCCTCGCGTAAAACAGGATATAATGTAAATAATTATTATTTTTATAATTTCATAAAATAATATAAATAAATCAATAATAAATTAAAACATGTTTTTTAGTTCCATCTACAGCAGCAACAATGAACCATCATAATTATTCAAAGATGTACTTTATGAAGAATCGTCTAACTTTCAAAGGAATCTTTAAACACTAGCAATAAAAAATTTACATAAAATTAATATTTAGTTATGTTACGAAGTAACTTTCTTCATTACTTACACGAAATTTTAACTAGAAATTAAACAATTATAAACAGAATACGATTTTGATCTGATATTTTAATATATAATATTTAATTACACCACTTATTAATACTGAATACTGTCGTATAAAATAACATTTGAATTTAATTTTAATGTAACATTATCTGTGTTACGTTAACTGTAGAAACGAAATAATGAAAATATTAAATAATTTTTTTATTAAAGTTTAAAGTGTAACGGTGTAATTGGAATTGTACTTTTGTTATTTTAATCATTCTATGTTGTCTTATTGGGCTGCAATTTGAAAAACTTGTAGTTCTATAAATTTTTAAGACTTTTTTTGTATTTTAAATTCTTCCCGCTCTCTGAGGCCCATCCAGACTGACCAAGAGGGGCCCACCAGTGTTCACTGAACAACTGATTTTAAAACATTTTTGTAAATAACCCATAGAATGAACGTCAAAATTCTNATGATTTAGAACGTACTGTTCATTTTAGGTTCAACAGTTTTTTACATGTGCTGTTACTTAAGCTTTCTCCTATTTTGACATATTAAAAAGTTGCATTTTTATCTTAATGAAATAAAAATATTTTTATTCAACATTCACCATCAGTGCATGCCGAATGTCGACATTTGCCGGTGTAAGTGAGAAATGATATTTAGCAAATATTTCGTACATACACGAAACGACTGTGTGAATGCTGACATTCACCGGAGAACGTTGACATTCGCCAGATATCGGTCATTCACAGTAACATATGCACAATATTTTGTTTTTATCTCTCATAATCTAATCTTACTAAATTAAATATCTAATAAATTAAACTTTGAGCACAATGATAACAACACAATAGAATAAACCCGCTATTAAATCGTTGTTATAATTCCGTTTATTTAAGTATGGAAGTACCAAAAGAATGGACATTAAAAAATTCATTACATTCACTACTTATTGCAGTAATTCTTATCTATCTCATTCGTTGGCTATTAAGAAAAAATAAAAATTATCCTCCCGGTCCTATTGGATTGCCAATTGTTGGATACTTACCGTTTTTAAGTAAAGATGCTCATGAAAAATTATGTAAACTACAGAAAATATACGGAGGAATATTCGGGTGAGTTCCTATAATTATTGTACAGTACGTTTGCCTTTTTAAAAAAACATTTAGACACGTTTATTTTCTTTTAGTTTCTATTTAGGTAGTAAATATACGGTTGTTCTAAATGATTATTCTTCCGTGAAAGAAGGTTTAAATAATCCAAATCTTCTCTCTCGACCCCCAAATTTACCACTCGATGTTTTAAATGAATTTGATTCGACGAAAAGTAAGTTAATTAATAAACTGCGTATTTTTTCTGTTACTCGAATAATTTTTAAGCGGGTGAAACGTTTTTATAGCTGGATTCGGTGGTAAGTATTGGATAGAGCAACGTCGGTTCATGTTACACGTATTACGTGATCTCGGATTCGGCAAAAACAAAATGGAGGGATATATTACGGTAAGAGATATATAGTAAATGTAAATTTTATTTCTTAAGAAATTGCTAACTGTGTAAATATCCAGGAAGAACTATCACACTTTATCAACGAGTTGAAAGCTTTAAACGGCAAACCTTGTATATCGAAAGAATTGACGATTCCGAGTGTATCAAATGTAATTTGTTCTTTGATATTCGGTAGAAGATTAGAATATAATTCACCGGAAAGGAAATTGCTAGTATTTCTCTTTTTTTCTAGTGTAATGCAACAATTTTCGATTAAATCGTTTGAGGAAAACGTTGACTTGGAAGGAATATTAGAACTCCCTTACGTATCAAAAAATCAAAAATTATACTTTTTATCGAGATAAAAATAATACTGAATGAATAAACAGAAATAAAAATTTCTTATTAACATTTAATTTATTAGAAATATCTAATATTTCTAATTAGGTAAGATTTTTAGTTAAGATTCTTAGTATTTCGGCTTCTCTGAAGATAAATTAGAGAAACAAATATTAGAGATGNAGGAAAACGTTGACTTGGAAGGAATATTAGAACTCCCTTACGTATCAAAAAATCAAAAATTATACTTTTTATCGAGATAAAAATAATACTGAATGAATAAACAGAAATAAAAATTTCTTATTAACATTTAATTTATTACAAATATCTAATATTTCTAATTAGGTAAGATTTTTAGTTAAGATTCTTAGTATTTCGGCTTCTCTGAAGATAAATTAAAGAAACAAATACTAGAGATGAAGTGGGAATATTATATTTCTGAATAATAATAATTACGTTCATTCATATGTACTGTATAAAACCCGTTTTCTTAAAATCAACATTAAAATAAAGAAAGTATTTTCAGAAACTTAATTAATTAACTTTATGTTCTTAAATTTTCTAATTTTTTCTTTAATCACGTACAGTACTTATATTAACGGGTATTTGATAACTACAATAACATGAAATCCGTCAATTCGTAATTCTGAAAATTTAAAGAAATAAAATTTAAAATAAACGAGCACTTATTTAGTGTAATGTCGTCACAATACGGGGCTGCAATTTAATCATATTTTAAATTTATTTAATTTAAAACATACGCTCTCCACCTGAAATTAGTGTCTTTCCCCTGTACATTATACTTTCCTGCAATGAACGGAGTCGTGCCGGTCATCTATCTAAGTACTTTCAGGGGAAAATTTTTGAATTAAAATAACGTGATTTCCGGTTGGCAGCAGAAGTTTATAATTTCTAAATAATAATAAAAAAAATTAATAAAACCATTCAATATTGAAGTACCTTATATATCAAAATTCAATCGAAATAAACAAAAAATCGCTAAAATATTTGTTCACTTCAAGTGTATTAGAAAAAGAACGCATTCTTTTATTAGTTAACTAATCGAATCTTATTATTTACTTCATAAAAATATTAGTGGAATCAGGTTAAAATGAAAAATTCAGCGAAAACATTAAATAAAGGAATCTTTCAAAAGTAGTGGCATAAGAATACTGAAAGTAGATTCGACAGTAGGATTCAATATGTGAATACGGTTCACATTAGACACACTACAACTATAGAAAGTTTTGGTTGTAACCGTAATAATAAATCAAGAAAATAAGCATCGTCACAGAAAAATTCAGCAACGAGTTGCTTAACTTTTCCGGTCACATTTAGTGGCGACATCTGTTGTTATAAAATTATGTATAAAATGTAGTGGCATAAGAATACTGAAAGTAGATTCGACAGTAGGATTCAATATGTGAATACGGTTCACATTAGACACACCACAACTATAGCAAGTTTTGGTTGTCACCGTAATAATAAATCAAGAAAATAAGCATCGTCACAGAAAAATTCAGCAACGAGTTGCTTAACTTTTCCGGTCACATTTGGTGGCGAAATCTGTTGTTATATTTTAATTTAAAAAATTTTTATATTTATAACTATTATAAAATGGCAAAAAGTTTAATTTTGAGGGTAAGGGTAAATTTTATAAGAAAATTGTAAATGCTAATAATCAGTAAAATCGTCACCCTACTGGAGATACACACCACCCCCTTTATCTCCCCACCCTTTCGACCGTTAATCACCAAAATTTAATAGGATCGATTCCCCTTAATAAAAAACCTCCCTTCAAACTTTCAGAAATTTTCGACACAAAGCACAGGAGTTATTAGGCTTCAAACTGGGTGAACAAAATCGTGCTCCCCTACACACTAACATCCTTACATAGAAATAAAACCGCCGAATTTTTTTGCATTTGTTGACCTTTCAGTGTTCCTCAAGTCTTAAAATGTAAAAATCTGGGAGATCGTTTTTTTTAACTATACTTTACATGTTTACATATTAATTCCTATCATAGAGCTCTCTATGGTAGGAATTAATATGAGAGCTTTTACTTGAAATATTCAAATTCAATACAATGGCGACATAAAATAGATTCGTCCTTAATACTATTACATTGCATTTGAATATTGCAAGTAAATTTTAAGCTTCTGTATTTAACACTCCCAAAAATAAATCCCGCAATTTTAAATTCATCAGTTATTGTATATTATCTAATCTAATAATTATTAAATAGATATTATTAGATATATAACCTAATCTAATCTTATAACATACAGTTTCTTATCATATTATTAGATTACGACCTTAAAACGACTTTCAAAACAATTTAATTTATCAATGTAAGAGTACTCCCACTTACATAGTTAAAAGGTACGATCTAATAACAGAGTGGTAACGCTACTATATGTAACTGAGAGGTAAGTAATCGGAGAATGATTTACCCCATATCAAATGCTAAAAGTGTTAATCCTCTACTTTGAGACACATTTTCATGCGTTTTACCATGTTTGCTGATGTCTATCTCAACAAGCTCGTGTCGATATTGTTTATTTCGTCGTAAACTTTAGGTGGAGTGATTGAGTGGTTCGTGATCCGTTTTTGACCATAAACCTTCTGTTTAAGAATAGACACAGAAAAAGAAATGAGCTGGCGTCAAGTCTGGGACTCATCAACATCTTCGTGAACGATAAAGATGTTGATAACACCAGACTTGATGGTTTTTAGAGATAACATCTATCCCCAAAATCCCGTTAATGAGTGTCATTGGAGGTGTAGCAGGTGGCACCGTTAATAATTGCGTAATCTGGTAATTTGATACAACTTAAGAAAAAAGCGTCATTTTCGGTGATTTTTAAAAAATACACTGCAAATGAGTATATTACAATTTATTTTTAATTTCTTCTAATTTCGCCAGTTTAGAAAATGTTCATTGCATGCTACCTTTATCTAATACAGTAGTTTACGTTACTACGTATATCCCCGAGACCTCGTAAATTCCAATCACGCGAAGATAAGCAGTTAAATTCATATACAATAATAATATTTCTTTGATAACGTAAACTAAAAATTTAAACTGTTTTCCTTTTCTCATAAAATGTTGGAGTTTTTTTAATGCCGTTTTATAATAATGCGCATTTTCCAATTTATTTGATGTTAAACATCGTAAAATAACATTAAAAACAATATTAATCACTCTGGTGAAAGTTCGGGCTTTCGTTTATTAATGTAATCCCGAAACAATCTGATAAAACGGGAATATCGGTTCTTATCGGTAAAATTTTGTATGGTATTATTTCTGAAGAACTATAATTAATCCTCGCTTGATAATTATAATGAACTTTTAAGTAATACAGAATATCATGATGCATTCCATTTGTATTACTTAAAAGAAATTAAAACTTGGATAAAAATTTACAGGTTGCGACGTTGAATCACAATGGAAGCACTGACAGAATGGGCACAGAAGAATATTCTGATATCCACTCTGGTTTTAGCAGTAACTGTTGCCTACATTACTCATTATATTTTATATCGAAATCGGAAACGAAATTTTCCTCCCGGACCTATAGGATTACCAATTGTCGGTTATTTACCATTCATTCGAAAAGATGCGCCACAAAAGTTCAATCGGTTACGCGATAAATACGGTGGAATATTTAGGTATGACGAATGATCTTTCTTTTTAATTAATATATTAATTCTTGACCTGATTAACGAATAGGCTATTTTGTTATGTAGTGTTTATTTAGGTAGTCGATACACAATTGTTTTGACTAATTATTCTTCCATAAAAGAAGGTTTAAACAATTCGTTTATGCTTGCTCGTCCTCCCCAGATGGTATTTGATATATTTTTAAAAACAAAATATAACAAAGGCAAGTTATATTCGAAAATGCTAAATGTCATATATAGTGAAAATATTTGAAAATGTCTATTAATCATAGCTGGATTTGGAGGAAAACGATGGTTGGAACAACGTCGATTTGTATTTCATACACTTCGAGAGCTTGGATTTGGAAGAAGAGGAATGGAAGAATTTATTACGGTAAAAATCTATTTCAGTCCGTTAATTTTATTAATATTTATAAAATTAAAATTTTCAGGAAGAAATCTCTTTTGTCATCAAAAAAATTCAAACTCTAAAAGGAAAACCACTTCGAGCTGTTGATATACTAACTCCCAGTATATCAAATGTAGTATGTTTTTTGTTATTTGGAAAAAGATTGGAGTATGATTCTCCCGAAAGAAAATTACTCGACGAGAGCCTAAATGTTGTTACAAAGTTTTTCGGTCAATCTTCTATTCAAATGTTCATTCCTTGGTTGAAATCGTTTATGTATTATTCGGGTATCTTTAATTTTAACAAAGCAATTGCCGCTGCATCCAACATAACGACATTTATAAAGTATGTATTTTTTAATAATATAAAATTTTGCAACAATTAATTTATGCTCAATACACACTTAAGATATGATATATTGTTTTTAGGAAAGAAGTTAAAGAACACGAAAAGACTTTGGATATCAATTGTATTAGAGACTACATCGACGGATATTTAATTGAATTAAAGAAAGAAAAGGATAACATCAATTCTTATTTTGATAGTAAGTGTTTTTTTTTACTAAAGAGGTGTAGTCAATGCATACTGTATTATTACTGTTTATCCTAAAATCCTGACTGAAAATTTCTTGCTTAGCGGAAATGCTACTTCAAAGTGTAATAGGATTATTTGGTGCTGGAAGCGCAACTGTTCAAGAAAGCTTATCATGGGCATTTCTCATTATGGCAAAATATCAAAATATTCAGAATCGTGTTCAACAAGAAATAGATGATAACATAGGAGGACATCGTCGGCCCACCTGGGGAGACCGTCTTAAACTTCCTTTTACTCAAGCTGTTATTTATGAAATGCAACGATGGAGAACTATTATTCCGTTGAATATTCTTAGATGGTGTGTAATATATTTTCTTCTCTAGAAAAATCTCTGAATTTTCTTTCTAAAAGTGATTAATTATACAGTTGTCAAGAAGACACAACACTGAAAGGTTACATCATACCAAAGGGAAGTATTGTTCTGGCAAATATCTGGTCTGCTCACAACGATAAAGTTTATTGGAAAGATCCCGAAGTGTTTCGTCCAGAAAGATTTTTAGACGAAACAGGAAGTAAACTTATTCAACACGATTATTTTATCCCTTTTTCGTTGGGTATGTTATTATTGTTTGTATCATTATTTATATTTTTTCGATGTTTTATAACTCGGAATAATTACAATAATTTTAACATTGCTTTTTACCTTATTATTCTCCCGAGTGAAGCTGGGAAATGATATATTATGTAAAGGTAATATAATAAGAAAAAAGTCTATATATACTTGAAGTCATAGACATATTCTTATTTTATTGAATCTCAATTAGTATCAATTAGAAAATGTTGCATTTATAAAAGAGATAAATGTTAAGAATTAACTATAAACGGTAGTTATGCCGCATTATTGGAATAACGCAAATTTACTTTTTAAATATAGCAAAAAGTAGATTCTAAAAATTTTATTAAAATTTGAATCCAGTAATTTCAATTTTCATTTTATATACTTGGGATATAAAAATTAAAACATCAATTTTTATTCGATAGGTAAAATGTCTTGTCCGGGAGAAACCTTGGCCAAAACAGAACTGTTTTTGTATTTTACAAATATTTTGCAGAATTTTACGATCAAACCACCAGAAGGAGCAATTTTAGATATGGAAGGAACACTTGGAATCGCTTACGCATCGAAACCTCAAAAGTTGTGCTTTTTGGAAAGAGAACACAACGAATTAACAATATAAATTCTAAATTACAGTATACCTAAATCCTGAAAACATTTCATTCATTTTTCTTTTATAATTGATTCAAAATTAGATTTCATTAATCACTACGCGTAGTTATTGTAAAAGTGAATAACTCATTCGGTTTGCGCGAGTTTCTGAACAAATATATAAAAATCAATAAATACTTCTTAATTTGATAATGTAGCTTTTTATTACCGTCAGTTCTAAATTAATAATTTTCTTATCTTGCTATTTATTTGATTTTTATAGAATGTGAAATGCAGTTTTATAATCAGGATAGGTGAATTACATAGTTAAAAATTTATCTTAAAGATACATGATATACTTCTTAAATCTAAAATACTTATTAAATGAATACATATTTTTACTTGATATGAAAAAGTTTTAGGTGGAAAGTATCAATGTTAGGCTAACAGAAGAATTATCAAGTCACACATAATATTGTGCATGAATAAATTTACGTAATTTATAACATTCAAATTAAACACAACTGAAAACACGTACATTCAATTTTAATTATTACAGAATCAAATTAGCAGGAATAATGGAATGGAAAATAATTCCATAACACGAACAAATGATCCAGAACAATTTCCTAATACGAAATTTATCTACTCGATATCGAATCCGGGCCCTCCTGTTTGCTGTAGACTGTAGCCATAACAAAAGGGGGTGTTAAATATCCTTGAAATTCGTAGAAAAATAAACTTCAAATATGATCCTGCTCCATTTCTCTGTATGATTTCGAATATTAATTTTGTTTCCTTTAAGCTTTATACACTCACCACTTCCGAGGAAACCATTATAATTACAAATTCTGAGGTTTTGTAGCACCATATTGTTAATCGAGTTGTATTATAAGAGTTATTCATGTATCCAAATCCCAATTTTAATGAAGATGAACGATCCTTGCAATTCAAATTCATATAGTTGGATACCACAGTTAAAAACAAACACTGAAATTATTAGTTTTATAATAAAATGTATTAGAATGTTAAATCCAACAATATTTGGCCATTTTCATCGCAATTTTCCACACCACCTGAAGTTCTGATTAGAAGAAATGCAAGAGATTGTGTGACGTATTCAAAGATATACTAGAAAATTGATTTTAAAATATTTATGTCACGTTTATATTTATAAACTTAAAAATGTGCTTTATTGGAGGTGGCAGCTTATATCAAAGTGATACATCACTAACATACTAGAGGTAAGTTAGAGTTAGTTCAAGGTTATTAATGAACTCCAATAAAGCAAATTTTTGAGTTTTGCAGCTGAAATTTCATTTATTATGTATACAAAACGATAAATTTGAATTTACTTACACTTAAGATTGACTTCTTGCAGAAGAAAAAGAAATTTTTACTTTTGAATCCAATGTTTCTTTTCACAATATATAATAATATTAAAGACTACAAAACAGGAGAAAATCTTCATAAANAAGCAAAAAAAAAAAAAATAGCTTTAATGAGTGTTAAACACAACTATATCAGAGTTAACTGAAATTACAGAAGTGTAAAACTTCGTCCTGTACAGGGAAATCAACAGAAATCGAATGGCTAACGCTGTACAGATGGAAAAGAAAGTACAAATCACCCTTCTTGATCAGCGATTATAATTGGCTGGTTTTGCCAGAATTTCAAATAAAGTCAAACCTCGGTTTTCGAACATAATTCGTTCCTAAAAATTTGTTCTAAAACCGAAACAAACTTTCCCATAAGAAACAATATAAAATGGATTAATCCATTCCTAACCCCCAAAATAAAACCTTTTTTTTTACTTTTTAAAGCTGTATTTCATGTATAAAATGCTTCCAAATGCAAGGTAATATTGAATGTAATATAATACTGTATTATATATATATTAAATTTTTGTTATTCAATTTGACTTTAGCACCTTCAAACACGAATTCTTGGATACCATTTATATTAAGTGAATATGAATTAACGCGATTTTTATTATTTTAATTCTCAGTTGTAAAATATATACCTTAAATTTATAGTCTTACATGTTTGTTTATATATATATATTTAATCCATTATATAATTATTGTTTTACAGGTAAAATGTCTTGTGTAGGAGAAAGTATGGCAAAACAAGAAGTATTTCTCTTTTTTTCTAGTGTAATGCAAAAATTTTCGATTAAATCGTTTGAGGAAAACGTTGACTTGGAAGGAATATTAGAACTCCCTTACGTATCAAAAAATCAAAAATTATACTTTTTATCGAGATAAAAATAATACTGAATGAATAAACAGAAATAAAAATTTCTTATTAACATTTAATTTATTAGAAATATCTAATATTTCTAATTAGGTAAGATTTTTAGTTAAGATTCTTAGTATTTCGGCTTCTCTGAAGATAAATTAGAGAAACAAATATTAGAGATGAAGTGGGAATATTATATTTCTGAATAATAATAATTAAGTTCATTCATATGTACTGTATAAAACCAGTTTTCTTAAAATCAACATTAAAATAAAGAAAGTATTTTCAGAAACTTAATTAATTAACTTTATGTTCTTAAATTTTCTAATTTTTTCTTTAATCACGTACAGTACTTATATTAACGGGTATTTGATAACTACAATAACATGAAATCCGTCAATTCGTAATTCTGAAAATTTAAAGAAATAAAATTTAAAATAAACGAGCACTTATTTAGTGTAATGTCGTCACAATACGGGGCTGCAATTTAATCATATTTTAAATTTATTTAATTTAAAACATACGCTCTCCACCTGAAATTAGTGTCTTTCCCCTGTACATTATACTTTCCTGCAATGAACGGAGTCGTGCCGGTCATCTATCTAAGTACTTTCAGGGGAAAATTTTTGAATTAAAATAACGTGATTTCCGGTTGGCAGCAGAAGTTTATAATTTCTAAATAATAATAAAAAAAATTAATAAAACCATTCAATATTGAAGTACCTTATATATCAAAATTCAATCGAAATAAACAAAAAATCGCTAAAATATTTGTTCACTTCAAGTGTATTAGAAAAAGAACGCATTCTTTTATTAGTTAACTAATCGAATCTTATTATTTACTTCATAAAAATATTAGTGGAATCAGGTTAAAATGAAAAATTCAGCGAAAACATTAAATAAAGGAATCTTTCAAAAGTAGTGGCATAAGAATACTGAAAGTAGATTCGACAGTAGGATTCAATATGTGAATACGGTTCACATTAGACACACCACAACTATAGCAAGTTTTGGTTGTCACCGTAATAATAAATCAAGAAAATAAGCATCGTCACAGAAAAATTCAGCAACGAGTTGCTTAACTTTTCCGGTCACATTTGGTGGCGAAATCTGTTGTTATATTTTAATTTAAAAAATTTTTATATTTATAACTATTATAAAATGGCAAAAAGTTTAATTTTGAGGGTAAGGGTAAATTTTATAAGAAAATTGTAAATGCTAATAATCAGTAAAATCGTCACCCTACTGGAGATACACACCACCCCCTTTATCTCCCCACCCTTTCGACCGTTAATCACCAAAATTTAATAGGATCGATTCCCCTTAATAAAAAAAACCTCCCTTCAAACTTTCAGAAATTTTCGACACAAAGCACAGGAGTTATTAGGCTTCAAACTGGGTGAACAAAATCGTGCTCCCCTACACACTAACATCCTTACATAGAAATAAAACCGCCGAATTTTTTTGCATTTGTTGACCTTTCAGTGTTCCTCAAGTCTTAAAATGTAAAAATCTGGGAGATCGTTTTTTTAACTATACTTTACATGTTTACATATTAATTCCTATCATAGAGCTCTCTATGGTAGGAATTAATATGAGAGCTTTTACTTGAAATATTCAAATTCAATACAATGGCGACATAAAATAGATTCGTCCTTAATACTATTACATTGCATTTGAATATTGCAAGTAAATTTTAAGCTTCTGTATTTAACACTCCCAAAAATAAATCCCGCAATTTTAAATTCATCAGTTATTGTATATTATCTAATCTAATAATTATTAAATAGATATTATTAGATATATAACCTAATCTAATCTTATAACATACAGTTTCTTATCATATTATTAGATTACGACCTTAAAACGACTTTCAAAACAATTTAATTTATCAATATAAGAGTACTCCCACTTACATAGTTAAAAGGTACGATCTAATAACAGAGTGGTAACGCTACTATATGTAACTGAGAGGTAAGTAATCGGAGAATGATTTACCCCATATCAAATGCTAAAAGTGTTAATCCTCTACTTTGAGACACATTTTCATGCGTTTTACCATGTTTGCTGATGTCTATCTCAACAAGCTCGTGTCGATATTGTTTATTTCGTCGTAAACTTTAGGTGGAGTGATTGAGTGGTTCGTGATCCGTTTTTGACCATAAACCTTCTGTTTAAGAATAGACACAGAAAAAGAAATGAGCTGGCGTCAAGTCTGGGACTCATCAACATCTTCGTGAACGATAAAGATGTTGATAACACCAGACTTGATGGTTTTTAGAGATAACATCTATCCCCAAAATCCCGTTAATGAGTGTCATTGGAGGTGTAGCAGGTGGCACCGTTAATAATTGCGTAATCTGGTAATTTGATACAACTTAAGAAAAAAGCGTCATTTTCGGTGATTTTTAAAAAATACACTGCAAATGAGTATATTACAATTTATTTTTAATTTCTTCTAATTTCGCCAGTTTAGAAAATGTTCATTGCATGCTACCTTTATCTAATACAGTAGTTTACGTTACTACGTATATCCCCGAGACCTCGTAAATTCCAATCACGCGAAGATAAGCAGTTAAATTCATATACAATAATAATATTTCTTTGATAACGTAAACTAAAAATTTAAACTGTTTTCCTTTTCTCATAAAATGTTGGAGTTTTTTTAATGCCGTTTTATAATAATGCGCATTTTCCAATTTATTTGATGTTAAACATCGTAAAATAACATTAAAAACAATATTAATCACTCTGGTGAAAGTTCGGGCTTTCGTTTATTAATGTAATCCCGAAACAATCTGATAAAACGGGAATATCGGTTCTTATCGGTAAAATTTTGTATGGTATTATTTCTGAAGAACTATAATTAATCCTCGCTTGATAATTATAATGAACTTTTAAGTAATACAGAATATCATGATGCATTCCATTTGTATTACTTAAAAGAAATTAAAACTTGGATAAAAATTTACAGGTTGCGACGTTGAATCACAATGGAAGCACTGACAGAATGGGCACAGAAGAATATTCTGATATCCACTCTGGTTTTAGCAGTAACTGTTGCCTACATTACTCATTATATTTTATATCGAAATCGGAAACGAAATTTTCCTCCCGGACCTATAGGATTACCAATTGTCGGTTATTTACCATTCATTCGAAAAGATGCGCCACAAAAGTTCAATCGGTTACGCGATAAATACGGTGGAATATTTAGGTATGACGAATGATCTTTCTTTTTAATTAATATATTAATTCTTGACCTGATTAACGAATAGGCTATTTTGTTATGTAGTGTTTATTTAGGTAGTCGATACACAATTGTTTTGACTAATTATTCTTCCATAAAAGAAGGTTTAAACAATTCGTTTATGCTTGCTCGTCCTCCCCAGATGGTATTTGATATATTTTTAAAAACAAAATATAACAAAGGCAAGTTATATTCGAAAATGCTAAATGTCATATATAGTGAAAATATTTGAAAATGTCTATTAATCATAGCTGGATTTGGAGGAAAACGATGGTTGGAACAACGTCGATTTGTATTTCATACACTTCGAGAGCTTGGATTTGGAAGAAGAGGAATGGAAGAATTTATTACGGTAAAAATCTATTTCAGTCCGTTAATTTGATTAATATTTATAAAATTAAAATTTTCAGGAAGAAATCTCTTTTGTCATCAAAAAAATTCAAACTCTAAAAGGAAAACCACTTCGAGCTGTTGATATACTAACTCCCAGTATATCAAATGTAGTATGTTTTTTGTTATTTGGAAAAAGATTGGAGTATGATTCTCCCGAAAGAAAATTACTCGACGAGAGCCTAAATGTTGTTACAAAGTTTTTCGGTCAATCTTCTATTCAAATGTTCATTCCTTGGTTGAAATCGTTTATGTATTATTCGGGTATCTTTAATTTTAACAAAGCAATTGCCGCTGCATCCAACATAACGACATTTATAAAGTATGTATTTTTTAATAATATAAAATTTTGCAACAATTAATTTATGCTCAATACACACTTAAGATATGATATATTGTTTTTAGGAAAGAAGTTAAAGAACACGAAAAGACTTTGGATATCAATTGTATTAGAGACTACATCGACGGATATTTAATTGAATTAAAGAAAGAAAAGGATAACATCAATTCTTATTTTGATAGTAAGTGTTTTTTTTTACTAAAGAGGTGTAGTCAATGCATACTGTATTATTACTGTTTATCCTAAAATCCTGACTGAAAATTTCTTGCTTAGCGGAAATGCTACTTCAAAGTGTAATAGGATTATTTGGTGCTGGAAGCGCAACTGTTCAAGAAAGCTTATCATGGGCATTTCTCATTATGGCAAAATATCAAAATATTCAGAATCGTGTTCAACAAGAAATAGATGATAACATAGGAGGACATCGTCGGCCCACCTGGGGAGACCGTCTTAAACTTCCTTTTACTCAAGCTGTTATTTATGAAATGCAACGATGGAGAACTATTATTCCGTTGAATATTCTTAGATGGTGTGTAATATATTTTCTTCTCTAGAAAAATCTCTGAATTTTCTTTCTAAAAGTGATTAATTATACAGTTGTCAAGAAGACACAACACTGAAAGGTTACATCATACCAAAGGGAAGTATTGTTCTGGCAAATATCTGGTCTGCTCACAACGATAAAGTTTATTGGAAAGATCCCGAAGTGTTTCGTCCAGAAAGATTTTTAGACGAAACAGGAAGTAAACTTATTCAACACGATTATTTTATCCCTTTTTCGTTGGGTATGTTATTATTGTTTGTATCATTATTTATATTTTTTCGATGTTTTATAACTCGGAATAATTACAATAATTTTAACATTGCTTTTTACCTTATTATTCTCCCGAGTGAAGCTGGGAAATGATATATTATGTAAAGGTAATATAATAAGAAAAAAGTCTATATATACTTGAAGTCATAGACATATTCTTATTTTATTGAATCTCAATTAGTATCAATTAGAAAATGTTGCATTTATAAAAGAGATAAATGTTAAGAATTAACTATAAACGGTAGTTATGCCGCATTATTGGAATAACGCAAATTTACTTTTTAAATATAGCAAAAAGTAGATTCTAAAAATTTTATTAAAATTTGAATCCAGTAATTTCAATTTTCATTTTATATACTTGGGATATAAAAATTAAAACATCAATTTTTATTCGATAGGTAAAATGTCTTGTCCGGGAGAAACCTTGGCCAAAACAGAACTGTTTTTGTATTTTACAAATATTTTGCAGAATTTTACGATCAAACCACCAGAAGGAGCAATTTTAGATATGGAAGGAACACTTGGAATCGCTTACGCATCGAAACCTCAAAAGTTGTGCTTTTTGGAAAGAGAACACAACGAATTAACAATATAAATTCTAAATTACAGTATACCTAAATCCTGAAAACATTTCATTCATTTTTCTTTTATAATTGATTCAAAATTAGATTTCATTAATCACTACGCGTAGTTATTGTAAAAGTGAATAACTCATTCGGTTTGCGCGAGTTTCTGAACAAATATATAAAAATCAATAAATACTTCTTAATTTGATAATGTAGCTTTTTATTACCGTCAGTTATAAATTAATAATTTTCTTATCTTGCTATTTATTTGATTTTTATAGAATGTGAAATGCAGTTTTATAATCAGGATAGGTGAATTACATAGTTAAAAATTTATCTTAAAGATACATGATATACTTCTTAAATCTAAAATACTTATTAAATGAATACATATTTTTACTTGATATGAAAAAGTTTTAGGTGGAAAGTATCAATGTTAGGCTAACAGAAGAATTATCAAGTCACACATAATATTGTGCATGAATAAATTTACGTAATTTATAACATTCAAATTAAACACAACTGAAAACACGTACATTCAATTTTAATTATTACAGAATCAAATTAGCAGGAATAATGGAATGGAAAATAATTCCATAACACGAACAAATGATCCAGAACAATTTCCTAATACGAAATTTATCTACTCGATATCGAATCCGGGCCCTCCTGTTTGCTGTAGACTGTAGCCATAACAAAAGGGGGTGTTAAATATCCTTGAAATTCGTAGAAAAATAAACTTCAAATATGATCCTGCTCCATTTCTCTGTATGATTTCGAATATTAATTTTGTTTCCTTTAAGCTTTATACACTCACCACTTCCGAGGAAACCATTATAATTACAAATTCTGAGGTTTTGTAGCACCATATTGTTAATCGAGTCGTATTATAAGAGTTATTCATGTATCCAAATCCCAATTTTAATGAAGATGAACGATCCTTGCAATTCAAATTCATATAGTTGGATACCACAGTTAAAAACAAACACTGAAATTATTAGTTTTATAATAAAATTTATTAGAATGTTAAATCCAACAATATTTGGCCATTTTCATCGCAATTTTCCACACCACCTGAAGTTCTGATTAGAAGAAATGCAAGAGATTGTGTGACGTATTCAAAGATATACTAGAAAATTGATTTTAAAATATTTATGTCACGTTTATATTTATAAACTTAAAAATGTGCTTTATTGGAGGTGGCAGCTTATATCAAAGTGATACATCACTAACATACTAGAGGTAAGTTAGAGTTAGTTCAAGGTTATTAATGAACTCCAATAAAGCAAATTTTTGAGTTTTGCAGCTGAAATTTCATTTATTATGTATACAAAACGATAAATTTGAATTTACTTACACTTAAGATTGACTTCTTGCAGAAGAAAAAGAAATTTTTACTTTTGAATCCAATGTTTCTTTTCACAATATATAATAATATTAAAGACTACAAAACAGGAGAAAATCTTCATAAATATATTAAATGCATAATTTTAAAACAAGTTATAATTAATAATAATACATTCATATTGTACTGATCGTTCTGAAAATAAACGTCCATGATACAGAAATGAAATTCTTGAATCTAAGAAAAAAGGGACATTTCATTAGAAAACAATTATTATAATTGTTTAACAGATTTAAATTAATACAAACATTATTGTACTGCTAAAACATTTATGGCTCAAGAAGTAAAATAATAATATAAAATCGTTATGTAATTATTATTGCTTAACAATTCTTTTAAAAATTTTTATAAAATAATATTTAAGAAACTGATAAGGAAAATGCAACATACCTTTGATGGAATTCTTGTAATGTATAAAGCATATATCACTGTTACAATTCCAAACCAGGAGACAAAAAGTATTGTAAGAAACAGCTCGAAAGTTAAAGAATGAGCAATTAACACATAGAGAAAGATAATGCATGCCCCCGGAAATATAACAGTTATAGACATCACGTGTAAATTTTGGAAAATTTTATCTATTTCATTTATAAAAATGAAAACACGCGCAACTTCATTCAGTACAGTTGCGCTTTCCATTAGAATATGCCTTTTTATTTTCTTTTTTATATCTGCAACATACGTTTCTAACAAACGAACACTTAAATAGGTAAGTATCCATAGAAAACCGAAACCAAAACCGATTACATTACTTACAATGAGCGAACCTATAACAACATGAAACACGCAGAAACATTCCCTATAATGGTATACGTTATAACCATAATAATTTCTGTTAAAAATATAAACTGTAGGTATGCCAAGAGAACCTAATAGAACCAAGAAAGTAAAATAGGAAATAATAAAATCCTGATATCTTAATAAACTAGAAACCATTTGACGTGAGCATCTTATATTTTGACTGACGTTCTCTATAATTGTTTTGATCAAAGAAGCATTTACATTGTATAAAATGGAAAATATTGGCGATGTAAATAATAAAAGACTGCTGATGTAGCGTATATTCTTTCCAAACATGTTCCAAAATTCAGGAATGCCACAAAAATCGGAAAATTCATCAAATTTGATAAAGTAAACTGATATATCTTCCGGCAAGACAAATAAAATTAAGAACATTAAGAAAAAGTAAATATGAAAGAATAAGATTTTAATCCACAAGAAATCATTTCTTGTATTTAAAAATATTCCAAAAATCTGTAAAATATCAATGTAAGGCTGAAGTACATTGAAAAGAGAATGCTCCATATCTGTTCTTTCGGTATCTAATATGAGATTCATCTATCGTTGGTTATAAAACTCTAAGTTTCTGCTCTTCCGCTTTATATTACTTGATATACTTAAACGAATTCACTTAATACGAAAAATCAATTATTTATGTCAGTCCTACATATTAATAAGATTAGCTTGAAGGACAGAGAGGACATTCTTGTTATTTGCATATTAATTATGTTTACCTATTAGCAAATTTCATTCTTAATGGGTTTAACTTTAGTAATAAAATTCTTACATTTCCGTATAATTTTTGAGAGAGTATAATTTGACATTAAAAATTTGAAATGTTTTATCGATTTTTCGTATTGATATTCAATGTTAAATTTCGTCCAGTCTTTATTACTTCCACTTCTTAGGCCATATAGTCGAAATGGAAACAACATAAGTATTATGAAAGTATTAAAGCATAATAAAGTTTGTGTATCTGATGATTACAATTGCAGATTTTCTCGTACAAAAATGAAGGATTCGTCTGTAAAGGAAATTTTGGATGTTCGTATATCAGGGATATATTGCGATGTTCGAACACTTGTAATGTTCCTATGTAATACATTTGTAGAATTAATTGTAATGTTTTATTGGGCTGCAATTTGAAAATATTGTACTTATAAACTCCCACTGTCGTCCTTCTGTCTGTCTTTCCTTAATCTCGAGAACGGAGTTAGACAGATGAAAGGAGAGACCAGATATGGAAACGATAGACGCTGGAGAGACAGATTAACTGTATACAACTTCCGACACAATGATTAATTTCAGCCCAGATTTTACTCCTTTTTTTCAACAAAACTCTAAAACCCATGGCAGCAGTCATCTTATAAAAATTTACTAAATTCGCACAATTCAGGTTGGTCCCAAAACAGTACTTTTCGTCCTCAATAATAGATATCTCCAAAAGACAAAAATTTCATTTAGACCTTGTCAACCGCTATGCCATAACCCTCCGAAATTTGTGTTTATCGTAAGATTTATTTCCCAATCATGTCCAAACTTACCCGTTCAACACACTCACTTCTGCTAATTTGCTCGAAACTATCCGTAATCCTCGACATGTTCGAAGTGCCCACTAAGTTATCTACAAAGACATTAGCCAGGCCTTTGACTCCATCTTCCTAATTATTATTCTCTTCATATTCCATGATAATTTCGACATCGACCCCCTATATCATTCCCGGCTCAACTACTACGTACAGTACATATAAAAAGTGAAATTTAGGGATGACATTATGCAACACTTGGTAATAAGTCTAACATTGAGTTTAAAACTACTTATTGTCTATTTACTGTTTTATAATTTACTGTTAACAGATATTTATAACTAACTATTTTGTTATAAATGTCCTTCTTTTCTGTACAAGAAAGTTGGTCACCTATTTACAATAATTTAAATTGATAACATATATGTTGTGTAATGTAAAAAGGAACAAAGTGATTAAAAATATATATTTTTTAAAATTAGTTTTAATAATCAAATGAAAGTTCATCATTTCAAATAAATTTTCATTTACAATTGCTATGTATTTTTCTATGAGTTCTTAAAGAACTGTTATGTCGAAATGCTTTTCCACAAATAGGACACGAATATGGTCTCTCACCGGTATGTATTCTTCGATGTTCCAACAAACTACCATACTGAGTGAATTTTTTTCCACAAAAGTCACAGAGGAAAGGTTTCTCACCAGTATGAATACGCTGATGTTGGTGTAAAGAAGAGCTTTCAGTAAATCTTTTATTACAAACAGGACATTCGTGTGGTTTTTCTCCGGTGTGTGTCTTTCGATGGCGATGAAAATTTCCACTCAGAGCAAAACATCTACCACATAAATCGCAAGAATATGGCAGTTCACCGGTATGAATTCTTTGATGACCAAGTAATGTACCTCTTGTTCTAAATTTCTTACCGCAGTCATCACATGCATATGGTTTCTCCCCCGTGTGAATCCTTTTGTGGTTTCGTAAACTTGTGCTTGCAGGAAACTTCATGCCACATATTTCGCACAAGAATGGCTTTTCTCCTGTATGTGTTCTATGATGAGCCTTCAATAAATCATTTCTGGTAAATCTTTTATCACAAGAGTCACAGCAAAATCTCAATTCCTTTATTGGAATATAACGAGGACTATTGGAAACCATGGTTCTTTTGGTTACTACTTTTGTAGTATTAGTGGATGAATTATTATTTGTCTGTAGAGCTGGATTAGTATTTGTAGATGAATTATCATTAGTATCTATAGTTGTGTTAATATTTATAGATGAATTACTTTTTAGGGCTGCATTTTGAGTTGTAAGAACTCCTGTGATAGGGTCAAGTTGTGAACAATGTGTTTCAAAATCTTCCATCAAAGTATTATTAGAATTAAAATTTTTAGTTATTGAAGTTGGAGGAGCAAAACTTTCCACTGAATTAGATATACTGACATTTATATTTTGAGAAGTGTCTAATTGAGAATTAATATTAACAGATACTAAATTTGCTTCAACTGTGGTGTTTGCAGTAGAATTTATATTTAAAGTTATTGAAGAACTAAAATCATTAACAATTGTATCAGAAGTAGATTTAACAATATCTGAATCTGTTTCTAACACATTAGTTATTGCTGGAGAATTTTCTGTAACATAATCCATTATATTAGTTGAAGTATGCATTTCTGTATCGGCTACAGGACTTGATATTTCAATTTCACCTGCAAGTACAGTAGGAACTTCATTTTCTGTAGGCATTACTGTAGTAGGAACTTCAATTTCAGTTGCTATGGCTGTACTAAAGTCATTAACTTCTGATGTTATGATTGTTGTGGCGTCACTAATGAAAATATAATTATCATTACAGTTTGATGTTGAATGACTATAGTTGTGATCAGTTATTGCATCATTCTCTATTCTAAAGTAATCATCATTCGTCATAACTTCACAATCCATTTTCTTTGATAATACTGTATTTGCCTGAAAACAAAAAAATATGAATTAATTATCACAACCAATCAAGACCAACAATGTCTCAACAGTGATAAAATCTACTCATCTTAAAACTGAATTTACACAATTTTATATATTCATAATAAAATAGAGACTGGATTATAAGCATAATTTAGAATATCTGCATCTAACTTTTACATAATTTCTTTTAAAGGGGATAATGTTTTCTACAAAGGACTTTCCAATGTCTCCATTAGGCCTTAGATATAGCCAAGATAGATGTACTGTACATTATGTTATAACCCTTTCTTGAAAAGTACAAAAGCACATTATATCATCATCAAACATATGAACAATATTTTTACAATATAGTGTCATATTAAAAAATTTATTTCTGAAATTGATAACAACACTGTAGGAATTAAAGTATACCTGTATATTTCTCTCCTCAAGTTTCTAGAGCATGTTTTTGACTTCTACCTCATGGGGATATGTCTTGACATCCATTAAGTTACTAATAGTTGTTAGTGCAGGTCAGCAATTTTTAGATTATCATTGACAACATGACCAGTTCAGGTATATTGTGCAGTGGTTGGCTGCCATAAAAGCTAAGAGTTCTTTATAAGTGGTTTGAGGCTGTTTGCAATGCACATGAAAACATCATACATTGAGATTGTAACTGGAATAGTTGAATACATGGACATTTGTTTCCATGTGATGAAATTTAAGAAGAGAATAAGTGACTAACTTTGCATTAAACATTAAGTCTAATGCAAAGTTGGTTATTATAATATATTCTGTGAATATTTTGGACTACTTTATGAATTAAACAATGATGTAAATATTTCCTGAGAGACAATAACTGAGGAATATTAGTAAAATTATATAAGCCAATTTTACCAATTATTTTCCAGGAAACAAAAGAGAGGATTTAAATTTTCTTCATTTTACTTAAAATTTTTATTAGTTTTACAAGATATTTTCCCACAAAGCACGTATCAGAATTTTTTCTTTGATTTAGAAAAGATTTTTTTGTGTAAAGAAACTTGTGTAAAAATGATTTAATATAAAAACCCTTACGCATTACTAATGAAGTGATCATTATAAAGAAATTTCTATTAGTCATTTTAAAATTAATTGCATTGTCAATTCTATAGTTCCATAGTATGTTAATGGCTGTATGACAGTGGTGGTTCGTGTATTTTCCCATACTGTGTGACAGTATGGGAAAATACATGAACCTTCTGTACAAACCTATGGATGATAAGAGCTGGGCAAACATCAAAAAGAAGAATTTCAAATGTAGGTACAAAGAATCTATATTGTTTACTTGTTACTTGAATACTTGTTGTTTTTTTTAGTTGTTATCTGAAATACTTTTTTTGTTTTTGAAAAGTTTGAGTGTTTTAAACATTCATTATGAAGTTTCCAAATTAAGTTCTAAAATATAATTGTTACTTTGGTTTCAGAAAGTAAGGATGACTGTTTAAAGTTTATTTCTTTTCAGTTGTGTTTTAATTATTTTTTAATTCATGTTTAAATAAAGAAAAATTGCAAAATTGAAAAATTGATCAACTGTTTATAACAAAAAAAAACCAATCTACTATTTATTAACTAAAAAGTATTATCAGTAAGATTAGGCATTTTTGTTGCTGCACCAATTTTGTATGTATTTGAATTGAACATAAAAAATGTCATTAGTTAAGTTATAGGTCCCCTAAATAATTCCAAAATTTGCACCAAAATGCACAAATTTATACCCCAGCACCATTTTACTGGTGATTCAGTTTCAGTATTACTTTGTCAACTAATAAAGCAATAACAGCACATATATCTTAAATCTTGGATGAGGATTCAAACAGAAGCCACAAATTGCAACTATGTTGTTGCGAGATTAGGCAAAAAGTAACAGATTGGATTGGGCTAATAAATAAAGACTTTTCTGCTAAATTTTTATGTTGGATTATCTGCAAATTTTAGACCTATTAAAAATACTTTTTAAAAGGCTACAAGTATTATAAATTTGTTGTTTTTATAAATTTTCTTTTTAAAATTTTGTGCAGCTTTTGTAGCATGTGACATGGTAAAAACTGCACAAGCAGGTCATTCTCCTGAAGCTAAAAAATGGAGCTCAGCAATTCATCTTTAAAAAAATAAGTGAAGTAAAAAACCTTAGCCAGCAAGTTGAAGTTTTGTTCAATTGTTAAAGAATTTGAAAATCATGGCATCGCCATTGATGGTGTAATATTTAGGTGTAATTTTTGCAAAAAAAACAATTAAGGTTAATGAAAAGCTTCAATCATCAAGAATAAGGACACTTGCAGAATCTAAAATACAAAACAAATGAAATTTACAATAAAAACAGTGCAGCTATGTCAAAGTGTTTCTTGCTCAGTCATTTGATAGTAGTAGTGAAAAACAAATCCTAGAATATAGTTTAACCAGGACCTAACATCAGCTCTTTTGGAGCCTAATATGCCCATTAACAAAGTAAACCATCCTGCATCAAAGACATTTTAAAAAATGCACTTTGCATAATGTTTTTGAATGAAAGCACATTGTGACAGATTTATGTACGACCAAAGTACAAAGAAACAGATAAAAAAAATACTGGATGTAGTGTCAGACCATCCCAATCATGTTCATTTTAGACGAGACTATGGACTCTGCTAAACATTACTGTACATACTTAACATATTGTCTGGAGAAAACCAATACCACAAATGTGATGCAAAGTTTTAATGATGAATGATCAAAACTTTGGCTTTCAGGAATTGAATATAGCAAAGTCTGGTTGGTGCTTACAGATCAAGTTCCATATATGGTTTCTGCCTTTAAGAAACTGAAACCCCTGTACCTAAATCTCAAACATGATACCTGCCTCATCCATACTCTACAGTGTGTGCAAATGCAACCATCTCAAATACACCAAAGCAAATATTTTCATTTTAGAAATGAAGAGTTCTTCTAAAAGCACTGCACACATTCAGCTGTATCATGAAATTATAGGCCTTACATTGCCTACTGAACCTATTATAATCAGATGAAGGTATATGGATTCAGACAGTAATGTTTTACTGTGAGCATTTCAACAAAATTAAAGACTTTATTTTCGAACTCTATGATGATGATACAGATGCTGTGATTAAAGTGAAAGAGATCATATCAGATAAGGATCTGGAGAAAGAGTATTTGTCATGCAATCCTACAAAATGCTCATAGTGTACATAACAATGCTGAAAAAGAAAAATGTACCAATGGAAAAACACAGAAAAATATTTTGTGAGTCTAAAGAATTGCCAGATAGCTTTGCAAACGAAAAGTTGGAAATCAGGATAGAAGAAAGTCCAGATCTCCTCAGCATAGTTTCAGTAGATGCTGGCCTGAAGTTCTGAGCAAGAGCCAGGTTTACCCCATTGGTTTCAACTAACTGTATATGCTCTTTTTCAATGTACAGTACAAAGATATTTTGACTTGTAGAAGAAGAAAAACATTAACATTTTTCAAAAATAAAATAATTAAATGTTATAAAATATAATTCATTTTTGAGTGTAATTACGAAAGCTCAAAGAATGAAGATAAGTAGTTCGGTTACAGTGTAAATTCATTTTCTGGAAATATTTTTAGTAAATAATAAACGAACCAAGTAAAAATTTGTGTACTTTTTAATGTAAAATATTTGAGAAAATTAGTTGCTTATGAAACTATCATAATAATTATGAATCATACTACTAAATTAATAATGAATGACTTATGAGGCATGAATCATCTTATTTACACAAATTTACTCCGTTTTTAAAATTTACTGTACCATTTTGCCTTGCTTTTTCATCCTCAAATGTCTAACACTAATTATGAGACTTTATTACAGTATTTAACTTTTACTAGAACTTAAATGATTAAATGCATTCTAAGAGTAGAGATAAATTGCTTCAAAAATGTTATAAGCAAAGTATTCATTTTAAGAAAAGTGTTTTTTAATTAATTATATTATTATTAATACTTATAGCAAAAAACTACCTTAAAAGATATCTAATAATTTTCATCATACTCAATATAACTAACCATCAACACAGCATGTTTTAAAATCAATAATCTTGAAAAAAAAAAATTAGATTTTAGTAGTTCTTAAACATTGTTAATTGTTGTAAATTATAGGTGAAATTAATTCTGATGTTTGGTTTAATAGTTGAAATACTTTACAAATTTATTAATATTGCTGTTTATGATCATAATTAATTTCTACATATATACCTTAAATCAGAACACATATTATGTCTCTACTAAAAAGAAATGTATTCATATTTTTTAATTCAATCCAAAAAGTTAAAACAATGAACCATTATTATGGATATTTTGTTTATTAATATCTTTATATTAGAGTATAAAGAGTATAACTAATTGACACTGGAATATTGAGAGCTTGTATGGGACCTGGAGTAAAGTGAGCCACTTTTGCCTTTTCTTTTTTGAAAAAATAAAACATATAGAATGTTTCTTTATTAATAAAAAAAACAGTCTTAAAGATTCTATTTTCTGTTAATAAAAAATATCCAGCAATGAGTTGTTTAACTTTCCCAGCAACATTTCATGGTACCATCTGTAATCATATTTTATTATTATAAAATGACAAAAAGCTTAATTTTGAGGGTAGGGATGGGTTTTATAAAAAATTGTAAATGCTGATAAGAAATAAAATCATTATTAAGTATAACCCTACTGGAGATACACACAACCCCCTTGACCTTTAATCAAAATTTAATAACATCAATCTCTCTAATAAACAAACCTCCCTGCAAAATTCCAGAAATTTTCAACAATAAGCACAGGAGTTATTAAGCTTCAAACAGGGTGAACAAAATAGTTCCCCCACACACACACTAACATCTATACATATAGAAAGTACCCCCAAAATTTTTTGCATTTCTCGATGTTTCCAGTTTCTGAGTCCAAAAATGCAAAAATCTTGGGGAGTCATTTTATGACCGATTGCCATACATCCTTCTGTTATATATAACAGCCAAGAAAGTAATAATGTTAATTTTATAGTATTCGGAATCAATATAGATTCCAAAGATTTTTCTGCATCCAGGGAAAAATTCCAGTTTCCATGTTTGGACCACTCTGATGAGAGTTAGAAATACCAAAAGTAGTACATTCAAGATTTCACTTATAAGTGCAATTACATTTAAGTCTTAAGAAAGAGGAGCCATATTATATATATATATATATATCTACATACATAAACTTTTTATTAGGTTGCAATTTGAAAACATTCTAGACCTATAAATTCCCACTGTCGTTCATCCATCTGTCTTTCCTCAATCTTGAGAATAAAGTTAGAGAGATGAAAGACAAGATCAGATATAGAAACCTTAGTGACAGGAGGACCGATTAACTATATAAGAACTTCTGATGCAAACCAGAAGTCATGCTATTTCAATTCAAAACTTCCCCCAAAAGCAGTTAGTGACCAACAAGACTATTGTTAATTAATTAATTAAAGGAAAAGTATGATGTACAAGGGCAAGACACTAAAGTACTAATTTGAGGTGAAGAGCATATATTTTAAATTAAATGAATTAAAAATATGATTAAAAATTGCAGCCTGGCATTGTGACATGTCACAAATGCTCATTATAATATGTTTATTTATCCAAATAAAATCATGGATATTTAGTACATTACAAGTGGAAGGAAAAAGAAAAAAAAAGAGATTAGTACAGTTATTATTAAATTTACAATAAATAAAATTATATTCTCAATTTTTAATAAGCAATAATAAAAAGAAAACAATTCTGGTATAATCAATTTTATAAATAGGAATATCATACACCAACCTTTTCACTTTACAGCACTTACTTTCAAAACATCTCATCCAAACTTTTCAAAACTGAGATAATTCTTTTGGATTCATAAATGGTTTTTCCTTTTATTTCTGCTTTTCTTGTTTCAAAATGTATAAACCATGAAAAATTTCTTTCAAATATGAGTTTGCAATCATAGATATAATCCAGAGGACAAAAATGGAACACCCAAATAAATATATTAAAAATTACATACAATAGATAGTTATTACAGTACCATTTATTTTTTTGTGATAATTTGCAACCTTTTTGAATAACTACTATAACAACTTTTGTTTTTGATACATTTATCTCTAGTTATAATCATTATAATCCCTCAATAATTTGTTAAAGTATTTATTTTCTTCTTCAAGGAAACTGCAGCATCAACTAAAATAACTACATCATCTGAATATATCAACACGAGTTTCCTTATTCTCAGAACTTTGTAAGTTAGACAAACCAGACTTATTCAATCAATTTATAAGCTCATTAACATATAACAAAAAGAAAATAGGACTTAATACTTCAATTTTCAGCATTCCACTTTCTATGTAAAACATTTCTGTACTACTTTTCACAGTTTTTATTCTGGTAGAAATCTTCTTATAAACATCTACTAATAATCTCAACAAAATTTTTCTCTCAGATAATCAAGTGTCTACTGTATTCATTAATGAATAATTATCAATTAAATTGTACTATCATATTACATAAACTAAATTTATTTCAGAACTTTTTTTAAAACCTGAATTAAAGTTTCAACAATTTAAACCCAAAAATACATAAGTTGAAATATAAAAGAATGCAAATGCAGTATTTCACTTACCTGATTTACAATCTATTAATTTAAAATTTCATACTTCTGTTTTCTTATATATTATTGATATATGTACAGCTTTCACTTTTTTAATTAAACTGGAAAAAAATGAGAAGAATATATCAATTTGTAATTTAGCTTTAATTTTATATATATAATTAATGTACACATTTTATTTATTATACAGTAGGATTCAAAGGTCTCCTTTATAGGCAAAGACTTTGCCTTATTACAGTTATATAAAAGCCATTTAATCAAATGCATAAATGAATGCTTTCTTCCCAATCTTGACAAATAGGAATACAGGTTAACATGTCTAAATGTTGTGTCCTGACTTATAATCAAAAGATAGATACTTGTAATACATGTGCCATGTATCAATACTTTTGATCACTTCTTAATTATAAACTTATTATTTAATATAATCATTTAATTATTATTGAAGAATTCCAAACAAAAACATTGAAGAAATGACAAATATTTCATTTCACTTATCGATAAAAAATATTCATTGACCATTGTCAATGCAGAGTTAATGTTAAAAGAACGTTTACTTGGCTCTCCAATTTTAGGTGCATGAGCAAAGATTATGAGCATTCTCCTCTCATTTCAAAAACTAATATTTCCTTTAATATGATTACCATTATGCTTGCTTAAAGTAATAAATATATTAGTAGACATGAAACACAAATTTTATACTGTTTTGTGTTTTTATTTGTTTCTTAAAAAACTAAAAAAAAAAAAAAAAAACAAAACATAATAGAAAATTTAAAACATTTATAAATTTATAATTTATATTAAACACCTCTTATTTTAATTCCTTAATGAATTTGTAAGAAAAATAATGAATAAAAGTTTATGTTTTACAAAGTCAAATTAGAAAATTAAAGATAAATGTTTTTGAAACTTTCTTTGTTGTGCAATTAAATCAGAGCATAAACCTTTATAATAATATAAATATACAAATAATCAAGTTGATGTAATATATTTAGACCTATCAAAGTTTTTGATACAGTTCCTTATAGTCAATTAGTACAGAAATTGAGATATCTTGAACTACATGATTATACAGTTGCATGGTTTTCATCATATTTAAAGGATCAAATTGTAATTACACAAGTAAAATGGGAGAATTATCTTTTGAAAATATTTCAGCTTTGTAGAGGAATTATGCAAGATTCTCAGTTAGGACCACTTTTGTTTATTATATATGTATATAAATTATCTTTTCCAGGCTGTTAGGCAGGTATCTGTCTCAGCATGTGCAGATGACTTAAAGTTATATAAAGAAATTACAATGATGCAGGATGTAAAAGTTTTGCAGAGGGCTCTTGAAAGTGTAAATGACTAGCTGAAATTGTTTCAGTGTGAATTATAAGAAGTGTAATGCAATAGAAAGGTTGCGGCCAATGTTTTCATCAAGAAAAACATGAACATCAGATGTTCAGTGCCGCCTTCCTGTAAGCCTAGAAGTTTGAAACGTCAGTGGAATCATGCTCGATGTTCCAAATGCCATTGTCAAACTTCTAGGCTTACAGGAAGGCAGTCCGAATGTCCGATGTTCATGCTTTCATGATGAAAACATCAGCCACAACATCTGTATTGACACTGCCAAGTTATATTTTCAGATTTTTTGCAGTTTACTACATACAGGGATATAAGGTATCCAAAGTTGAGAATATTAGAGATCTAGGGATGTATTATGATACTAGATTTTCTTTTACAATGCATGTGGAAAAGATAACTACAACTGCTATTAGAACTTTAGGAATGAGTTTTAGATTTTTTAGACAGTGTCTGGAAATAAATGTATTAAAATCTTTGCATTCAGCTCTTGTTTGTTCAAAGATTTTATTTACAGTAGTGATCTGGAATACACAACTGATGACAATTGAACATAGAGTAGAAACAGTTAATAACCATATTACCAAGATATTATAGAAGAAAATTTCTATTAAATCAAGAAGAGGCTAAAATGTATTTTCCTCCTATAATGACACTTTGTTGTATCCAATGTATGCAGTTTTTAAGGTCTCTGTTACAATCTGAAATTGAAGGTCCTGCTTTGTTAAAACAATTACATCTGCAAATGCCTATCTACTAGAAACTATTGTAGATTTAAAATTCTTTTGAATAAATCTGATACTGCTCAAAATATATCTGTTCATAAACTTGCAATACTTGATAATCACTTTAAAAGGCAAGTAAATTTGTTCAGTTCTAAGTGACAGTTTGGGCAGTCACTGATCAAGATATTTAACATTGAACGTTAAAATTAATGTGCAAATTGTTCTTACATGTTCAGTATGTTTTACATTTTTCAATTTTTACATATTTTTTATGTTAAACAGACCCATAATTGGGATTCCTGTAGGTCGATTTCATAAATAAATAAATCTTTATGTTATAGGGGATGCATATGATTTTCCAAGGAAACATAGGGAATATATATTATGTATTTCCTGTATTTCATGGAATTTTTTTCTATTGATCAAGAAGTTTTGATAAATATGTGTTAGAAAAATTTTAAGTTATTAAATAGTTTGGAATATAATATAGTTTGTTTATTCTTTGTCCAAAAAAAAAAAATTAATAAAATAATTTGAATTACAGTAATTTCTAACAGCTTTTATATTTGTGTAATATTTATCTCAACAAGTCAAACTGTGAAAAGTTGTTTTTAAGTAATAGAATTTATTTTTATTAAATTTTTATATAGTAAAAAATGTCAAACATAATTTGGATGAGAAAATTATACTTATCATGCTTTCATTCCTATAGAAACCACCACTTGGTGTCCGTATGCAGCTTCAACTATAAGTAGATTGAGTAACAACACCAAACGATCGCCTAATTTATCGGGCTATAATATGGCTATTTTAAATGATTGGAACTAAGTAATTTGACATTAGAGGTAGGCGTTAGGCGCCATCTCTTAATTAAATTAATAATTAAATAAATAATAATTAAATAAATAAATTTAGAACATTCTGGAATAAAAGAACTGGCCCGGGGCGGGGCTTGAACCCGCAACCTGTGCTATGAGTTGATGTTTTTATATAGTAGACTGAGTGATGTTGGAATGTGCTAGAGCAGGGGGTCTCAAACTAAATGCAGCAAAGGGCCAGTCAAATACATGTATATCAAACATGGGCCATATTCAATATTACTCAGTAAACAAGAACATACTGTAATTAAACAAAAGGTTTTAACAAAGGCCCTTTTGTTGCCAGGCCATTACAACTTACGTAAACAGTTACATGTTTGAATTTTTTCTGTTTTAATCCCTGCAAGATGTTAGAAACATTGATTTTTAGAAAAGAAATCATTGTGGGCCAGATATAAAGCTTTAATGGGCTGTATTTGGCCTGCGGGCTGCCAGTTTGCAATCCTTGTGCTAGTGTAACAAGAGTCATCGCATGCAGTATCAGCATTCCTTCCTTTCATATTTTTCTTGGAAAAACTACATAAACAGCAAATGATTAGAATGCTAGGATGTTCAAAAGCATTTTCAGGAAAGGTACTGAAGTGCCTACAAAAATTCAAACACACATACATGTACAGTATGCATTAAAATATCACTGGATGACTCAGATGACCTGCACACCCAATCCTGGGCTAATGACATGGACAGGTGCACCAAAATCATTCATAAATTACTTGAAATGTTCAATAACAAATCACAAGGAGCATGATGAGGATTAAAGGCATACAAACTTCATAAATTTGTCTAAGAATACTAACAGTTCCTTATTATATTGTGAACTAACAATAAATGGACCATGCAAGTCTAAATTTCTTATAATATTTGAAAAAAAGATCAATTTAATATTCACAAAATTTTTATTATTTATTTTATGGATGGATTATAATTATGGAAAGATTGTCTAGAATTTTGCCTAAAATGCTCTGTATATTTTAATAAATGGTCCCTTTTTAANTATAGGCCTTACATTGCCTACTGAACCTATTATAATCAGATGAAGGTATATGGATTCAGACAGTAATGTTTTACTGTGAGCATTTCAACAAAATTAAAGACTTTATTTTCGAACTCTATGATGATGATACAGATGCTGTGATTAAAGTGAAAGAGATCATATCAGATAAGGATCTGGAGAAAGAGTATTTGTCATGCAATCCTACAAAATGCTCATAGTGTACATAACAATGCTGAAAAAGAAAAATGTACCAATGGAAAAACACAGAAAAATATTTTGTGAGTCTAAAGAATTGCCAGATAGCTTTGCAAACGAAAAGTTGGAAATCAGGATAGAAGAAAGTCCAGATCTCCTCAGCATAGTTTCAGTAGATGCTGGCCTGAAGTTCTGAGCAAGAGCCAGGTTTACCCCATTGGTTTCAACTAACTGTATATGCTCTTTTTCAATGTACAGTACAAAGATATTTTGACTTGTAGAAGAAGAAAAACATTAACATTTTTCAAAAATAAAATAATTAAATGTTATAAAATATAATTCATTTTTGAGTGTAATTACGAAAGCTCAAAGAATGAAGATAAGTAGTTCGGTTACAGTGTAAATTCATTTTCTGGAAATATTTTTAGTAAATAATAAACGAACCAAGTAAAAATTTGTGTACTTTTTAATGTAAAATATTTGAGAAAATTAGTTGCTTATGAAACTATCATAATAATTATGAATCATACTACTAAATTAATAATGAATGACTTATGAGGCATGAATCATCTTATTTACACAAATTTACTCCGTTTTTAAAATTTACTGTACCATTTTGCCTTGCTTTTTCATCCTCAAATGTCTAACACTAATTATGAGACTTTATTACAGTATTTAACTTTTACTAGAACTTAAATGATTAAATGCATTCTAAGAGTAGAGATAAATTGCTTCAAAAATGTTATAAGCAAAGTATTCATTTTAAGAAAAGTGTTTTTTAATTAATTATATTATTATTAATACTTACAGCAAAAAACTACCTTAAAAGATATCTAATAATTTTCATCATACTCAATATAACTAACCATCAACACAGCATGTTTTAAAATCAATAATCTTGAAAAAAAAAAATTAGATTTTAGTAGTTCTTAAACATTGTTAATTGTTGTAAATTATAGGTGAAATTAATTCTGATGTTTGGTTTAATAGTTGAAATACTTTACAAATTTATTAATATTGCTGTTTATGATCATAATTAATTTCTACATATATACCTTAAATCAGAACACATATTATGTCTCTACTAAAAAGAAATGTATTCATATTTTTTAATTCAATCCAAAAAGTTAAAACAATGAACCATTATTATGGATATTTTGTTTATTAATATCTTTATATTAGAGTATAAAGAGTATAACTAATTGACACTGGAATATTGAGAGCTTGTATGGGACCTGGAGTAAAGTGAGCCACTTTTGCCTTTTCTTTTTTGAAAAAATAAAACATATAGAATGTTTCTTTATTAATAAAAAAAACAGTCTTAAAGATTCTATTTTCTGTTAATAAAAAATATCCAGCAATGAGTTGTTTAACTTTCCCAGCAACATTTCATGGTACCATCTGTAATCATATTTTATTATTATAAAATGACAAAAAGCTTAATTTTGAGGGTAGGGATGGGTTTTATAAAAAATTGTAAATGCTGATAAGAAATAAAATCATTATTAAGTATAACCCTACTGGAGATACACACAACCCCCTTGACCTTTAATCAAAATTTAATAACATCAATCTCTCTAATAAACAAACCTCCCTGCAAAATTCCAGAAATTTTCAACAATAAGCACAGGAGTTATTAAGCTTCAAACAGGGTGAACAAAATAGTTCCCCCACACACACACTAACATCTATACATATAGAAAGTACCCCCAAAATTTTTTGCATTTCTCGATGTTTCCAGTTTCTGAGTCCAAAAATGCAAAAATCTTGGGGAGTCATTTTATGACCGATTGCCATACATCCTTCTGTTATATATAACAGCCAAGAAAGTAATAATGTTAATTTTATAGTATTCGGAATCAATATAGATTCCAAAGATTTTTCTGCATCCAGGGAAAAATTCCAGTTTCCATGTTTGGACCACTCTGATGAGAGTTAGAAATACCAAAAGTAGTACATTCAAGATTTCACTTATAAGTGCAATTACATTTAAGTCTTAAGAAAGAGGAGCCATATTATATATATATATATATATCTACATACATAAACTTTTTATTAGGTTGCAATTTGAAAACATTCTAGACCTATAAATTCCCACTGTCGTTCATCCATCTGTCTTTCCTCAATCTTGAGAATAAAGTTAGAGAGATGAAAGACAAGATCAGATATAGAAACCTTAGTGACAGGAGGACCGATTAACTATATAAGAACTTCTGATGCAAACCAGAAGTCATGCTATTTCAATTCAAAACTTCCCCCAAAAGCAGTTAGTGACCAACAAGACTATTGTTAATTAATTAATTAAAGGAAAAGTATGATGTACAAGGGCAAGACACTAAAGTACTAATTTGAGGTGAAGAGCATATATTTTAAATTAAATGAATTAAAAATATGATTAAAAATTGCAGCCTGGCATTGTGACATGTCACAAATGCTCATTATAATATGTTTATTTATCCAAATAAAATCATGGATATTTAGTACATTACAAGTGGAAGGAAAAAGAAAAAAAAAGAGATTAGTACAGTTATTATTAAATTTACAATAAATAAAATTATATTCTCAATTTTTAATAAGCAATAATAAAAAGAAAACAATTCTGGTATAATCAATTTTATAAATAGGAATATCATACACCAACCTTTTCACTTTACAGCACTTACTTTCAAAACATCTCATCCAAACTTTTCAAAACTGAGATAATTCTTTTGGATTCATAAATGGTTTTTCCTTTTATTTCTGCTTTTCTTGTTTCAAAATGTATAAACCATGAAAAATTTCTTTCAAATATGAGTTTGCAATCATAGATATAATCCAGAGGACAAAAATGGAACACCCAAATAAATATATTAAAAATTACATACAATAGATAGTTATTACAGTACCATTTATTTTTTTGTGATAATTTGCAACCTTTTTGAATAACTACTATAACAACTTTTGTTTTTGATACATTTATCTCTAGTTATAATCATTATAATCCCTCAATAATTTGTTAAAGTATTTATTTTCTTCTTCAAGGAAACTGCAGCATCAACTAAAATAACTACATCATCTGAATATATCAACACGAGTTTCCTTATTCTCAGAACTTTGTAAGTTAGACAAACCAGACTTATTCAATCAATTTATAAGCTCATTAACATATAACAAAAAGAAAATAGGACTTAATACTTCAATTTTCAGCATTCCACTATGTAAAACATTTCTGTACTACTTTTCACAGTTTTTATTCTGGTAGAAATCTTCTTATAAACATCTACTAATAATCTCAACAAAATTTTTCTCTCAGATAATCAAGTGTCTACTGTATTCATTAATGAATAATTATCAATTAAATTGTACTATCATATTACATAAACTAAATTTATTTCAGAACTTTTTTTAAAACCTGAATTAAAGTTTCAACAATTTAAACCCAAAAATACATAAGTTGAAATATAAAAGAATGCAAATGCAGTATTTCACTTACCTGATTTACAATCTATTAATTTAAAATTTCATACTTCTGTTTTCTTATATATTATTGATATATGTACAGCTTTCACTTTTTTAATTAAACTGGAAAAAAATGAGAAGAATATATCAATTTGTAATTTAGCTTTAATTTTATATATATAATTAATGTACACATTTTATTTATTATACAGTAGGATTCAAAGGTCTCCTTTATAGGCAAAGACTTTGCCTTATTACAGTTATATAAAAGCCATTTAATCAAATGCATAAATGAATGCTTTCTTCCCAATCTTGACAAATAGGAATACAGGTTAACATGTCTAAATGTTGTGTCCTGACTTATAATCAAAAGATAGATACTTGTAATACATGTGCCATGTATCAATACTTTTGATCACTTCTTAATTATAAACTTATTATTTAATATAATCATTTAATTATTATTGAAGAATTCCAAACAAAAACATTGAAGAAATGACAAATATTTCATTTCACTTATCGATAAAAAATATTCATTGACCATTGTCAATGCAGAGTTAATGTTAAAAGAACGTTTACTTGGCTCTCCAATTTTAGGTGCATGAGCAAAGATTATGAGCATTCTCCTCTCATTTCAAAAACTAATATTTCCTTTAATATGATTACCATTATGCTTGCTTAAAGTAATAAATATATTAGTAGACATGAAACACAAATTTTATACTGTTTTGTGTTTTTATTTGTTTCTTAAAAAACTAAAAAAAAAAAAAAAAAAAACAAAACATAATAGAAAATTTAAAACATTTATAAATTTATAATTTATATTAAACACCTCTTATTTTAATTCCTTAATGAATTTGTAAGAAAAATAATGAATAAAAGTTTATGTTTTACAAAGTCAAATTAGAAAATTAAAGATAAATGTTTTTGAAACTTTCTTTGTTGTGCAATTAAATCAGAGCATAAACCTTTATAATAATATAAATATACAAATAATCAAGTTGATGTAATATATTTAGACCTATCAAAGTTTTTGATACAGTTCCTTATAGTCAATTAGTACAGAAATTGAGATATCTTGAACTACATGATTATACAGTTGCATGGTTTTCATCATATTTAAAGGATCAAATTGTAATTACACAAGTAAAATGGGAGAATTATCTTTTGAAAATATTTCAGCTTTGTAGAGGAATTATGCAAGATTCTCAGTTAGGACCACTTTTGTTTATTATATATGTATATAAATTATCTTTTCCAGGCTGTTAGGCAGGTATCTGTCTCAGCATGTGCAGATGACTTAAAGTTATATAAAGAAATTACAATGATGCAGGATGTAAAAGTTTTGCAGAGGGCTCTTGAAAGTGTAAATGACTAGCTGAAATTGTTTCAGTGTGAATTATAAGAAGTGTAATGCAATAGAAAGGTTGCGGCCAATGTTTTCATCAAGAAAAACATGAACATCAGATGTTCAGTGCCGCCTTCCTGTAAGCCTAGAAGTTTGAAACGTCAGTGGAATCATGCTCGATGTTCCAAATGCCATTGTCAAACTTCTAGGCTTACAGGAAGGCAGTCCGAATGTCCGATGTTCATGCTTTCATGATGAAAACATCAGCCACAACATCTGTATTGACACTGCCAAGTTATATTTTCAGATTTTTTGCAGTTTACTACATACAGGGATATAAGGTATCCAAAGTTGAGAATATTAGAGATCTAGGGATGTATTATGATACTAGATTTTCTTTTACAATGCATGTGGAAAAGATAACTACAACTGCTATTAGAACTTTAGGAATGAGTTTTAGATTTTTTAGACAGTGTCTGGAAATAAATGTATTAAAATCTTTGCATTCAGCTCTTGTTTGTTCAAAGATTTTATTTACAGTAGTGATCTGGAATACACAACTGATGACAATTGAACATAGAGTAGAAACAGTTAATAACCATATTACCAAGATATTATAGAAGAAAATTTCTATTAAATCAAGAAGAGGCTAAAATGTATTTTCCTCCTATAATGACACTTTGTTGTATCCAATGTATGCAGTTTTTAAGGTCTCTGTTACAATCTGAAATTGAAGGTCCTGCTTTGTTAAAACAATTACATCTGCAAATGCCTATCTACTAGAAACTATTGTAGATTTAAAATTCTTTTGAATAAATCTGATACTGCTCAAAATATATCTGTTCATAAACTTGCAATACTTGATAATCACTTTAAAAGGCAAGTAAATTTGTTCAGTTCTAAGTGACAGTTTGGGCAGTCACTGATCAAGATATTTAACATTGAACGTTAAAATTAATGTGCAAATTGTTCTTACATGTTCAGTATGTTTTACATTTTTCAATTTTTACATATTTTTTATGTTAAACAGACCCATAATTGGGATTCCTGTAGGTCGATTTCATAAATAAATAAATCTTTATGTTATAGGGGATGCATATGATTTTCCAAGGAAACATAGGGAATATATATTATGTATTTCCTGTATTTCATGGAATTTTTTTCTATTGATCAAGAAGTTTTGATAAATATGTGTTAGAAAAATTTTAAGTTATTAAATAGTTTGGAATATAATATAGTTTGTTTATTCTTTGTCCAAAAAAAAAAAATTAATAAAATAATTTGAATTACAGTAATTTCTAACAGCTTTTATATTTGTGTAATATTTATCTCAACAAGTCAAACTGTGAAAAGTTGTTTTTAAGTAATAGAATTTATTTTTATTAAATTTTTATATAGTAAAAAATGTCAAACATAATTTGGATGAGAAAATTATACTTATCATGCTTTCATTCCTATAGAAACCACCACTTGGTGTCCGTATGCAGCTTCAACTATAAGTAGATTGAGTAACAACACCAAACGATCGCCTAATTTATCGGGCTATAATATGGCTATTTTAAATGATTGGAACTAAGTAATTTGACATTAGAGGTAGGCGTTAGGCGCCATCTCTTAATTAAATTAATAATTAAATAAATAATAATTAAATAAATAAATTTAGAACATTCTGGAATAAAAGAACTGGCCCGGGGCGGGGCTTGAACCCGCAACCTGTGCTATGAGTTGATGTTTTTATATAGTAGACTGAGTGATGTTGGAATGTGCTAGAGCAGGGGGTCTCAAACTAAATGCAGCAAAGGGCCAGTCAAATACATGTATATCAAACATGGGCCATATTCAATATTACTCAGTAAACAAGAACATACTGTAATTAAACAAAAGGTTTTAACAAAGGCCCTTTTGTTGCCAGGCCATTACAACTTACGTAAACAGTTACATGTTTGAATTTTTTCTGTTCTAATCCCTGCAAGATGTTAGAAACATTGATTTTTAGAAAAGAAATCATTGTGGGCCAGATATAAAGCTTTAATGGGCTGTATTTGGCCTGCGGGCTGCCAGTTTGCAATCCTTGTGCTAGTGTAACAAGAGTCATCGCATGCAGTATCAGCATTCCTTCCTTTCATATTTTTCTTGGAAAAACTACATAAACAGCAAATGATTAGAATGCTAGGATGTTCAAAAGCATTTTCAGGAAAGGTACTGAAGTGCCTACAAAAATTCAAACACACATACATGTACAGTATGCATTAAAATATCACTGGATGACTCAGATGACCTGCACACCCAATCCTGGGCTAATGACATGGACAGGTGCACCAAAATCATTCATAAATTACTTGAAATGTTCAATAACAAATCACAAGGAGCATGATGAGGATTAAAGGCATACAAACTTCATAAATTTGTCTAAGAATACTAACAGTTCCTTATTATATTGTGAACTAACAATAAATGGACCATGCAAGTCTAAATTTCTTATAATATTTGAAAAAAAGATCAATTTAATATTCACAAAATTTTTATTATTTATTTTATGGATGGATTATAATTATGGAAAGATTGTCTAGAATTTTGCCTAAAATGCTCTGTATATTTTAATAAATGGTCCCTTTTTAAATATCAAATCTTTAGTATGGATTATTGTCTTTAATTAAACCATATTTACGTCTTATTTCATCTGTTTTTGCTTGTCGTTCTTTTTTTTTCTTGTGCCCGAGCTTTTCGTTCTTCACGTTCCTTTTCCCATTTTGCTTGCTATCTTGCCCATTTATCTCTTCCTTGTTTCCGACAACAGCAGTAACAACAAACAATAATTCCAATAATTAAAACCCCACCAATGACACTCATTGTTATTATCAAAGTCTGAAAGTTAACCAAGCACGTTCCCCAGGCAATATCTCCCATTGAGCCACATTCATCATATCTAGGAACAAGGTATTTATATGGATAAACACTACACTTTTTTGTTTTTTGGCAATAATAACACTGCGAACCTCTTGATATGCATTCGCCACATGTAATATTACTTCCATCACAAACTTGCTTGATGCTCTTAATTGTTGTTTCGGGAGTGACTGAAGTTGTTATTACTGAAGATGTTGAACTTTCCGGCATTGTAATAGTATTGAGTGAAGTAGAATTTTTTTTCACTTCAGAATCCGATTGACATAAGGTAATGGTAAATAGAAACACGCTTAGCAAGAAATGCAGTACCCACTCATTCCATGTTTGGCATTGACTCTTAGTTTAATGTTAATCACAGATAGGCAATCACTGTTGGTTAATCTACTTAAACTAGCAACATATTTGAAGTGTGTCATTTGGATTTTGGAGGCTATCACACTGATTTGAAGACTGCCACATCACTTTCCTTTTCACAAAATTGGTCTAAACTAGCTGAAGTATCTGACATGTCTGAATTATTAGCATGGATACCATTGCATTTGCATGTTGCTGCAGGTAAAAATATACCATTTATGTTAATAAATAAAGTTATTTACTTTGAGAAACACTAGGTGGAAACAAAGTTACTGCTTTCTTCACTTGTCATTTTAAAATTGTTCTCACTTTCCTAGATAAATATATTCTCACTATAAAGTTTTCAGGAAAACAGCAAAAGATAAATCTTGCTCAAAGTGATTGTAACCACAACTATTTTTCTATGCAGAAATGTAAAATTTATCTGAGTTTCAAATCTTGCAAAACAAACTGATAATATTGATAAATTCAAGTTGATATATTATAATCTTTGAATATCCCACTTCTGAAATGTAATGCCACATATATTTTAGCTATATTCTTTGTTGTTTTTAAGTTAAATTTTCTACATTATATGCTTAATAATTTTTAAATATGTAAAAATTTTGTATTATTTACTACTTATGTTCTATATTTCCTCAAGGAAGTCAAAAATATTAGTATGTAATAAAATTACTTTTCTGGACATATAAAGATGTTGATTTAAGCATTTAAGCATTTTTTAAACAAAAAAATATAGAAATTAGTTATTCCCAATGTTAAACTATCTCAGTTTAATAAAGAAATGGAAGAAAAACAATTTATATTGAAACTTTATCTACTCATTTGTTGAAATTTGAAATTATCAGGGAATCTGTTTCAAGTGTAACATAGTCTATATTCTCACATAGATAATGTATTTAAGTAAAGGCCTTAATACATAACTAAAAAATAATTTTATTATTATAATTTAAAATAATTTTAGCAACATTTTTAATTATCCAATATTTAAACAGCAATATAGTTATGTCAACTTATTTTAAAAGTGCTATAATCACTACCTGAAAATCTTGAGATGCCTTACATTAGCAACTAACAGATCTAGATATTCATTTATTGGTACTTGAAACTTATTAGAAAATGGCATTTCTAAATAAATCAAACTTATTCAGTCTCATATTTCTAACATGTTTATATTTTAATTTTTAAAATACAAGACTTTTTATATTAATATTTGAAACAGTTATTTATAATTAAAAAGTGATTTTCATTTGATAGTAAAAAAATGTTTAATTTAACATATAAATTTGATAACTGATTAATAGTAAATGAAAAATTGAAGCTGTAAAGCAGATATTGAATAAAACCAGATAAAAAATTGATACTGATTTTAAGATATCTTTAGCTAAATGAAAACACTTACACCTTAAGTTATTAATCATGAAAATTTAATAAAAACAAATATTTTCAGCTTTAAAAGACTGAAAATATCTACTTGAATGTAATTCAAATATTTAAATCTTCTTTTTTGAATTAATCTTCTCTTTTGGAATACTCTATTTTAGATGTTATTCAAGTTGTTGTTTTGGTTAATCATTCCATCTTGTATTATAGCCAATGTTCTGAAATTTGTGGCAATAATCAGTTTTATGCCTATTGTTATTCAGAGAGTTTTGGTTGAGGCATTTTTGGGCACTTTTTATTAACTTTGGTTTTTGCTTGAATTTGAAGAAAGCCTTTAAATTTAGCCATAAACATTTGTTTTTATTAAATTTTCATGTGCTGAAAACTTAAATGAGTCAGTGTATATGTTTAACTACTGTTCTAGTTACTTATACTTAGCCATCTTTAGCATAGATGTAAATCAAATGCAGGATAATAAAATAGAATATTTACAAAGTTAGAGAGTAATTTTTAAAATATAGAAAACAGAAATAATAGCAGAACATGTAATTTAAATTCATAAAATAAAATAAAATTAAATTAAATTAAAATGAATTATAACTTGTCTGTCCAGATAAAATCTTTTAACTCAATTTTCACCATTTCCCAATTTAATGATAATTCAGTGTTCCATATATAAAACTAGAGTAGAAAATAAAAAAAAATATTTTTAGAAAATTTTAAAGAAATGCTTTTTATTCACATAAATGCACTAAAAAGATAAAAGGTTCCTATCTTATATATGTTTTAGATTTATAAGAATTTTGTAAATGTTACATTTCATTATTATGCGGTTGATTAAACCATGCTGAAGAACATATGCAATTGATTATTATGCTAAATATGGCTTGACAGAAGTAAAAATGTTTTATTAACAACTTGATTAATACATATTAATCAAGCAGTGTTTTTATTTTATTAATATATTTAATTTTCTTTTTAGTAGTTTTAGTTTGTAAAAGCATTGGCTACTAAATAATTGTTTATAATGATATGAAATTGTTTTACATTATCATTTGTTTCAATACATTCTATTTGGAAATATCTTTAGAATCTATTTCAATTTGTTATAAATATTATTTACAATAAATTATTGTTTCTTTAGATCATTTTTATGATTAACTGATATGACAGCTGTCTAAAGACAACTGTCATATCAGTTAATCATATGACAGTGTCATCAACTGTCATATATCATATATCAGTTAATCAACTGTCAAGTTGTCTAAAGACAGTCATCTAAGACAAATGTGATGTCAGTCATATTCATTAATCATTATGTTCTATGCTCACCTAAAGTTATGCTAAATAAATACTATTTTCTTTGATTGTAATTTGTTTTATGGTTACTAAGAGGACTAGATTATTTTCATTTACAACTTGGTAAGATTTTATCTCTACCATAAACTATCAGTACTCTAAAATTGTGTAGGACATCACTATATGAGCAAAAAGCTAAAAGGAACCTCAAATCCACGAGTCCAAGAGTAATCGATTAGAAAACACATCCTCCGAAACTTTCTTCTTCACTGCCAAATGACGATTGGAAAAACTGAAAAAGGAAAGCATAATAAAAATTAGAATAGTATCCTAAAGTATTCAAAATTAGTGTTTATAATATAAATGTATTACCAAGTTTAAGGTTATTTGCAGATATATTTGCACAAAGCACACACCGAACAGTTCACACTTAGGAAAATTAAACTGTTTACTAAATATACATAATATACAGATTATAAAGTTCTGTACCATCTATTGAACAGTAAAAGTAACTTAAAAACAGATTAATTTTTAAGTTTATCTGGCCAAAATGGGAAAAATATAAGAAAAACTTTTAAGTAGAGTATCTTATCAAATTGTTCCTGGACCTATTGTTCTTTTCAATCTCTTTTGTCCATACAGGGATGATATACAATAGTACTAGAACCATATTGCCAATCCAAAATGTACTGGAATATTTTGTACAAATGCAGTAATATCAATCTGTCAAAGTTATATACTGTATCTGTCTATAAGAGTAAAGTAAAAATACATTTCCAGCTAAGACCATTGAAATATAGCCTCTTTTATGAATACATGTAGTCTAACTGGAAACAGTTTAAGCAGAACATCTCGCAAAAGATCATTCTTGCACTTATTGTTTCTTATTCATATAAAAATGGTCTAAAACCCTCAACGAGTACTCTGAGGACTGTAGATCATTTTTATACAAACAAAAACCAGTCTATAGAAGAGCTAAAAATCTTATCTATAATTTCATATTAATTGGATGCTATTACTCAAATTCTCTTCTCTCAAATATTCCTAAATATTTTGTAACCAATATATTTTGGAAATTTTTCACATTTGACCCTATTATAGAAAAAAATTTTATTAAACAAACAAAAAAAACCTAATAATAATAAATATGAATGAATGATAAATCCTTTCATATTATATAATCAAAATAAGAATTTTCTTATAAAATTTCATATACATTCACTTTTCCACATATTAAACATATAAATATTGTGATTAATGATAACAAATTATGACGTAACACAATCTGCTTTGTATTATAATGAAACATATGTTATTGGTAAATGCGATCATTAATACATTCGTTCAATTATAACAATATCTATCAATTTAAAAAAAAATTAATTGCCATTTATTGGCTTATAATATACAGATGCGTTGTGTGACGTATTAGGATAAAATTATTTCGTTTTCACTGTTCACGAGGCACAGCGTGAAATGGGATTTAATGGACATTTTTTCAACATTTAACAAATAATAAGAACTTTAAAATATTATTTTCATATTCTATTTATTTAAAAAGTAATTTAAATTCTTAATTAGTTTATACAGCATTTCGAACGTGAAACGTAAGTAATTGTAAGGTGGTAATATCGATTTCTTTACCGAATTATATTTGTTTATAATAAAATTTTAAAGGATTCGAACTTATTCACGTAATAAAACATTCAAATAAATAGAACTTTACGTATTTAATGAATGTTTTATGTAAAAACTAAAATAAAATAAAAAAAAAATCTTAAAGGAAAATAAGCGTTAAAACTTACCTGATTACGTAAATGATTCATTGATAATTTTTATAATTTGTTTAGGCTTATTATTTAAAAGTTAATTATATCATTTATATCGTATATTAAGTTTTAACAATCCTCTAATTGATACTATCCTGCTATCTAATGGATGCTACCCTGCTGTATAATACAAAGATGGCTAAATTCGGACCGAACTTCTTCTTCGTGTTGTTGCGTTGTCGTCGTCAAATAAACCCCGACGCGTTTACTTTTCCGAAGAGAAAAAATATGTTATTTCCAAATTGTGAATTGTAATATTAATTAATATCTTATAATTATTAAAAATTGCTGACAGATAGGAATTTAAAATAAGCGATTATAATGTGTTTTAATCCAATGTATCCTAATCAGGAATGTAGGCGAGAAGAATGCCAACCGCAGTGCAACGTCATTTGTATTACTGCGCTCGATTAATGGCGGCCTTGTATCCCTTATAAATAAATCAATTAGGTTAAAAATAAATGGAGTGATCCGATACATTCACTAAATTTATTAAATTAAGAAGTTAATAAATAAATTTTTTTCCCTAATGTTTAATTTTACAAAAGTATATTAGATGAATAAAAATTATATATGAAGATTTCATTACAAGAAAAATAAATTCGTATTTGTATTTGCTAAATATGCTATAAGGTGCCCGTTTATTTTAAAAATATGAAAATAATAATAAATTTGAAATTAATACAGTCTAAAATAATGTGAAATTAGAAAACTCAATAATTTGATGTTGCAATAATGGCATGTTAATAAATATATTTAAATATTGTATATAAACCATTAGAATGGGTTCAATATTGGGCAAGTCATATTTTTCTATATTCGCACAGTTAAAATTAGATATTGAAGAATCTATATGTAATTTTGTGCATATTGTGCAATATACAGTATATTGAATGTGACTACTTTCTTTAATTCAAGAGAAACATTTGTGTTACAAATTATTTCAAACTGGGATTTATTTCAATTAAGTTAGTATAGAGCAGTGGTTCTCAGACTTTTTGAAGTCTGGGCGCATTTAAAAGCCTACTAATAATTGTAGGGCACTGTATACAAATTTATGAGAAATATGTTATAATAATTAAGTCAAGTATTAAAGAAAAAAAAATATATATATATATATAGCCTATATATTTTTGAAAGATCGNATATATATATAAAGTCTAAGTGTGCTTTTATGGTAATTAAACGAAATAAATATGACTAAATTAAATTTATTCTGACATTAAAAAACATTTTTATGTTATTACATTTTATTGAGTTATGCTTTTTAGAATTCGCAAAAAAAGGGGTTAAAAAATAAAAAAAAAAACGAAAAAAAGTTATCTTTATATATAGATACATTTTTAGTAAGATTTAGTAAATTCGGCAGAATGGCCCGAATGTGTTAAGTTTTTTCATATTTGTGTTTATGAGAAACATGAGCCTGATGTGTCCTAGCGATTTCTTCAATGTTTCGGCTTATATTTGAAAGGCAAACTCTCATTTCTTCGTCAGTACATTGATGAAAATTCCTCTTTTTTAGTCTTAATTGTGTTGAGGGTAGAAAATCCTAATTGACATAAATAGGATATTGAAAATTGTAGTAAAATGTTTAAAGCTTTTTTAGATATTGCCACATATTCTTCTTTTATAGAAATCTAAAAGGCTTCAAGAGACAATTCCTTATGTTTAATAATCAATCCACGATCAGTGGATGTAGCTGCCAGTTCTTCTGTTAATAGAGAGGTTGAGGCCGAAGTTTTCAACGCGAAAACGTAAACGTCGAATGTTGAGCGCCGCCATCTTGTAAGTTTGACAGTGGTATTTGGAACGTCATTGGAATCATGCTCAACATTATTACTGCATACATTTTTCTCGATATTAGAAGACATTTCTATAATACGCCTGTGAAATGTATCGTTGGACAGAGGAATCTTGCTTATTTTCATTGCTGCTTCATTTCCTAGCATTGTCATGATCATTTTTTGCATGCAGGCAAAATAAGTGACTCACCTAAACTATGAGTTTTAATATTTTTTGCTATCAGTTCTGAGACTTGATAAGAAGCGATTTGAGCTTTATCAGAAACAGTCATTATACTTTTAAAAGAATTTACTGCTTTTGTTTGCTGTTCAGAAAATCTCTTGAAAAAACTTACAGATTTATCTTATAAATTAGAGTGTATAGTTTTAAAATGTTAACTCAATTTACTAGGAAGCAATGATTCATTTGCCATTTTACATCCACATAGCGGTAAAGGATGATCTTCACTTCCGGTCCAAGTGAAACCAAAGCTTAAACTTTCATTATATTTATGAGTAGGTCGCGATTTTTCTTTCTTACTTGCATTTAACTTTTGCTCACTTCCAGAATCGGATTCTTCAATATTACGCTTCTTTTTGACAAATCTATCCATTTTACTTGGGTGTATTTATCTAAAAATAATATAATCATGCGTTAATAATAAATATAATAATGTGTTAACAAAAAGAGCGGTATTTCCGTAATGAAATGGTATAAAAGATTAACTATATTTACTTTTATATCTGTGCACATATTTCTCTAGAATACCACAGGGCACACCAGTGCGCCCTGGCGCACACTTTGAGAACCACTGGTATAGAGCAATGGTTTCCAAACTTATTATGCCCGCAGATCCCTTTTCATACCAAAAACCTGACCACGAATCTCTTAAGTGAAATAACTCTACAAAACTACATAATAGCAAAATTACAAATTTAATTTTGATGTCGTGAATGGTGATGGTAAAAATAAAGTATAAATAAAACATTTTGATATTTAAAGTAATATTTATTGAAATTACTAGCTAAAGCTTGCCCGTTCTTGAAAATCGGGTATAATATAGTGAAAAAAATGTATAATTTATTTCTAATTCGGTTATAAATTACATTACAAAAATATAAAATTTATTATTTATGTATCTATTCTTTGTGGTATGATATAGTTTAATAAAGACTACCAATTTATTTATTAAGTTACTATTTATTTTTAACTTTCATAATAATGAAAATAGGTCACAATTATTTTACTTTTTATTAAACCTTTTGCGGATCCCCTGACGTTATCCAAGCATCCACAAATTAATTTTATTTTTTCACGAACCCCATTGGCGGTTCCAAGGACACCCAGGGGTCCATAGGAACCATTTTGAGAAACATTGGTATAGAATAAATGATTACAAGTAAACAAATGTGATAATTCGCGGCTCATACTCGCATTTGACGAGTAAATCGCCGATTTTTTACTCAATTCGACTCGCTGTTTTCAACACTGAAAGTCAATTTCGACTCGTAGAACATTCCCAATAAAATTGACTTTTGTTTATTTGTATTATCTTCAATTTCGTTTTGACGAATTTTAAACCAACACGACTATCTCCAATTTTATCTCAATTTACCATTTTTTAGACATTACTTTCCAAATCTTCGTGTGAGAATTTCAAAAGGCGAGTTGACGTCACGAACTCTGTAACGTCGATTCCAGGAAAAGTCTTTTGCGAATAAAAATAAGTACAATATTACGAATTCAACATTACCAGCTTCTTATGATGCGGAAAAACAATAGAAGACTCGCACTTCTTTTTTATACTTTATAATTCTTCTGTTTTAGAAAGTAAGTGTTCACAAGATACTGATGTTGCTGTTACACACAAACGTTTTTTCCATGTGTTAATTAAGAAAAAGATACTAAATTATAAATTTTCTTCTATAAACAAGCATTCACTATTATCAGGACTTATTATACTGGATTAATAGACAATACAGAGTTTCACAGATAACAATTTTTATTTAATATACCTGTTTAATATTATTTAATAACAGGTATATTAAATAAAAATTGTTTTCTGTGAAACTCTGTATTGTCTGTTAAGCCAGTATAATAAGTCCTGATAATAGTGAATGCTTGTTTATAGAAGAAAATTTATAATTTAGTAAGAAAAAGACATTGAGGCATTTTAATTAAAAGAAAAAGATACGTTTGTTTTCTACTTTTCCATCATTCCATAGGATTTTGATTTTTTGGCAATAATGATTCTTGAATGTATCTATCTGTTTCAATTATTGATTTCGATACGGAATTCGAAGGTTGGACTTCTTTCACTCTGGCAGGGCCCGCTCTAGGGGCGCCATTTTGGCTGTGTGAGAAAAATATTGATGTGTTAAATACTCAATTAATAGAAAATTTCACGTATCGATTTTTTCGTTCTCTAAAAATTTACAGTGCGTATCGTATTTATATTGTTTATGTCTAAAAGCTAAAAATATTTACACTATTATTGAAAAATTAACGCAGAATTTGTAAAGGACGTTGCTTGAACTTATTTGAACATGCATATACTTCTCCGAACAGAATAGCATTAGCACGCGAGCAGAGCGCTGCTTCAGCTTGTATTTGAACCAGGGCTGTGGAGTCGGAGTCGTGGAGTTTTGGCGTTTTAGCCGGAGTCGTAGTCGTCAAAAAATCCGCCGACTCCGATTCCTTTTTACTTACCAACTTGTTATGTATATAAGACGGAAAAGTATTGGAATCGTGTCAAATTTGATCCTCTAAGTTTTTTGCAAATCTTTTTTTTTTTTTTTTGCAAATCTACACATTTGGAGACCTCCCGAACCCCTCAAAAAAGTCAATAAAGGGAAAAAATTGTGCGCGCGTGTGTGTTGGCGTCTAATTTGTTTAATTTCTTTATTTTCTGTTTTGAGATATTAAACAATATCTCAGAATGGGTAAAGTTTAAGAAACGAAATGTGGCACCGTGGCTCGCGTATAAAGGGTTATTAATACTATTAAATTTTGGTTCTTAATTAAAGATCGACAGGGTAAAGACATAAAAGTGGTCTTAATGAATATTTTACTCGTTATTAGCGTTCAAAATTTTAAAAAATAAAATAAAACTCGTCTCTATCCTCAAAGTAAGCTTTTTTGCCATTTTATAATAGAGTAGTACAGTAAAACCCGTTAAGATGTTCTCGCCTAAGACGTTAGAATATATATGGGGACACGATTTAGTTCAACCACTTTGACGCTTAATAACTAACTCCTGTGTTAAACCATCCAACTCCGATTCTGACCACCTGACCACAGAAATTATTAGGCTTCAAACAGGGTGAACAAAATCATGCCCCCTCACACACAGTCTAACATCCACACATATAGAAAAAACCTCGTATCTTTTGCATATCTCGAAATTTCAAGGTATCCCGAGTCCAAAAATGTAAAAATTTGGAAGAGGTCATTTTTTGAACGAGCGCTACACTTTCCATCTGTTATATATAACAGCCGGAAAAGTAAAAATTATCGAATACATATTTATATATTACTTAGAGAAGTCTTTTAACTTTGGAATAAAAAGTTTCTACGCTCTATCTTTATTACAACTCTATTTATTGAATCTTTTATTCTGAGGTCACGTGATTAGAGCAGGCCCTACCTTAGGGCAAACGGAGCAGCCGCTCCAGGCGGTAAGTCCTAGGGGGCGCTTCAGTGATAAAGAAAATTAAAGGGTATAAATTAGGGGCAACGAAGAGAGGCGCGATAATAAGATTTCGCTTCATCCTAAAACTTGCCTCGGGCCGGCACTGCACGTGATGACATCAGAATTTTCGAATCTCTTTCGGTAACAAGTCCGCCCCTGGTCGGAGTCGGAGTCGGATGGTAAAAAAAAGTCGGAGTTGGAGCCGGTAGATTTTTACGTGACTCCACAGCCCTGGTTTGAACCTGCATAGACTCGCTTATACTTACCTCTAATTATAAAAGAGCGGTTTCATTACACAATAGCATTATTGTTGCTATTTCGTCGGCAGTGATAACAAGTGGAAATTCATAAAATTTACTTAAGTGCGATTTCTTAATTTTTAAAGGTAAGTACACTGTACATCTATAATTAAGCCATTGTTTAGTTTTGATAGATACAGTACTAGTTTATTGTAAATAGAATCGAAACAATGAAAGCATTTTTAAATAAAATAAATATTTAATTTATCCAAAAAGGCTGTTTATTAAATCA